TTCTCAGCCTCCTCTGCACATGCACAGAGCTTTAGAAGCGGGCCCTAATTTGTCATCCTGCCTAGGGGCCCTGAACAACCATAATCCAGCTCTGACCTCTTTTAGTGTTAACCTGCACGAAAAACAAGACCAGCAGGTTCCAACAACTATAATCAGTTAAATGGATGAAATTCCTACGGTGCCAACAGTGTCCCATTTTAATATGACTCCACTCTCCGCAGCTCTTCTTCTAAATATGTGTCATTGTACGATCTGCCACATGTTTAACCTTGTGATCGTTCAAAATGCATTTCTAAATATTCTCCCTTTACAGGTGTCAGCACTGCTAGTCTGGACTTCCTAGTTTACGATCCAGTGGCCTTTTTAAACGAGAGCAGAATGAATGGAGGTTTATCCACAGACCACAATGACTTTTACTGCACAACAGGTACGTGTTAAAGGGACACTCCGTCTATCTGTGCAATGTGTATTGCAGAGTTTAAATAGTTGTTTTTTTGTTCTAGGGGTTTGCTGTCGACAAAGGAAATACAATATCAAAAAATATATATTTGGATCGCTGTCCAGAAGATACTGTGCAGAGGCCTCTGGTAGAGGACCCGAGAATAAGCAATAAGTATACCACCCAGGAGGGGTGAGAAAATACATTTAAAAAAAAAAATATATAAATATATATATATATATATATATATTTTATTTTTTTTATAAAAATTTATTTGTTTGATTTATTTTTCTGCAATTTCTTATATGCTCTCAGCCAGCTGAGGGCGATGTAGGGGTTTATTTTCTAACGATTGAATTGTAGTGAATTGAAAAAAAAAGAAATGTTAAAGTAGCCAATCTGTGACTTTAGCTGAATTAGTCAGCACTGTTTGTCTCAAAGTTATAATTTTCTCTTTCAAGCCATTAAAATATTTATTTATTATCCAATCATAACATCCATTTTTATTGAACAAACCTAACTGTTAACTTTTTATTGTTAATTTTCCCACCTACAATTTGTAAAAAAACGAGACGCAATGCAGAATTTATTTTTCGGGGACAGGGAGTAAATCTGGTAACCGTCATTCCAGGCTAACATAGTGTGCAAAAATTTACTTATTAAACCCCAAATTGGAGACAATTTAAAGTCCAAGTGCAAAACTTAAAGGAACACTCCAGGCACCATGACCAGTACTGTAGTGGTTATGGTACCAGGATTACCCCGACTCCCTCCCACAGTGTTTAGTCGACATACCTGGATCCCTACCTTCTCGGCAGCTGGATGTGAGCCACTTTATGGCAGGGCATAGCCCAGGGGCAATAACTAGAGCTATTAACAGGCGCACAGTAAACCCCAGGTAAGTTGTCAAACTATTTTTAAATTGTTTGAGTACTTAATGTGGAAGGAGGCCAAGGCACTACTGACACCATAACCACTACAGTGGGCTGTAATGTTTGCAGAGCTTGGTGTGTTCCTTTAAGTCAAAATAGACTCAAGCCGAGTTGGCATATTTTTATCAAAGCCTCTATTTTTTTTTTTTTTTTTTTTTTTTTTTTGCCTAAACTTTGCTGATTTGGTTCTTAACTCCCTACAGTTAGATGTTTAGAAAGTAAACCTGTGTGTGTATTGGGTCAGGGAGGTGAATATTAAATGTGTAGAATGTATTTAGTGTCGTGGATAAATGAACAGTATTTATGTAATGGTCTGAGAACCACACACAGTCTGTAGGTTCATATAAATAAAATATGTAGGGTGAGCAGGAAACAGTATACTTTATAGTGTACATAATGGATGTATATCAGGGCACTCTCTCTGTATAGTGTGTATATATAATGTTATATCGGGTCGGTCACTGTATAGCACACATATGATGTTATATAGGGTCTGCCTCTGTATAGTGTATATATGATGTTATATAGGGGTCTGTCTCTGTATAGCACACATATGATGTTATATAGGGTCTGCCTCTGTATAGTGTATATATGATGTTATATAGGGTCTGCCTCTGTATAGCACACATATGATGTTATATAGGGTCTGCCGCTGTATAGTGTGTATATATGATGTTATATAGGGTCTGTCTCTGTATAGCACACATGATGTTATATAGGGGTCTGTCTCTGTATAGTGTATATATGATGTTATATAGGGTCTGTCTCTGTATAGCACACATGATGTTATATAGGGGTCTGTCTCTGTATAGTGTATATATGATGTTATATAGGGTCTGCCTCTGTATAGCACACATATGATGTTATATAGGGTCTGTCTCTGTATAGCACACATATGATGTTATATAGGGTCTGCCTCTGTATAGCACACATATGTTATATAGGGTCTGTCTCTGTATAGCACACATATGATGTTATATAGGGTCTGTCTCTGTATAGCACACATATGTGATTCTCTGGCTATCTATGTAATTCAAAGAATCATGGGAGTTGTAGTTCAGCAACATCTGGAGGGCCGCAGTTTGAGGACCCCTGATATATAGGGTCTGTCTCTGTATAGCGTACATATGATTATATAGGGGTCTGTCTCTGTATAGTGTATATATGATATATAGGGTCTGTCTCTGTATAGCACACATATGATGTTATATAGGGTCTGTCTCTGTATAGCACACATTATATAGGGGTCTGTCTCTGTATAGTGTATATATGATATATAGGGGTCTGTCTCTGTATAGTGTATATATGATATATAGGGGTCTGTCTCTGTATAGCACACATTATATAGGGGTCTGTCTCTGTATAGCACACATTATATAGGGGTCTGTCTCTGTATAGCGCACACATGTTATATAGGGGTCTGTCTCTGTATTGCACACACATGATGTTATATAGGGGTCTGTCTCTGTATAGCACACACATGATGTTATATAGGGGTCTGTCTCTGTATAGCACACACATGATGTTATATAGGGTCTGTCTCTGTATAGCACACACATGATGTTATATAGGGGTCTGTCTCTGTATAGCACACACATGATGTTATATAGGGGCCTGTCTCTGTATAGCACACATTATATAGGGGTCTGTCTCTGTATAGCGCACACATGATTATATAGGGGCCTGTCTCTGTATAGCACACATTATATAGGGGTCTGTCTCTGTATAGCGCACACATGTTATATAGGGGTCTGTCTCTGTATTGCGCACACATGATGTTGTATAGGGGTCTGTCTCTGTATAGTGTATATATGATGTTATATAGGGGTCTGTCTCTGTATAGCACACATTGTTATATAGGGGTCTGTCTCTGTATTGCACACACATGATGTTATATAGGGGCCTGTCTCTGTATAGCACACACATGATGTTATATAGGGGCCTGTCTCTGTATAGCACACATTATATAGGGGTCTGTCTCTGTATAGCGCACACATGTTATATAGGGGTCTGTCTCTGTATTGCGCACACATGATGTTGTATAGGGGTCTGTCTCTGTATAGTGTATATATGATGTTATATAGGGGTCTGTCTCTGTATAGCACACATGTTGTTATATAGGGGTCTGTCTCTGTATTGCACACACATGATATTATATAGGGGCCTGTCTCTGTATAGCACATATATGATATATAAGGGTCTGTCTCTGTATAGCACACAGATGATGTTATATAGGGGTCTGTCTCTGTATAGCACACAGATGATGTTATATAGGGGCCTGTCTCTGTATAGCACACACATGATGTTATATAGGGGTCTGTCTCTGTATAGCACACACATGATGTTATATAGGGTCTGTCTCTGTATAGCACACACATGATGTTATATAGGGGTCTGTCTCTGTATAGCACACACATGATGTTATATAGGGGTCTGTCTCTGTATAGCACACATATGATGTTATATAGGGTCTGCCTCTGTATAGCACACATATGTTATATAGGGTCTGCCTCTGTATAGCACACATATGTTATATAGGGTCTGTCTCTGTATAGCACACATATGATGTTATATAGGGTCTGTCTCTGTATAGCACACATATGTGATTCTCTGGCTATATGCAATTCAAAGAATCATGGGAGTTGTAGTTCAGCAACATCTGGAGGGCCGCAGTTTGAGGACCCCTGATATATAGGGTCTGTCTCTGTATAGCGTACATATGATTATATAGGGGTCTGTCTCTGTATAGTGTATATATGATATATAGGGTCTGTCTCTGTATAGCACACATATGATGTTATATAGGGTCTGTCTCTGTATAGCACACATTATATAGGGGTCTGTCTCTGTATAGTGTATATATGATATATAGGGGTCTGTCTCTGTATAGCACACACATGATGTTATATAGGGGTCTGTCTCTGTATAGCACACACATGATGTTATATAGGGGTCTGTCTCTGTATAGCACACACATGATGTTATATAGGGGCCTGTCTCTGTATAGCACACATTATATAGGGGTCTGTCTCTGTATAGCGCACACATGTTATATAGGGGTCTGTCTCTGTATAGTGTATATATGATGTTATATAGGGGTCTGTCTCTGTATAGCACACGTTGTTATATAGGGGTCTGTCTCTGTATTGCACACACATGATGTTATATAGGGGCCTGTCTCTGTATAGCACACACATGATGTTATATAGGGGCCTGTCTCTGTATAGCACACATTATATAGGGGTCTGTCTCTGTATAGCGCACACATGTTATATAGGGGTCTGTCTCTGTATTGCGCACACATGATGTTGTATAGGGGTCTGTCTCTGTATAGTGTATATATGATGTTATATAGGGGTCGGTCTCTGTATAGCACACACATGATGTTATATAGGGGTCTGTCTCTGTATAGCACACACATGATGTTATATAGGGGTCTGTCTCTGTATAGCACACACATGATGTTATATAGGGGCCTGTCTCTGTATAGCACACACATGATGTTATATAGGGGCCTGTGAGCAGCAGGAGGGCAGTAATTATTGTTCTGTATAAAATGTAATAATAATCAGGGGGAGGGGAGCAGGGGGAGGATTTGGGGAGAGACACAGAGAGGGAGGTGGGGTGGGAGGAGAGGGAAGGGGGCTCCACATTGAGGAGTCTCGGTGGAAGGAGCCGGGCTGTGGATGGTGCTCTGAGTTGCGGTCGGTGACCCGGAAGGTTTCCGTTGGACTCGGTTCGCCGCCCATCCCCGGGGTACATGTCACACAGCGCCAGGTCTGTATGGGGGGGCCAACATGGCGGGAGCTGGGGGGGCCCCCGGGGGCCCCAGGGCGGGGGGGGAGCGGGGAGGGGGGGGGTTTAACTCTCACACCGCCCTGTGTGTTATATAACGGGGGGGCCCCGGGTCTGTCTGTGTGGCCCCCAGCCTGCTGCTGTGCTGGAGATCTGCAGAACATGGCGCCGGCACAGGCAGCAGGCTCAGGGGCCATTTTTGTTTTCCTTTTGTCTGCAGATTTTATTAAAACTGTCTGAGAATGTGGGAGAGGCGGGCAGGGGCCACAGGGGGGCCTGGGGGGGATGGGGAGGGGCCCTGTGCCTGTCAGGGGCCCTGCTCTGAGGTGGGGGTGCAGGCTGCTGCATGGGGGCTGTTTCTGGGGGTAATTCTCAGGATTTTAACGCTCAGTCTTAAACCCCTTTGTTCCCAGGTGCCGGCCGCTGCACGTCCTTTTATTTCACATTTTAGGGAAAAATAACCCTTTTGTGATGGATTATTCTAGCCCGCCTCAGCCTTCGCAGGCGCTATAACGTGCTATATCCTGTTGCCATAACAACTAACCTCTCCCTCTCAAGCCTATGTTATAAATGTATATTTTTGTTTTTGGGGGTGATGGGCCTCGTCCGCACTGTGGTTTGAAGCCTGAAAGTCTGCGAGCGAAATGTGGCCGAGTCGTGGTATAATCCACCGTTGCTGCGTTTATTAAATAGTTAACCCTTCCCACGGCAGACGGGCGTATGCAGAGCTCTGCGAAGGGCAATATTCAGCTGACCCGGCCTCCACGTAAAGGGTTAAAATTAATAGATACATAGTCTGTTTCGCAACCCCCACCCCCCCTTACACACATACACACGGGGCCTGTGTTAATGAAAGTTTCCGGACATTGGTTAGGTCTGTGTTATGAATGACCAGACTGCACCAGAAATAGTTTCACCAGTCCCGGTATAGCTGGTCTTAAAAAAATTAATGTTACATTGTTTGCATTATTTCTCTCCTTATAGAGCCCGCACCGCAGTTGAGATCCATTTGGCCTTCCTAATCTCTCTGGTGTAAAATTTGCCTAAAGGCTATTTTATTTATTATTTTTTTTTGAAATACTGATTTTATTTTTTTTGGAGAGGGGGGGTGATTTTCCGCAGGCTAGAGCTTAACGGAATGAACATTGTGATTATAATGTTACCTGGTTGTGATGCTTTATTGAGCAAGGCTATTGTGCTGTATAAGAAAAATCTCATAATTCAGAGATTTTTGATATTTTACGTACACTTTTTTTGTATTTTGGGTTCGGTGGTGTTTGTATATACTTTGTTACGTCTGCAGTTGAGAGATGTTTTTGTGTGTACTGTGAGCTCAGTATTTAGTGTCCACTTTTTAGTGGTGTGTGTGTGTGTGTGTGTGTGTGTATGTGTGTATATGTATGTGTATATATATATATATATATATATATATATATATGTATATATATATTATATTTTGTGTGTACTTGGGTTTTGTTTAAATTTGTGAATGATTTGGGTCTCTTGTTTTTGATACATATCTAAACTAGGTTATTTAAAAAAATAAATAAAAAATAATAAAGACAGTGGGGAATTGTTTTAACATGTGAAGATGTATGGGCCTCTATATAACATGTCATATTACTTGTGCGTTGTGGTGTTGGTGTTACTATTTTTTTGTACTTTGGGTGGTGTTTAATATGTTACTATTTGTTTAGTATTTTAAATGTGTGTAGTGCGGGGTTTATGTTTCACATATATTTTGTTTATTGCGGCTTGAAACTTATAGTACAGAACAAACTTTATCTCTTGGGGGCTAACAAGCTACGCAAATATTGCTATCATGGCACACGATGTACAAAGGTTAAGTAGATATTGCCAATGTTTCTGATTAACATAAACAACAACTTAAGGTGAAATATAATTTGAAAATACAATGTTTCGTCAATTTTTATTCCAATAGATGCTGATTTTAATTTTTAGTATTGTTGTTTGGTTAGTAAAGTGATCCTTTTTGGAGATTGTCAAAATGTACTTTATCTGTAAGTATTGACCTAAACTGTAATAGATAAATAAAATATCAAGCCTTCTGTATAAATAGCCCTTACCTTATTTGTAATCCACATGCAGGAAGTGTCCTGGTCCATTTGTACTTCCTGTCTGTGAAATGCAAGATTGTATGCCATATGCAGATCTTGTTCTGGGACATTACAAACAGTCCAGCCAGCGTGGCTACATGCCAACGGTCAACAGAATACACCTATTCGTCCTATCTTGAGATCTCAGATCGTATTTAATGATTTGTTTTCAAGATCCAGTCTGTGTCAATTGAAAAATGCCCAATAGCCTAGCACCATCTCAAGCATTCTTCATATGACTAGTCTTTATTAAACTGTAACTAAAAGCGAGAAATAAGAGGTCTATGGACACAGAGAAGATCACATAGACCAATGGAAACTATGAGCATGTAAGCCCTTAGCAACAGACAGTCCAACAATATCGAAATCTAACGTTTTCCTGTTCATACAAATAGCACACTTTACTTATGTAAGGGAAAGGTCGGTGAGAAAGTTACAGAATCCGTAAATAATCTACCAGCAGGAAGTGGTCTTGAGATAAGTCAGGGGGTCAGCAGTCTGGCATCGAATTTGTACATATGGTCAAGCTTTGGTTCCAGAAAATGGTCCAAGTACAATCCGGTGCATTACTCGCCATTAGCATTGAGTAAAAATTCAGCTCTGGCTAGTCCTAATTTACCTCTGGTTAGAGAGCCATGGCTTGCAGTGGCAAGTCATTGTTTAGGCCTCGCTAGTGGTGTTTGACTTGAAACTTTGTGCTCTGATCCAATGGATATCACAAAGTGTCTGAGAATTAAATGGAGAGTGTCCAGACAGAGCCTTTTTTTCCCTGTCCGGGATCCATCTTTAAATAGAACATTGCGGAGAAAGTTGAAATCCAGGAAAGAAAACCTAATTCAGCTCACTTTACCCTAGGATGCGATTGGTGCATTTGTCCAGTATATCAGAATTTGAATTTCAGAACTGGACATTGTTTTATAAGATGTTAACATCTGCATCCCGCTTCTTGGTAGCAACATTTTTTTTATTTTTTTTCCCCAATTTTTAATTTTAATATTATTTTGGAGAAGTGTGAGCCCATGTTTCTCATGTTTGTAAGAGTTTTGCTCAGAACCTCATCCTGTTAATTTTAGGTGCCGTGTTTAACATCTTTTATTATGCTTGGACTACAGGACAAACAGCGAGTCGTGATGGTTTTAGAGTCTCCCTGATGCTGAGTAGGGAGAGTCAAATTCTTTGGAATTAAAAAAATAAATAATAAGCATGCAAGAAGCCTGTATGCGTATGTGAGTGTGTGTGTGTGTGTGTGTGTGTGTGTGTGTGTATATGTATATATATATATATATATATATATATATATATATATATATATATATATATATATATATATATATATATATATATATATAAAAATAAGTAATTTAATTAGATTATCTTTTATTTTGGTTTTTATTTATTAGGACCTATGGCATTTCTATTGAGTGGTTAGAACAAGGCAGTGTATCATTACAACCATTCTATATATAGTTGGTACTTAGAAAATTCTCACAATGTAATTGAATCAACCTTGGTGTAGTCGGGTTTTAGATACGTATTTGGCTTTATTGTACACCTTTTTCTTTAGTTTTCTTTTGACTTGGTGTAAAATATTAGTTCTTACTCATGCTGGTTTCCATGTCATTCACTTTCTTGTATATTTCAGGAACGAAAACCTAAACTTTTGACAGAGGTGTTGAGAGAGCTCATTTCACAAATCCATTCTTTGTTTACCTTGCTCGGAGATCACCTCTACTTTTCATCATTTTAAAGTCTATAAAATGAGTGCCATTGAGTTGGGTAATGGCAACATCCATTAATCAGCTGCTGATTTAGTTAAAATACAAAAGCTTAATCTCAGAGACCTCATGAGGAGAAATGTATTGCGTTTGCACCACATCAGCTGTCTGGAAGGGCACAATTGAGGTGTTTCGAGAGAGTAGATTCTCCTGCCCCAGTCTGACATGTCATGAGTCCTCCAGTGATGTCAAAGACAAACCGCCGATGGCAAACTTGCCAAAATGTGTGAAGTGTGCATGCTGGTATGATTTAATTGTTACAGAGGCTCATGGGAAAAGTTAATTAGCATGAAATCCCCTGACTGCCTCATTTTCTAAAGGCACTTGTGATGTCAGGCTTTAGTTTTTTTTTTTTAATTAAAACATACATAAATATGTAAAAGTTTGGAGACGTACTGAAAATGAGGCGGGAGGGGGGATAAATCGCCCTATTTCACACGTTTAATTCTGAATACCAATACAGAGCATCAGTTACTGGAAACAAAGTCTATGATTTTTTTTTTGTTAGTTTTTTTCTGTTCCAATTTTATTCCATAGTCCTGAGACCGTTAATGTTTGGGGGATCCGTTGGCCCTTGCGGGTGGCTGGGTGGGTTTGTTGGTGTTGTATGTTTTTATATAAATTGTTAATAGATCAATCTCTCCATGTTCTAATTCTGTGTAGACTGCGAAGGTTAATAGGGGTATTCAGATCTTCTGCTTTTGGAGAAAGTTTGCAAGACCATAATGAGTAGAGCCTTCTTGTCGGGAGCAATTAACAAACAGCGCAATAATGACGTATTTATTGATGACTGAATAGGTGGGAATGTGCCTTTCCCTTTTTAATTTTCTTCTACAGATCAATAAGAATGTGTTTGCTTGTTAATTTAATTACAAGGTTATTTTAGAAGGGTTTGTGATTTTGGGGGGGGAAATGACCGTTGGAATGCCACGACTGAGTATCTGTCAGTTCCTTGCTACCTCTAAGAATGGATCATCTGTTTGTTTGGTCAGATTCGCTAGTGTTTATTGACGAAACATTGATTCAGAATAACAGAATTGAAAAAGTGATATTTATAAAAGGATATTCACACCCTCTTATGTCACACCCTCTTATCCGCTTTCTCCACCTTCAGCGAGTGAGCCTCGACGTACATACTTGACCACAATTTCTGAGAACTGTAATATGTACAACTAAAATGAAATTTAGAACAAGAACAATGCATCTTATTTACACAGACTGATTTCTAAATACATTTATTGTATTTTAAAGACACATTACTGGGAGTATTATTGCTGTGGAGTTCTGTTATACACTCAGACACATTACTGGGAGTATTATTGCTGTGGAGCTCCGTTATACACTCAGACACATTACTGGAAGTATTATTGCTGTGGAGCTCTGTTGTACACTCAGACACATTACTGGGAGTATTATTGCTGTGGAGCTCTGTTATACACTCAGACACATTACTGGGAGTATTATTACTGTGGAGCTCTGTTATACACTAACACACCAACGATATGAAGCTCCTAGAAAACAGACGCTTGGGAGGTATGCTCAAATTTTGGTGTGTTATGGGGCTGTAGGGTTGATCTCGTCGGCCACGTTTTTCGGTACCTCTTCACTATTTTTGTTCCTTGTTCTGTTCTAAAAGTCAATATTTGTGTTTTCTGAATCAATGTTTCCTTGCGTGTGCACACAGCCAGAGGTGGCATGAAATCTCTTGTCCTCATGGCCTAGAGTTCTGCATTTATTTTTGTATAAAATTCCAAAATCACAAAATACCTGTTGGGTTTTTTTTTTTTTTGTGTGTTTGTGTGTGTTTTAATCGTAGGTAAAACTTAAAGCGAAATGTTTCCACACATTTAATTGATACAGATAAACAGAAATGATATCACAAAATTTTGTGGTAAATTATGGCAAAGAAAAGACAAGGCAATGTGTCCCTACCACACTCCTACTCAGTCACCCAATTGTTGATACACTTACAATGTGAATGAAGAGAAAACGTTTTCGGGTGCAGAGTAACCCGTCCCTGGAGTTTGATGCGGTGAATAATATAGCAGCATACACTATCCTACAAGTACGAGACGCTTCCACGTGGGGAGGCTTAAAACACTGTTTTCGAGGGCTCAAGTATACAAAATCATACACTGAGGGACTCACACCTACCATTAGATGAGTTGGCGCCCAGCTCAGGGTGCTTAAATAACGCTGTCTGCATGGCCTGCCCTTAGGTTACTGGTCTGTGTGGTTGGCAGGCATTCAGACACAACCTTTTTGGGCAGTGCCAGGGACATTCTGTGCATCACTGGCCCACCTCTCTTTACCATAGTCACCAACATCCTGCTTCACAGGATGCTGGTTTTTGGGGGTTGCGAGTTTGGTTGAGAGATAAAATATAGCTTATAGCTGCATTCTGTGAGTTTTCCTCCACCCCCACCAGATATGACATTTGGGAGGTATGGTTGTTTTAGTGTTTTCTGTCGATAGGATCAGGCCCACCAGTCTGCACCAGGCCCAGTCGGCCAAAATCCCGCCTTGGTTATTTTGGCCTGAAATTTTAAATTCCCTTTAAATTCCCTTGGGATTCTTGGCAATTCACACGTTGGCGAATAACCTGTGCGCGTTTGGGGTTCGCACTTCCATTGGTAGATATTTTGATAACCTCGCATCTTATATTCGATGACACATATTGGTTTGGTGTTTGATGTTTCATGTTGATATCATCCCTAATAGTCAATTCATGGTTAGCTTGGTGTGGTAACAATGTGGCTTGCTTGTGGGTCTAGCCACGGGACTGATTACTAATTAAATTAACCCAGACTCTCAGAATTGTGACTCTAAAGATAACACACTTGAGACCCAAGCAGTTTCCTCAATCTATATTAGGTGTACAATTCCCCTGTGTATTCTAAGCAGCGTCTCTGCAACCTGATTGAATGGTCATTATTCTTTTTAATGGTTTGGAAGGTCTGATTTTTGAGCTTGATATATATTGATGAATTATGGCAGTGTCTTGCTGAGGTCAGTGTCCTCTATATTTCATAGTTCGTTCTTTGGAACCTCTTAGACAGTAATTTCTTTCCTTTGTGTATTGTTAGATGTATACTGGGTAGACTATTCATTAAACAAGGTGTTTCTTGTTTTATTGTGTGATCTGTCATACATTTTTAGTTTAGTGAGAGTTTATTGGTTAATGCACCAGTTTCCAACTGGAGGTTTGCAGGTACTAAGCCCGTAGTGTAAGCACAGCCTCTCATGTTACTTGCAAAATGACTGACATGGAGTTAGTTATAAAATATATATGTCAGTGCCCGCTATAGATGGGCCAATTAAACTGTTGTCATTCAGTACTGGTACACCTCCGGATCTATCCTAAACCTACTGCGGTGTTATAATGGGAACACATACTGTACATTGCCAAAGGTGTATGCCGCCTTCTGGAGGCTTCAACTGTGATTCTCTTCCATTCAGCCAAAAGAGAATTAGTAAGGTCATGCAGTGCTTTTTGAACAATTCAATTTGGATCACTGTTGGCTCTTACTTGTCCAGAGGTGTTTGATTTCTCGGGGGTCTTGAGGATTCTGCCATCAGACCTATGTAACAATTACTGCATGAACCTCACTTTACGCAAGGGATCTTCTCAAATTGCTCCCACAAAGATGGAAGCACAGAGTTCCCTAAATTGGCATTTCATGCTGTACTTGAAAGCAGGTCTTTAAAGGCTACATACTGTAGATATTCTCTGATAAAAGCCTAGGTTACTGATGTACTCTCTAACACCCTCGAGAGTACAGTATAGGGGTCTATGTAAGATCCGTGAGATACACCAAACATATTCTTGGTAACTGCGCAAGAACATGGCCCACACCTGTTGTCTGTGGCAGTTTATGGGAAATGGCAGAAGCTGTGGTGGTTGAAACAACGCTCCTTGCCACAACTCGGCAAAAATCTACCCTTTTATGAAATCGGTCATTCCCTACATTCACGTTGGAGTTTCACTGATTCCAATGAGTTTCTTGTGAAGATTCTAACATTATGAATTCTCCAATGTTATGGTGCCAGTGTATGGCCATAAAGTGTATGTAGGTTGTATTGTCACTGTCCGATGCTCATTCTTCTGTTAGACGTCTCCACAGGTTTTCTGCTGTGTGAGTTGTCAAGAAATAATGTGAAATCTAAGTGGATTTAAAATTTTAGGCAGAATTAGCCAAATCGAAAGCAGGATTTTATTTTTTTATTCTTTATTTTTTTCGGATTGGCTATTTTGGCTTTACATTTTAAATTCACTTCACAGGGTTGGCAACTAATATTTATTTACTAAGCTCCAAATTGTAGCAGATAAAAACCCAAATGGCAAAAATTCTGCAAAACTGGCTGATCTTGCCTTTGCCACATTTGCCTCATTTATGCCAATCACCTATTTCTCTACAATACTAGAGTTTACTGAATCAACTCCCAAACCCCGAATTGTGAATAGTGATGTTAATGGCCACCACGCTTTGCCTATAGACGAGTCGGAGAATTCCTCCAAATCAGCCATTTTTAACTTAAATTTTGCAGTTTTGTTTTCTATTTGCTGTAATTCAGAGTTTAGTAAATACCTCTCGCAGGTTTTATTTTAAGATTGATTTACAAATATATGAAGCATTTGAAGCCAATTTACATTTACTATGAGGCTCCCCAACTCTCTCTCTAGGTTCAGTTAGACCTGAACTAAAGTAGGCTCCATTATAATCTGATGTCAGCGGCACATATTGTGTTCATAAAAATGTGTGTGTGTGTGTGTGTATATATATATATATATATATATATATATATATATATATATATATATATATATATATATATATATATATATATAATTTTATTTTTTTTCTTTGCAACATTATGATTTTATAGTCTCATCTCATTGTCTTTGCATTGAATTTGCCTTTTTGTCGTGGGGACCATGAGAGTTGGGCCTCACATCCTGCTAGATTCATACAAGGCGTCTTTTGTAAAGGACTATATATCACTGTAGGGATATTTCTTGCTCTCTACTATTCCAGGCAAAGCTGTAAGATAAGATTTATATTGGTTTTCTTAGCCGGTGAATGTAATTTGACATTAACATGTGACTTTTTTATATTGGTGTGATTAAATGTAGGTACCATGTTGGTCATAAGGGAGTTCCCTAGCTCTTGTGGAACCAATTCTCTTGAGCTTTGTTTCCTGATGGTTGTTCTGCATAACAAGAACAAAACTGAGGTTTGCCATGATTTTGCCACATCCAACATGGCCGCCACTCCCCGCTATTCAAGGAAGTTGGAAACCGCAGAGATTGCTAGAACCGCGAACTTATTCCTGCCTGCCGTCAGCTAACTCAGACTCCCTCTGTTGCGAGCATTTATACAGGACGACCGGCTATGTGTAGGAATTATTGAATTCTTTCATGCTCCTCTATTTTTTTAAATTCATATTGTGCTCAATCTGGCTTCACAATGAGGGAAGGTATATATTTTATTGTGCTGCCCTTTAGATTAATGCTCAATGTGGCGTGTGAGGATAGTTTTTATTTTTAACGTCGGACCGTGCTGGCTAAAAGTGTACTGTGAAAATATTAGCATTTTACTTTTTTGCCCGAAGTTACTTTTTTTTTTTTTTTTGTGTATGTAAAACTTCATTAAAAATCATATTAGCATTTTCTAATCCAGAATTATTCTGTTTCGATGTATTACAATTTGACCACTATCTGTAAAAATCTGTGTATGTATCCAAAAAATAATACTGCCACAAAAAACCCCAACACATTACACTCTGCTCATTGAAAGGTTTGTTCCATGGTGCAAATAAATGTTTTTTGGGGTTCCACACTGTTTGTACACTGTCAAATGGATCCATGGGAAAAATTAATTGGGAACCCCTGCTCTTGATCTTGGCAAGGCTTCATGGGAGCTAGGGGTGCTGTACCTTTTATCCATCTATTATATACACAATGTTGCAGTTTCATTTTATTGGGATAGTACCGCCTTGAAATTTTATTTTGTAAAGTAGAGAAGTTCGTAGTTCCCTTTTTTATTTTTAATATTTAATAACGTGGTATTGGGGGTGTTCATTGTACTAATTGTGATCACAAGCCTATTAACCCGTTCTGTAACTTGGGCTACATCTGCGTTCTCGGGACATTTTCAGTATAAATGTGTTGGGAGCAAGCGATCTGAATTTATTAGGGAACCAGTGGGTGTTGGATGTTTAGAGCCCGAAACAGCAGCTGCAGCTGTAATAACATTTTAGAATGTCCTGAGCAATGTTTATACCAACCGCAGACTCTGGCAGAGGAAGGTAATTCGGAGCCATCTCAGGGGTTGGACTCTGTTTTGTGGCTGCTTAGTGAGATAGTATTCTTACTCTGAAGTTCATGGTGAAAAGCAGCCTTTCACTTGTACTGAACATTGTTCACTTTTTGTTTACGTGTGATTGGCAGAGGCATGTTGGGTAGGTTTCTGCCAACATGTGTGCTAATCAGTTTTGGCACTTGCCCAAGTTAGACAGGCCACTCGTACTATGTCCTTGGTATGTTTTAACAGGACTCTGTGTCTTAGAATATATAGCGAATTGACCCGAGATGTTGAAGAAAAAGTACTGTAATTATCTTAAGAATGTTTGAGAAACGTTCAGACCCGTGTGGGTTAAAGATGGCTGCTCTCTGTGTTTTGAGGCCTGGAGCTGAGCAGGAACTGACCCTGGGACCTGCTGAGATGTTCATCTGACTACAAATAAACAAGCTGTGATTTCACAGCATTCCGCAAAAATCCTCCTCGGGGTTAACTCCTTCACTGCTGGGAGCACTCCCAACGAGGTTACAGACTATACACAACTAAAACCACTATATTCTCATTCAGCTTTTGTTCTGAGTGCTGATCCCTCCCATAGCGGGGATCGCAGACCTTTTAATTTGTGGGGGTAACAGAGCCGCTCCTTTTCAGAGTTTAACACAATCCCTCTCTCTCTCTCATTCTTGCACCATCTGGCGTGGTTTTGTTTTTTTTGCAGCTTTTCTAAACATGAATTCCGAGGTAGCGGTGAAGGGCCCAAGCCTGCTGTGAGTACAGTATACACGCCCGTCCTGTCACCCAAATCCTTCATGTGTGGAGGGAAAGTGTTTAAATTCCTTTTGAGTCTTGTCGTTGTCCTCCAGGCACTTTGTGAAACTTGAAGCTTTTGCAAAGCCAGGACCCATTTTCGGGAGGTGGCGAGCTTGTCCATCAATGATGTGGAGCGGTGTCGTATGTATTTTGTCAGATCTTACACAATTGTGCAAGTTCTTAATCCTCTCCAGGATAAAGTGGTTATTGTCCTTTTAAAATGGGCCATTATTGTTCTAGCTGTTATAAAAGCAAAGTTTATTCTTTTTTAGTGATTTTTAGACCTGTAGAACTGTGCTCACTTAGTAGTGGATTTTATATCTATATAGTTTTAAAAAGAATTGGGGTTGTAATTATCCTGCACAGTAAAGGATGCCTGCAGGCTTTTTGCCAGATATGGATTTCAGTGCCTGAAAGGGTACCCAGAGATTCTTTTTTCCCCCCAAAAAAATTGTACAGAAATGGCAAGTTTAAGGACTAGGTAACCCAAGGTCTGTATGTTTGTGCAGACATGTATAAATAAATTATCGTAAAATCTCTAAATAAAATAAATAAAATAAAAAATGTATTCTGCTTACTACCAATGCGTGGAGCAAATATTGTGTGTAGTTCCTAAAACCGTTTGTTTGCATGTACAAACAAGTTCCCTAAAGGGACAAGTTCCAGTGCCCCCCTCCACCTGTGTTCAAGACCTGCTTTGTTTGTGGTCAGTTGGACAGATGTAGCCGGGATTATGCACTAAAGTGTGACTCCGTTGTCCTCTTTAAATTGCTGTAATGGGTTGATGGGTCCATTCCATTAGGAATTTCCCTTGGACTGATATTGAGGTGCTGTTTATTTTGTGGTCCGTTGCTTGTAATGATTATGAGGTGCTGTAAAGTTTGTGGTCCGTTGCTTGGGAAGAGTTTGGGGTGCACCTCCCTGTGCACGGTGCATTTGGTTGGAATCAACAAATTTCTACAAATTCAAAAAAATGACAAATTAAGGCGAGGAGGTATCTGGGCATCGAATTTCTTTGACATACAGATTTTGGTTGAAAATATATTCCATACTTTTTCATCTGTATGAAACTGCATATCTAACTTTGTACACATATGGTTTTTTTTTCTCCCTTTGCATATTCCTAAATGGTCCGGCAGGGAACTTTTAATTTGCACTTCATAAGAAAATGGCTTCTACAAGACACGGGAAGCAAAACAATATCAGATACCTTGTGGGGACTAATTGAAGTTTATGTATGCATTTATAAATGTTGTTAATGCATTTTATGTGATGTATAATAGGAAGCATTTGTTAGGATTTGTGTAATCTGTACATTTTCGTGGCTGGAGCTTGAGGTTTGTACTTACGTGGCCCTACGGAGAGCATATTGTAATGTAGTGCAGTATACGTGGCTGTGCAAAATGTATTCTATGTGGGAACATATAGGGGACTATGAGGACTACATTCTGTGCGGGAGATTGCTTGCGAAATGTGTCTCTGGCGTGTGTGTGTGTGGGTGTGTGGGGGGGGGTGTACCTCTGATATACAAGACTCTAATCCCTAATTTTATCCTGGGGTATACATGTCTCTAAAGAATATACTACGAGGTACTGCTGGGATATACATGGATGTGTAGAATATGTTGTGTAACGTAGGGCTGGGATATACGTGAATGTGTAGAATATATTGTGTAACGTAGGGCTGGGATATACGTGAATGTGTAGAATATATTGTGTAACGTAGGGCTGGGATATACGTGGATGTGTAGAATATATTATGTAACGTAGGACTGGGATATACGTGGATGTGTAGAATATATTGTGTAACGTAGGGCTGGGATATATGTGGATGTGTAGAATATATTGTGTAACGTGGGGGCTGGGATATACGTGGATGTGTAGAATATATTGTGTAACCTGGGGGCTGGGATATACGTGGATGTGTAGAATATATTGTGTAACCTGGGGGCTGGGATATACGTGGATGTGTAGAATATATTGTGTAACGTGGGGGCTGGGATATACGTGGATGTGTAGAATATATTGTGTAACGTGGGGGCTGGGATATACGTGGATGTGTAGAATATATTGTGTAACGTAGGGCTGGGATATACGTGGATGTGTAGAATATATTGTGTAACGTAGGGCTGGGATATACGTGGATGTGTAGAATATATTATGTAACGTAGGGCTGGAATATACGTGGGTGTGTAGAATATATTGTGTAGCGTGGGGGCTGGGATATACGTGGATGTGTAGAATATATTGTGTAACGTAGGGCTGGGATATACGTGGATGTGTAGAATATATTGTGTAACGTAGGGCTGGGATATACGTGGGTGTGTAGAATATATTGTGTAACGTGGGGGCTGGGATATACGTGGATGTGTAGAATATATTGTGTAACGGGGGGCTGGGATATACGTGGATGTGTAGAATATATTGTGTAACGTAGGGCTGGGATATACGTGGATGTGTAGGTATAGGAATATACGTGGGTGTGTAGAATATATTGTGTAGCGTGGGGGCTGGGATATACGTGGATGTGTAGAATATATTGTGTAACGTAGGGCTGGGATATACGTGGATGTGTAGAATATATTGTGTAACGTAGGGCTGGGATATACGTGGGTGTGTAGAATATATTGTGTAACGTGGGGGCTGGGATATACGTGGATGTGTAGAATATATTGTGTAACGGGGGGGCTGGGATATACGTGGATGTGTAGAATATATTGTGTAACGTAGGGCTGGGATATACGTGGATGTGTAGAATATATTGTGTAACGTAGGGCTGGGATATACGTGGATGTGTAGAATATATTATGTAACGTAGGGCTGGAATATACGTGGGTGTGTAGAATATATTGTGTAGCGTGGGGGCTGGGATATACGTGGATGTGTAGAATATATTGTGTAACGTAGGGCTGGGATATACGTGGATGTGTAGAATATATTGTGTAACGTGGGGGCTGGGATATACGTGGGTGTGTAGATTATATTGTGTAACGTAGGGCTGGGATATACGTGGATGTGTAGAATATATTGTGTAACGTGGGGGCTGGGATATACGTGGATGTGTAGAATATATTGTGTAACGTGGGGGCTGGGATATACGTGGATGTGTAGATTATATTCTGTAAAAGTGCTGGATTATACGTGTCTCTGTGGAGTACTTTCTGTGAGGTGTGTATATATACATGGTTCTGTGGGATATATTTTGGTGTATATTCTGTGAGGTAGTGCTGGTATATACGTGGCACTGTGGCGTACATTCTATCTGTTCAGCCATTGGGTCACAGGTTCGAATCCCGGCAGGGTTGACTCGGCCCTTCTTCCTTCTGAGGTAGATAAAATGAGTACCATTAAATTGGGTAATCGTAACAACCCCATGGATGTTGGGCTAAGGTAACATCCCCAGGACGCACTTGAAAACCAGAGTAATCTGAATGTGCCTTTCCTGGTTAAATACTTTATTATTATTATTTTTATTATTATTATTATTATTATTTACGTGTCTCTGTGGAATGCATTCTGTGATGTGTAATATGTGGCTCAGTGCAGTCTATTCTGTGAGGTAGTGGTGGGATATACATGGTTCTATGGAGTATATTCTGTGCAGTATATACGTGGCTCCGTACAGTGTTTTCTGTGAGGTAGTGCTGGGATATACATGTCTTAGATGAATCCTTAGCATGTTCGTACAGGAAACGACAAGCTGTGCAGCTTATCAGACATGTTGGATCTGTATTGTAGATGATATTCTTGTAATCTGTATACAGCATAAAGACTTAAACAAACGGCGACTCTGCTTCCTAACTAACCATGATACCCTGCCGTGGCATATGTTGGCGCTTTATAAATAATACATTTTTACTAATGATGGTGACCCTTTAACCAGTAAGCTGGGGGTTTCTTTTCCGAATGTTGACTCTGTAATCAGCATGTGACCCTCTAATCCATATGGTAACTTTTTTTCATTCTTGCAGGATGGCCGAACCGCGCTTTAACAATCCGTATTTTTGGCCTCCACCTCCCACCATGCCCTCCCAGGTAAGGTTAGACTCCACTGTACCTTGTTCAATGACTTCCTGCGCTGCCTGCCCGCGCCCCTGACTCCGAGACGCGTCTCCCCTGTTGGTAATATACTGTCAGGGCTCTGTATGTGGGCGAACGCAGTGTGTTTTAACGTGAATATGGTAGGATAGAACCCGTATGTAGCTCTAATGTAGGCCTTTTAATGATAAGTTGTAAACATGGGAGTGAATAAAAATGATGTGATATAATAGCTGCTCTTGTGGCTTTCTCTACTATGTATAAATCTGTTATTGGTAGTGTCGGTGGTCTCCCATGCTGTATCGTAACACGTGTCTGTGGCCCAGGTATACAGTTATTAGATGTATGTCTTAACACAGATCATATTCTAGTAACAAGGCTTTAGAAATTCTAAACAGAGCCGGTAACAATATATGTTGGAGAGCACCAGCCGCCATAACGCTTGCTCTTTGAACGGGAATTTCTTAAAATTTGTAGTCTTTTTATTTATTTATTTATTTATTTATTTTTAAAACACGATCAGAAAGAGGAAATGGCCCCCTTCTGGCAACAATTTGTAGTTCATCAAAATAGCTCAGCGTTTTCTGTGTTTCATTCCAAGAAAGCTAATTTTCTTATTCACTAAAATGATCCATTTGAAACAAGTCTGGTGAGTTCTGAACCTAAAACCCATTAAAATAAATAAATGGCTTTAACTTTTGAGCAACTTAAGTGATTGTTATTTTTTTTTAAATGTATTTTTAAATTATTTTTTTTTTTTTTAAGGGCAGTAAGTGTTCTAATTCTAACTCCCACAGATGAATAGAATTATAATCTTTAAAATAAAAGGAGGGATTTTAGACCTTTTTCATTCATGTTACAGCCATCTAGTTTTGAGTTCGTCATAGACTGAAAAATATCAGATGAATAAATATGCATTAAATTCTACATGATGTAAGGTCGACGCTCTGAGTGATCCAGTGAAAGGTTGTACATTCTGCAGGAGGTAGCGCGTGTTAATAGGGTATACTTTAAAAGTCCTCCTCTTCTCTAGATGTGGAGGGCAAAGTGAGAGCAGATGAGATTACCTGTAGCCATGTGCCACTGTATACCAAAATCCACGCTTATTTATTTATAAAGCACCAACATGTTGTAGCGCTCTGCGTCTGGGGGATGTTATTACATGTATATCTGCAAGATTACAGATTTTGGGGGGAGTTCTGTGAAGATGAGTCTAGTTTTTACTAACGAATCTCTGTATTTCTTTACGTATTAAGGGATGTGTATAGTAGGGGAAATGGGGGTGGTGGACACATCTCAAAGTGTTTTGGTCTTATGGTAGTCTGGAGCTGACAAATACTTCATATTTTGCGGTTTTCCGTGTTGTACATATTCTTCATTTGATTTAAAGAATCTTGGGACTTTAAAAATCCATTTTTTTTAAACGTATGTATGGCAGTCATGGATGTTCTAATCTGACTTTTTGAATAGGACGTGTGTGAAATGGTGTATATTTGTGTGTCTAAGATAAGGTATGTCGAATGTTTTCTATATTTTTTAATCTAGTCAGCAGCGTATAGGATGAAAGCTGTACATGTTTAAGGCTGAGGTGGATTCGTAAATATGAATTAGGAGAAAAGGGCTAAATCTTGGCTAATGGTTCAGAATCAGGCGGTCGGGTGATGCTTAAAGTTCCTAGAGATAATGGTTAACCTGTATCAGGAATGGATTACACATGGTTTCTTATACTTTGTATATAATGTGGATCTTTTATAGTTAGTATAACTCGGTTTATACCTCTAATCATTCCTAAAGTCCCACTGTTAAAACCCCCCCTCCGAGAAACCCTCTTGTCTGTCCTATATTTATATAGCGCGTTCTACGTGGCGCACCCTCTTGTCTGTCCTATATTTATATAGCGCGTTTTACGTGGCGCACCCTCTTGTCTTTGCCCTATATTTATATAGCGCGTTTTACGTGGCGCACCCTCTTGTCTGTCCTATATTTATATAGCGAGTTTTACGTGGCGCACTCTCTGTCCTATATTTATACAGCGTGTTTTACGTGGCGCAGCCTCTTGTCTGTCCTATATTTATATAGCGAGTTTTATGTGGCGCACTCTCTTGTCTGTCCTATATTTGTATAGCGCGTTTTACGTGGCGCACTCTTGTCTGTCCTATATTTGTATAGCGCGTTTTACGTGGCACACCCTCTTGTCTTTGTCCTATATTTATATAGCGCGTTTTACGTGGCGCACCCTCTTGTCTTTGTCCTATATTTATATAGCGCGTTTTACATGGGACACGGTTGTTGCAGGAAAGTGGTGGGATAATTCTAGCACATTCACTTCCTGGTTGACTGCGTGTAATATCTACCTTGTTCATAACTGGTGAATATAAATAAATAAGGGAGATGTTACGTTTTCAGTACACATATTATTTTATTAGCAAACCTTTGGGTAACCCTCCATAAAGCTGTATTCTGAGTCTGGATTCTCTGTGATGTCCAGTTTTCCATAGAAGTTTGTGCTGTCTGTTCTGTTTTTTGGGATATGTTTTAAATGCCACATCCTCAAAAACTAACACCTTTTTTTTCCTGTGACACTCCTTTTTTTTTTTTTTTTTTTTTTGTGAATTCAGGGCTGTAAACCAACTAGTTAACGATCTTGCTGTCAGGTTACCAACAATGGAGGGGGACTAACACGCATTTAAAAGGACACTATAGTCACCAAACAACTTAAGCTTAACAAAGCAGTTTGGGTGTATAAATCATGCCCCTGCAGTTTCACTACTCAATTCTCTGCTATTTAGGAGTAAAAAGGACACTAGAGTCGCCAGAATCACTACAGCTTAATATAGTGGTTCTGATGTCTATAGCCTGTCCCTACAGTGTTTTCATTGCTGCATAATAACACCTTTAACGGCAGTCACTCAGGTGGCCACTAGCGGTGCTTCCTTGTACAGTGCTGTTCAACGTTTCCATGCTAAGCAGAGAAGCGTTGAACGTTCCTCGTAGAGAGAGATACAGATTGGTGTATCATTTTACACACACATGCTCAATAGCCTCCCAATGCACTGGATTGGCTGAGATTATCAGGATCGATGATCTCAGACGTAGAGGGCGGGGTCAGCCACAGAGTGACAAGCAGGGAGTGGAAGAAAAGGTGAATAGAATTCAGAGAATGGGACTGGGAGAGAATGATTTAATCCAGCACTGTAGTGTTCATAATAAATGTTTGTATTCCTGACCCTATAGTGTTCCTTTAAATCACTTTGTTTATGCAGCCCTAGTCACACCTCCCTGCACATAACTTACACAGCCTTCCTAAACACTTCCTGTAAAGCGAGATCTAATCTTTAAACTTCCTTTTATTGCACATTCTGTTTGATTTAGAATCTATCTCCTGCTCCGTTAATAGCCCGCTAGACCTTGCAGGAGCCTTTTAGAGGGTGTGTGATTAAAGGGACACTATAGTCACCAGAACAACTACAGCATAATGTTTTGAGTGTTAGCTGGGCAAGCCTTAGATTAGTGGAGTATAGTATGTCACTGCAGGCGTTTTGCTGTAAACACTGCCTTTTCAAAGCAAAGGCATTGTTAACACTACTCTCTAGGGACACCTAGAGTAGCAGTCACTCAGATGAACAGTAGAGGTGCTTCCTGGGGGAAGTGCTGCACAATGTTCAGTGTCTCCATGCTCTGTATAGAGACTGTAAACTTTCCCTGGAGAGATGCATCTCTATGAGGAGATACTGATTGGTGCAGTGTCGCGTTTGGCTCTGCCATTGACCCTGTCAGTTCTGATGATTTCAGCCAAGGAGACAATCTAGCCAATCCAACGCTTTCCTATGGATTAGACCAGCGCAGCGCTGGAATAAAGGTGAGTTGTTATTCTATAAGGGGAGGCTGGTCATCTAAACTATGTTTTTAGCACTACAGAATCCGGAATGCAAGTTTTGTTCATGAACCCATAGCCTTCCTTTAAAGTTCAATTTACAGAGCAGAAGATAAAAACTTCTAACAAAAATTAACATCTGTTTGAAAATGAAACCATTTTGTTTTCATGCAGGCTGCGTCAGTCACAGCCAGGGAAGGTGTGGTTAGGGCTGCATGGACAGAAACAAAAGGGATTTCATTCCTAAATGGGAGAGCCTTGAACAGTGAGACTGCTTCATTTAAGCTAAATTTGTTTGGTGACCATAGTGTCCCTTCAAAGGTGAATCACATCAACATCCGTATAAGTATTCCTGCTCTGGTTTAGGGAAGGGATGGAGGTGGGGGGAGATACTGAATCTTCCCTTCTTTTCTCCATGCCTCCTGCATCGTGAACACAGCTCCATTATTTATTTTACTCTTTCTTCTTCTCTAGACAAATAATCGCAAATAAAATTCAGGTTGAACATAACGGCATATACGTTTATTGATACATGTCATTGTATTCTTCCCTGGATGGAAGCCACTGTTTTTCACCTGCTGCCTAGAGCGACTGTCATGTCTTTAGGTGGATCCTCTTATTATTAAGAGGTCATTAAAACAAACGCTCGGAGAAGACACTGCCTGACCCACCCTACTGACATTGGATGCAGGCGTATGTTAAAGGGACATACTGAACACCAAAACCACTGCAGCTTATTGTAGGGATTATGGTCATTGAGGAGTCGTTATGGAAATCACCAGAAGACATTCCTATTATAATGTCTGCAGAAATGGAGGTAGTATCAAATTTAAACGGAGAAAAAAAAAAATCATGGCACAATACGTTTATTGAAAAACACACACAAAAATCTCTTGCACATATCCCAAAATGGGCAGAAAACACGTTTCCTGGACATTGCAGTATTATCAGATGAAAGGACCAGCACTCTACTACTTTGGTATCTGAAAATGATTTACAGATTGCTCATCTAACCACCTGAGGTCGCCTGGCTGGAACCCCGATTTTGGGAACGGTGGATAAGCAGGTTTCTACTACATCCAGGCTCCAGAAGGCTTCTCAGAAGGCTTCTCAGGACTGTGTTGTGTGAACTTAGGGTCTGTCAACGCTAAGTGTTCTTTGCACATTTTGGGAAACGTGCCGTAGCTTTTGTGAGTGAGTTTGTTTTAAAGGGTCTATGTGTGTTTTTATTTTTATTTTTTTTAATAAATATATTGTGCTATGACTTCTTTTTTTTTTGTATTGAATGCTCCCTCCATTTCTGCATATTGTAATAGGTATGGTATTAAATTTCTTTTATGGGTGATTTTCTATTTTTGGAGGATCTATCCGGGAGTAATTCGTAGAGTGGCAGCATTTCACCAATTCCTTAGTGTGTCGTCCACCCTTCCATTTAAAGACGCCATTGGTCTCTCATTTTCATTTTGTCAAAGTTAAAAGAAAGTGAATCCATTATGACACCACACTGATATGCCTTTAATTATTATCAGAATGTTAGATCTCCAAGTTAGAAAAAACATAAATCATTCCTTTTTGGTGAACAGAGCAGTAACTTTTTCTCAGCCCACAGACTGACTCTGCAAGGTTTCCACACAATGAGGCTCTTCCTCAGGCTTGACAAAGACCGTCACTGGGTGGAAATGTTGCTTGGTCAATCTTTGGGCAGAGTAAAAGTCTCTCCTATGGTATTGTGTGTTTTTATTGTTTTTCATTGCTTGTAAAGTGTATTTATCTCGGAGTCTGTGAAGTTATGCTGAGTGTTTGCTGGGAAAGTCTTCAATTAGTGGATTTCTGCCTGCGCTGCGGTGTATGTTGGGACAGTTCTAACTCCTTCCCTCTTTGTACAGTTGGATAACTTGGTGCTGATCAATAAAATCAAGGAACAACTGATGGCGGAGAAGATTCGACCTCCTCATTTGCCACCCTCGTCCGTCCCTTCTCAGCAGCCGCTCCTGATCCCTTCGTCGCCTGCGGAAAGTAGCCAGTCTGTCATGTCCCTGCAAAAGCTCCAGCAAGTTCCAGGTCTGCATCCCCAAGCTGTCCCACAGCCTGACGTGGCATTGCACGCTCGGCCAGCCACCAGCACAGTCACTGGTAATTTACACTATGGACACAGCAAGTGGGGGAACAAAGATACTTATGTAGGTGGGTAAATGGATCAGCGGTGAGCAGGTAGAGTACATGGCGTTTGGAAGTGAGGGCAGAGATTGGATCTGTGTTGGACTGAAAGAGCTTGATGCAAGGGCCAGTGAAACCTACTATAGCTTAGGGCTGTGTTAATATGTTCCTGTATTGCTTAGTGTAGCCATAACCATATGCCCATTACCACCGTACCCCTTAAATGATCAGGGACAGTCGGAGTAACCATGCAGGGAATACCATGAATACTGTGCAGGGAGTCAGTACTAATACCATGAATACTGTGCAGAGAGTGAGTACTAATACAATGAATACTGTGCAGAGAGTGAGTACTAATACAATGAATACTGTGCAGGGAGTCAGTACTAATACAATGAATACTGTGCAGGGAGTCAGTACTAATACCATGAATACTGTGCAGGGAGTCAGTACTAATACCATGAATACTGTGCAGGGAGTCCGTACTAATACAATGAATACTGTGCAGGGAGTCAGTACTAATACCATGAATACTGTGCAGAGAGTCAGTACTAATACCATGAATACTGTGCAGGGAGTCAGTACTAATACCATGAATACTGTGCAGGGAGTCAGTACTAATACAATGAATACTGTGCAGGGAGTCAGTACTAATACAATGAATACTGTGCAGGGAGTCAGTACTAATACAATGAATACTGTGCAGGGAGTCAGTACTAATACCATGAATACTGTGCAGGGAGTCAGTACTAATACCATGAATACTGTGCAGGGAGTCAGTACGGATACCAGGGACGTTAATGCATAGATCATAGTGAGTTCTAATACCAGGGATAAAGTTGGAAGGCCATAGCAAGGGGATGCAAGGTGTACTCATGTTTTGGAAGTGGGGAACACAGGGATTTCATATACCTTGGAAAGAAGTTGTAAATTTATAGATGCCGTGGCACAATAGTGGGGTGGGGTTGCAAGGAGTAGAGATGACGTGACAAGGGGTTGCAAGGAGTAGAGATGACGTGGGGCGGGGTTGCAAGGAGTAGAGATGATGTGGGGCGGGGTTGCAAGGAGTAGAGATGACGTGGGGCGGGGTTGCAAGGAGTAGAGATGATGTGGGGCGGGGTTGCAAGGAGTAGAGGTGACGTGGGGCGGGGTTGCAAGGAGTAGAGGTGATGTGGGGTGGAGTTGCAAGGAGTAGAGGTGGCATGGGGCGGGGTTGCAAGGAGTAGAGGTGGCGTGGCGTGGGGGCTGCAAGGTGTAGAGATGGCGTGGCGTGGGGGCTGCAAGGTGTAGAGATGGCGTGGCGTGGGGGCTGCAAGGTGTAGAGATGGCGTGGGGGGGGGGCTGCAAGGTGTAGAGATGATGTTGGTGGGGGCTGCAAGGTGTACATGGGGTGTGGGGCTGTAAGGTGTAGAGATGGCGGGGTGGGCTGCAAGGTGTAGAGATGGCTGGCTGCAATGCAAGGTGTAGAGATGGCGGCGTAATGTAAAGGGGTGATGATGCTATGGGGGGCTGCAAGGTGTAGAGATGGCGGGGTGGGGGGGTGTAGAGATGATGCGGGGTGGGGGGCTGCAAGGTGCAGAGATGGCGGGGTGGGGCTGCAAGGTGTAGAGATGGCTGGGTGGGGGCTGCAAGGTGTAGAGGATGGCTGGGTGGGGCTGCAGTGCAGAGATGGCGGGGTGGGGGCAAGGTGTAGATGGTGGGGTGGGGGGGTGTAGAGATGGCGGGGGTGGGGGGCTGCAAGGTGCAGGGAGATTTTATGGGGTGGGGGGCTGAAGGTGTAGAGGGGTGGCGGGGTGGGGGTCAAGGTAGAGGGTGGGGTGGGTGGGGTCGTAAGGTGTAGAGGGCGGATGGGTTGCAAGGGGTGTAGTGGGGGCTGAAGGTGTAGTGGTGGCGTGGGGGTGGGGGCTGCAAGGTGTAGAGATGATGGGTGGGGCAAGGTGTAGAGATTTATGCGGGGTGGCCAAGGTGTAGAGATGATGCAATGTAAGGCAGAGATTTATGGGGGCTGTAAGGTGTAGAGGTGGCGTAATGGTAAGGTGAATGGGCTATGTATATGCTGCAAGGGTGTAGTGGGGGGTTGCAAGGTGTGTAGGAGATGGCTATGTGGGGTTGCAAGGTGTAGAGATGGCGGGGCTGTAAAGGAGATGGCGTAATGTAAGGTAGATGATGGGGTAAATGTAAGGTGTAGAGATGGCGTGGGGTGGGGCTGCAAGGTGTAGAGGTGGCGGGGTGGGGGGCTGCAAGGTGTAGAGGTGGCGTGGGGTGGGGGCTGCAAGGTGTAGAGGTGGCGTGGCGGCTGCAAGGTGTAGTGGGGGCTGGAAGGTGTAGTGGTGGCGTGGGGGCTGGAAGGTGTAGTGGTGGCGTGGCGTGGGGGCTGCAAGGTGTAGGGAGTGGCTTGGTCAGTAATCCTGTGTAGGGGCATTCTGAAGAAATAAATATTAATCCGTTCTATCCCAGCTCATCCTTGACAAGTAGACCTGTGAATGTGCATGGGTGCAGGCTGCTGCATTCTGTGTGGGTCTGGGAGCAGTGAGGATGACGTGTTGTCCGTAGTCTGATTTTTCGCTGATTTCTTTCATTTATTTATTTATTTTGACATGCTAACGTGCTCCTTCTCTTTTGTTTCCCTTTCGATGCTTAGCCGGCTTCTCTTCTTACTTTTCAGGGCTGGGTCTGTCCTCCCGCACTAATGTAAGCACCTCAGAATCTAGCACCGGTACCACTAGTGCTACTCCCTCTACTCCCACCTCCAACAGCCAGACCCGGCTCATTGCCACCTCACCCACCCTCATCTCAGGGATCACAAGCTCCCCCACGCTGGACTCCATAAAGACCATTCAGGGCCATGGTCTGCTGGGTCCTACAAAGCCTGAAAGGGGGCGCAAGAAGATTAAGGCAGAGAACCCACCTGGACCTCCGGTGCTGGTTGTCCCGTACCCCATACTGGCCTCAGGAGATATTGGCAAAGAAGGAAAAACCTACAGGTGTGAAGAAAAATCTTTACTTTTAGAATAACCTCTGAGAATGCACAATGTGAAGTTCAGGTTCGTTCACTGAAAACCAAATTAAAATAAGGTTAAAATTGCCAAGCTGGAAATGTAAGTGGATTTGTAGAACATTCCTTCATCGTTTATATTTTTTCCTAAATCTTTTCATTCAGATAAGTTTGTTACAATTCTGTGCTCAGGGAATTACCTTGCCTTTGTTTTATTAAAATTAGTTTAAAGGAATATCAGTATTACGTAATTTCCCCTTTTAATTTGTTGAGATTGCAAGATGGAACTTTAGTTAACTTTGAACATCTCGTATGGGGGGAGCCTGTTGCATATAAATTTTGATTATGAATAATCCTAGAATAAGCAGACTATACTGGCATGTGCAGCTAAAGCTTGAAGTACATTTTAGGTTTGGGAGCTTGATGGACCATGTTAATAAGACTTTCAGCATGGTGTAGGTAAAATTAGGATGGACTAATAGAACATGCTATCAATAAGAAATCAGCAGGCATGTCACTGGGTGCTCATCAAGAACAGGTAAGTGGAGAGGAGCACGGGGCGTTCTGCTCTGGTAACAGGAGTAACTGCAACTAAGCAGATTCACTGCTATCGATGACTTATCCAACACCACAGGTAAGCCACACTTGCCAGTCCATATCAATATGGGGTTGGTTGTCGTTGCGTGTCCCAATGTGACGTTGGGTTTCATGCTTGCCGTTGGTGGCAGGCTCGTGGTACCAAAGTCCTGCGCTTCCCAGAGTTCAGGTCCTGAGGGCAACATTGCTGCGTTTCCAATGCTCGACCTTCTGTGTCTGGGTAGAGCTTGAGCGTGCAGGTGCTCCGAAGAACGTAGTCACTCGGGTGCATGGATATCTGGTAGGTGGTGCTAGCTCCCAGCACAGTCGGGAGCAAAGCTCCGGTACGACAGAGTGTGTCACAGGCTCTGCAGGTGAGGTACCGGTGGGGGATGGGCAGGCGATGCACTCCCAGAGCGCTTGACCCATCATATCAAATCTGGCCTCAAAGTGCTTTCTCCAAGTTTGGGTACGTGAGCTCTTCTGTAGATGCAGGTGTGGGGGCTCAGTGGCCATCTTGGCTGCTCCATGCGGTGGGCTTTGCAGCAGGAGGTTCTGCTGGTGCAGTGAGGTGAGTTTCCCCAGCGGGGACTGTGATATCCCCTGCCAGTCCAGGGGGAGGAGAGAGAGAGAGAGGGGGTGGCCGAGAGAGAGAGGGGGGGAGATAGAGGGAGGGGGGGAGAAAGAGAGGGGGGAAGCTACGGGGCTGCAATACTTTCGTCATGGAAAGATCGTTATAGTAAGATCGACTACCTCCCCTAGACACCAGGCTGCAGGCTTGTGGTGAAACGGTACAAGATAGGCATTTTGAGTTTCCTCTCGTTATAAGGCACCTCACAGCTCGTATGTGGCTATTGCTGGTGCAGTTAAAAGCTGGGAAGACTCGTTTTATGCCTGAATGTGTTGGAACTATGAAGAGATATATATTTTTAATGCAGATGAACAATTAATTTAGTAAGTCTGCATTTATTTTATATATTTTCTAAAAAAAAAAAAAGGGGGGGGGGGGCTTTCCAAAGTCCTACGTACTTGATCTTCCAATTTGCCATCCATCACAATATTCCTGTCAAAAGAGAAGCATTTAATTGGACTCTATTGGACAAGTGACCAGTCCAGCGCTGCTCAAAGAGAAGCATTGAATCTCAATCAGCTCAGAGCGAGCGGGAGCAGTCAGGTATGTGCGGGGGGAGATCAGGCCGTCTGTGTGTATTCTGGGTGACATAATTATTTAGGTTCCCAGCCCCCTTAGATTGCAGTAAAAAGTGTTTGAACTTGCCTTTTTCCACCTCCATGGTTCCAAACTTGGTGATCTCAGCCAATCCAATGCTTTCCCACAGAAGAGCATTGGGAGGCAAAACACTGCTCTGCGCCAATCAGCATCTCCTCATCTCCTAAATCATGGTATCTCTATGGGGAAGGTTCAGCATCTCCATGCAGAATTGTCCAAGGAAGTACCTCTAGTGGCTATCTGAGTGACTGCCACTAGAGGTGTCCCTATGGAGCAATGTGTTTGCAGTGTTTACATTGAAAAGTCTGCAGGGACATGCTGTAGACGCCAGAACCAATACATTATGTAGTGGTTCTGGTGACTATAGTGTTCCTTTATGTACCCATACTGCACAGGTGCATGTTACCCAGAACCTGGAATACTGGTAGTGTACACATACATTGGGATATTTTGTAATTTACTATCTTATAATCTATTTTTTTTATTTGTTCAGTTAGTCTCTCGTGCATGTACAGATCAACTATCTTTTCGATGTAAATCCTTGTCCTTTTTGCTCAACAGGTTTTTTTTGGTAAATCCTTTACAAATGTTTGCATATTTTCAGTCTTGAAATTTTCAGTTTTTATTAAGATCCCGGGCTGTATAAAATACATTTTAAATATGTATTTATTTTATCTCCTGGTATAGATGTAAGGTTTGCCCTTTGACCTTCTTTACAAAATCCGAGATGCAGATCCATTCAAAGTCCCACACGGAGGCCAAACCTCACAAGTGCCCACATTGTTCGAAATCCTTCGCCAATGCTTCCTACCTTGCGCAGCATTTGCGTATACACCTCGGCGTTAAGCCCTATCACTGCTCCTACTGTGAGAAATCCTTCCGCCAGCTTTCACACCTCCAGCAACATACCAGGTAAGGGTGTGATGGTTATAGCGGCACTCTAATTACCTTGACCACTGAAGTTCGGTGTAGTGGTTATAGTGCAGAATGTCTGTGGGTGCCATCCCATGGTTTGTATAAAATAGTCTGTGAATGGTTCGGGTTCTCTTACTGCCTATAGCTCAGGGCCTCTGAAACTTGCCTTCTGCATTAGACAAGCAGTAACAGCATACAGGCTCATCCAACTCTGGGCCGCTAGGCAAAGTCTCGAAACAAAATTGCATGAGGGGCAATTTTCCCCAATTTTTTTTTTTTTTTCCTCTTTCTTTCTTCATGCTGTCTGTTATATAGTTTATGATGTCTTTGTGCGTTTTTTTTTTTTTTTTCTCCCTTTTGGTTTTAGTAATCATCAACATGTTACACCGCATGTTCATTCAATAAGTGTCCCTTTAACTAGCATTAGTGCATAAGAGAGGTTGGTTGTGTGTGTTGGTTTACTCCTGTGCTGTCGACTGTAACACTTTGTGTGCGCAAAAAAATGAAATATCCGAAAGTCAAAGGTTCCCTTGGCAGGAGTAGCGTTTAGTCTTTTTTCTTCTGGTCAATAAAATGTGTTCCGTTACGTTGGTTAATATCTAGGTCCTGGGAAACTGGAGACAAGCTAAACCTACCTTTCCTGGTTAAATATTTTGATATTGTGATGGTTTGTGTGTTACCGTAAAATGTCCCATTCTGCATCTTACTGGTTTATTTTGTATTTTTCCCCAGAATTCATACCGGTGACCGGCCATATAAGTGTCCGCAGCCAGGCTGTGAAAAAGCATTTACACAACTCTCCAATCTGCAGGTTTGTGTATAAAATATCTATCTGAGCTGTAACAGATGTATATTAATATTATTTTAGGATTATCCTGTGTGTGAATTGGACGTGTTGGGGGAGATTTACAAATCAGTGTTTCTTAACCTTTTACGGAGAAGTACCCCAGCCTTGAGAAAACGTGTAGACACTGATATTTTATTTAATCCCATATTGGAGGATAATCCTGAAGTTATTCTGCTCCATAGTTCTTGCTCTGAGACCGTTCTTTTTCTTGTTAAAACGTCTGCTGATTTGCTTGTTTTATTCTACCCAGTCTCACCAGCGGCAGCACAATAAGGATAAACCATACAAATGTCCCAACTGCTACCGAGCGTACTCGGACTCCGCCTCCCTGCAGATACACCTCTCTGCACATGCTGTCAAGCACGCCAAGGCTTACTGCTGCAGTATGTGTGGCAGAGCATACACATCCGTGAGTATCATACTTTCTGGACGCAGATATCTTTGGGTTAAATGAGAATCTGTCTTATTTTTCAGCCTGGGGCCTACCTTCCTCTTTTGCACTTTATTTTTCAGTATAATGAGAGTATTATTAGAATATTTTGGAAGTGATAAAAGCTAAGCTCACCTCTCTCTCTTTCTCACTTTCCAGGAGACCTATTTGATGAAGCACATGTCCAAGCATACGGTTGTTGAGCACCTGGTGAACCATCATTCTCCTCAGAGGACCGAGTCTCCAGGAATTCCTGTTCGGATCTCCCTCATCTAGAGAGAGACCATGAATGCTGGGCACTGGAGGCTACTCTCTCCTCCATCACCTTACCCCCCCAAATTTCTGGATCCAAGGAGCAGTGCCTGCCCTCTCGCTGCCAACTGGGAATCTAATCACTTGATGGAGAAAAAGATCAAGGAGTATCAACCGATCCCACCTTTTTCACCAGACAGACTGCTTACCTTCTGGTCAAAGGAGTCATTTGGATGCTCCACCAAATGCATCTGTTGGACAAATTCTGGCACACCTGGGTACAGAAGTGTTTCCTTGTTTTGTTTTTAAAGACTAAGTAACAGGTGATTTGAACACGTCTGGATGGCCACACTTTTCCACTTCAATTAATGAATTTTTACCTCTGGATTTACTCATTATTCTGTTTCGATGGGTTATAAACATTTTAATTTGTGACACCGAACGAAGCTTCTGATTGGCTACCTGCTGGCGTGAGTCAGTTTGTGACTTGCATCTTTTTGCCAGACACAGTTTGGTGACTTACGTAGTCCCCAGCATATAGCACTTTGAATCTCTCACATTTTATATCTGTTTGTTTCCCTCGTTTTTTTTATCCTCCATTTTGTTTTTAACATACAAGAAAACAATAAAAAAAAAAATCCTATTTATTGGCCAAGATTTTGGTGCTGCTAATTGGGGGAAATTAACAAACAAGAGAAAAGAGAACTTCTAAATGGATTGGGGGTAACAGACTTTTCCCTCTGGCCTTCAAATAGGTGGAATTTTGTAGCTGGAGCCCCTCCTCCTACCCCTGATTGAGTGCCCTCCATGTGCTATCAGAGCAGGTTTCTCTGCTGATGGAAAAGAATAAAGAAATCAGGCTGGTTTGAGACCACAGACCACGCCAAGCACGTTTTTACTATTGACCCGTCATGGTGCCAGGACATGTGTTTCTATAACAGATCCTGTGCGTTGTGCTCACGTTGGTGGAAGCAAATCGGTCGCCTTTAGGATTTTGACCAAATTAACAGAGCAGTCTGTGCTGACGTGTTTTGCCTGTTCAGCGTCAGGGAGACTGGCGTGCTCTGTTTTATTTTTCTAAATTTAGGCATATGATTACAATTGTTGGTATTGCAATAAGGCACTTAAATCAGTAGCACATGTTTGTGGCCAAGGAGTTTGAGAGCTTGGTTGTATATAGAGATGCTAGAGCGTAGCCCCTTCTGTCCCTTAAACTGTTTAAAACAAATGCTTTGATCCCGGACACTCACATGCAAAGCAAAGGTTGGTTTTATAATAGCGAAGCATAGGTCCCCCCATGTTGGACATCAAGACCCCCCCCCCAATACTGAAACATTCAGGGTCTACTCACTCTGGGTCACACAACTCATGCAGTGTAGTGGAAGATCTTTTATAGAGTATATTTTGAAAGCCTGCACTGCTGGAGGGGGTACGAAGAATGACAAAGAACCTGTGCCTTAAGGGGTTATATCTGTATTGTGAATAGATGCGTGATAAATACTGCTCCATATTTCACAAGGAACATGTGTCCTGGTCACTTTGAGCCTTCACTTTTCTAAATATCTTTATTTTCCTAATTTATACCCCAGTTTTACATGATTTATTCTCTTGCCTTCCATCCTTTGTCTCGCACAAGATCTTCTGCCGTCTCCTCTCATTAGTACATGGCTGCACATTTTTTTTGGGGGTGGGGGGAAGGTCTGTATTATGTAACCCGTTAAAAGTTCACCTGTCATACCTTATGAGTTCTAGTATATGTTTCAAGTAATTCTAATTTCATCTGTACATTGTGCTAATGAAATTGATAGCAATTGCTATTCAGTTATACGTTTGACCTTTTTCGGTAAGACCATACTCTGAGATCCAGAGCTGACCTACCTTGAGTAATTCCTAGAGTGCACGTGGGATGAAGAGTTTGGGGGCAGGGAGGCTGTACACACAGACTCTCTTTGCATGGAATTCTTTGCCTGGTGTAGGAGTAGTAAAGTAGCTTGCTGGTTATTTCAGCTGCACAGTGTATAGATTGCAGTTATATCTACCTGGTAATTTGGGGAATATGAGGTCACTTTAATGTGTCTGATTCAGCACTAGTTATAAACTACATACAATATGAAGAAAATAACAGTATTGCAATATATAATTCAGCCATTGGCTAGTGAGAGCCCTAACGAGTAGAAATTCACCCCTGGAGGGTGTACTATGGCTTGTAATGGCGAGTAACTTTTTAGGCCTGGCTACTAGCATTGGACTTCATATTCTAGACCTGTTTCTGTTCTAACAATATGTTGGTTGCATTTATTTCCATTTACAAGATTCCAGGATTAAATCTCATGCTACTTTGAGTATTGCTACAGGCTCACAAATGTTTGGTAGTTCAGCAAGTCCCGTATTAATCTTTTCACCCATTCTCCTCTCTTTACATCTGCCTATGATTGTGTGCTGCAGTACTTGGTCATAACACATCTACTCCACATATTCCTGATGAGGCCACAGTTAGTGGTGTCTGGTACCGGGTCATGGCTGTAAAATATATATCCAGATTTGTTCTGAATGCTCGGTCTCAGTATGTATTTGGCAGTCTTGGCATGCTCCCGGTAATTTACTGTGAGATTTGTGGATCTTCCTATTTTTTTAATTGATATAAAATGTAAACACAGGGAAGGAGTTAAATGCTTGGGATGTGTATATAAGGCTGTCGTGAATTGGTGAAATTGGTCAGATGACATCACAGAGTACTAGACTGGTTTATAATTTGCTTCTGATCTGCAGGCGCAGTGCTGGTTCTTGGCTACACGCAGCCACCTTCATGCAAGAGGTCCCTGCACACTTAATTCAATAAAACTGTCATTTAATCATAGGGTACTGCCGTGGGAATATGCAAAGCATTCAAAATGTGAGCTGCCCTTAAAAGCTATATTAGCTGCATGTGCTGGATTTCACACCATTCCTATCAGGACGCCATGTCTCCTGCATTCAGACTCGGACTGCTTCTCACTATCCTTCTCTGCAGTGGCTGATGCTCTTTGCATAAAATGTGATGCTGTCAGCTTGAAAAGTGAGACAAAATATTTGTGATTAACCAAAATATAAATTGTCCAAACTGGATGTGTCCTAAATGAACTGAAGCACAAACACTGCTTTATGGCTGACTGTGTCTTTTGCATTGATTTAGGGCTTTATTCCCTTCACGTGAGAGTATTTCTGTTCAGAATAGAGCTCTGTATTTTTTATTAAAAATGCAAAAAAGAACTTAAACTTTTTTTTTTTTTTTAAATCCTCATTTGAAACCTAGCCTGAATGGCTGGCACTTAGTTAGGACAGGGCAGTGATTTCTTGTGTACAGATAAGGAAAAATTTAAATTTGCACAATGGTTAAAATTCCATGTATTTATTCATCCATTACAGATGTATCGAGGTAGAAAAACTAGTTTATACAGTATTTCTTATATTGCTATGTTTACGACATCTCAAATATTGATGTAGAAGCAAACATAGCATTTTTTTTAGAATACACTAGATAACCACAAATGATAAAATTCGTTAAATATCTTGGAGTAAAGTATTGGCATTTGTTTTCCAGATATGTCACCGAATGTCTCTGTATGTGGATAAAGTTCCCCACATGCAGTAAATACAGCCGCGCCCGGCTAAACCGGAATCTTTACTGTTTAACAGAAGACAATAATCTGGAAAAAATTGTACCAAATTCCGAGCCAAGTAAGGCAAACGCACGGGGTACACTTTGCCAGATGGGACTTGATACTTGGCAGCTGCCGTAGCAACCAGATTCCTTTTACTTTTTACAGCAATGCTTACAAACATTCGGTGTCACTTGTCCAAATTCCTGTTACATCAGTCTTCCGTGTCATAGCTGCTTTTCATCTGGTGATATATCAATGCTGATATCAAGTGATGTTTGCGCGGGATCCAACTACATCTGCTTTTAGAATTTACATGTGTGGGGTTTAATCCCTAAACTGGGGACTGCTGGGAAATCACGAGGGAATTGTAAACTCCACTACCCAAATACAAAAAAATAGGGGGGAAAAAAAAATCTGTTCAATAATTAGACCACAATGAAAACATACAACCAGGAAGCAACAGGACTGAGTGTCTGATTCACAGCTGAGTGGGTTCTAACAAGGTTAATGTATCAATGTGCCAATTTCTATTGAAATCTGCTCTTTTTGTAAATTGGAAAATAGGACGCACTCTTCACACACACAGTATTTCAGCAAGCTAACGTGGCCAAAATCTCTGAACTGGTAGAATTCTGCAACTCTATTTTTCCTTTGTTGCTTCTTAGCCAAAATGATTTTGTTCCCTGGTGGGTTTTCCAGTTTGGTGAATTAACGTGTCTGTGTCTGTCAATGGATGCACCCAGTACTCAGAATTCCTTTTTCATTCAGGTGGCGGCTACATCTGCAGCTCTAACCGTGATCAGGACAGCTGTGTGTAATTGGCAAACATCAGAAATATCAGTATTTCCAAGGCACAGCAGCAATTTTATAGGGACTACTTTGCTGAATACTTCCAGCAAAATAAAAGGCATACTTGTATTCATAAACGTTGTCATTCAGTTTGTGCAGGACAAGATGTCTTGTGTGAATTATTTCTATTTTCCAGATAGTCATTGTGGAAATGCCAGACTTGTTTTGTAATTTCAAGCTTCCGATATCCATTCCAATGTGTGTGGCCGCTTTATTTATCCATCTATCCTGCAGCAGACATTGGTTATAGTCAGGGCTCCATGGCGACTAGACATTTTGCCCTGGCGCTTTGGATTTGTCAGCCTTTTACCTCAAGTGGCCGGGCAAACAATGGAGCCGGACACTTTAGTGATTCTGGTGACTATAGTGTCCTTTTAACAAAAAAACTGGCTCCTAACTTTTTTTGCTGGCTCTTAGATTCCAAACCAGTTTGTCAAGCCCTGGTTATAGTCAGTCCTTTGTTAAATCCCACACATAACAGATCTATTTGTCAGGAACATTAGGTTGCACTTTCACCAAATGTCTGACTAGTTTCACAAGCGTATTTAAGTCTGGTATCTTAATGGCGTCCTCAAGTGGAGGAACTGAGATTTGGATGTTAAATGAAACCGTGTTTGTGATTGCGTCCGCTGTGTTAATAAAGCCGGTTCTGAATGTGGGCTTAACGGTCATTAGAATAGCTTTTCCAGGGATTCAGCATGTTTGATTAAAATGCCAGCAGTTAGGCTGTGTGGCAGCTTACCTGTGCCTGCTCCTTGTCACATTAATGTAACCTACGATTCAGTGCAATGGAAAGAATATATTAATTTTGGCACAATTTTGTGTGATTCGTATTGTTTGTGCTCAGGGCTTCAAGTCCTTGGTGTATTTGGGAATAAAATGTTTATATTTGGCAGAATTGAAGGCTTAAAGTGGCACTTTTAATAAATCTTTATCAGAAATTGGATTAAAACCAGAATTCCACAACACTAACCAAACTGTAGCAACTAAGCTTTGGTCGCCCCCTGAAATTTACGGTTTTGTTGACTGATGAAGGCTGCCCAAAGCATGTGACCTTAGGCTGTGTGAATTGGACTTGCTCAGTACCACCTTCCCAGCATTCCATAGTGCAGAAAATAAATATTGGTTCATTAAACGCTGAAGATTTGCCACCAAGGTTAAAAAATAAAGTATGTGGAGTTTATACATTTCTAATAAAGGTCACTTTAATTATCAGGAGTTTGCACACGTCCTCTAGTGTCAATAAACAGCCAAAGCAAGAGAAGTATCGAGAGGTTTTTAAAACGTGTTTGGTTATTATGATGTAGAAGTTTTCAGGAGACCCTGTTAATAAAATGTGAGGCCTGGGAACTTGGGGTAATCTTGTGGTATTTATTATATGAACACAGGGGGGTGTTGCTTAGCTCAGAGAAACTCCCCAGTATCTGGCTCTAGAGAGAGAGAGCCCCAGTGCTAGATTGGGCTTCCCAAGCAGAACACTGAGACTATTCCCATAGCCAGACAGGTTCTGGAGTGATCGCCTCATGTTTTGTTTCTAGAAAGTCACCAGTAACGAATTCTGGAAAAGAATCCATCAAGTTAAGCGCCTGAATTTACATTTTCTGAAGTCACCGTGTGACTTAACCCAGGAGTAGTTAATTAACTCCAAATAACTTGTGTTCAGTATAAAGATCAAAGCAGACAGATTAATTGGTTATTCCAATTAATCAGCTCAGTCCCCAGGACACGGACTGTTTTGCATCTTGTAACACCACAGCTGCAGCCAGTTACATGACGTATGTTACTCCGATCAATTCTAAAATCGGTCTGACGGGTGACTGTTTGGTGATCAGCTCATTCATGGCTCAAACAAATGTCAACATCATTAAAGTACATTAGCGTTTTATTTTTTGAGTACGCCTTACCTGGTAAAGTTGGTTTAACAAGTATTTTAGGACGTCGGCCACTCATTGCTTAGAACCCTTTAGTAATTTGGAGGAGAACCCACAGCAGACTTACCCAAAGCCAAAACACCTTACCTCTCTTGTTACCCAAACAGCAGTATTGTCATCTAAACCTGCGCGCCCCGATTTTTCGTCTACACAAGGACCAGCAGAGGGCGCCCAGCTACACCAAACCTCTCTTGTGGCAAGAGGCCTGTATTGAGCTCTATATCATGCTTTGTAAAGTGCATTTTTATTATCTAGCTGGGTTTCTTGCTAATTCCTGTTTGATGGAAAGCCACAAGCCAGGATCCCCAATCGGCCAGATTTCTGTATAAAATCCGCACCTGCACCAATCAAAGGTGCAGGAAAGAGCGGCTCTGTTATTTTTATACTCGTTTTAAGCCTTAATTATATTGTTACTTTAACAGTTGTATGTTTTATTATTCTTAGTTTACTGTTTTTAATTTTGTTAGGCTGAATTTTTGGCTGCCCTGCTTCTAATGTGTTGTGTAAAGGTAATGCAGACTGAATTTACCTGTCGGCATGTTAATACTGTGTAAATAACTCTAATATACATATTAACACCTTTTCCTTTTTCTATATAAAATAAAAGCCACATGTATTTAGAGTCTAGCTATCTCATTAAATGAAATTATAGGGGGAAGGAAGACATTCAGAAAAAAGACTGAAATAGGTCACAGCTGAAATGATCAATTTGCATTATGTATAAAAAAAAATAAAGAAAATGGGGGAAAAAAGTTTAAAAGTTGCTATTTGTATCTGTTGTGAAAATAAAGCTGTAAATGAAATGTTTGTAAATTGCTTTTTGTCTCAAATTTTTTTAGTGGCTAACTTGCGACAAGTGAACTTGGTGTGACTGGGTTTTGTTAACCTCGCATAATACAGAAAGGGAAGAAAAAAAAAAACTGCCTTAAACAGAATCCATTATTTAATAGGGTGTTAACTGATGTAACTGTATAAAAGATTTCACTTGGCAGCACAGCTTACTAACCATTAGTTATGGCTCGAGGGAGTGGGGGGCACAGCATATATCAGCTGCAATCAGTAGACCCTGTACACGAGATCATCTAGTTAATGTATGGATCATAGGCTGAGGTGCTTTGAAATGCCATTTAAAAAGAAATCCTAACCAAAGGAATGAAAGTAAATTGAACAGGTTACTCACTAGAAGCAAACTAGCTGGAAAAACGCTTTAAATCCGTTCAGCTTTCCATTCAGCTACTCTGGTCTGAAATGTGACATTCACTTAGAACTCAAGGTGTCAAATGCCAGATTTTATCTGCTAAACTCTCCTCCCTCAGTATAATCTGCTGGGCAAAGGACGAGCCCATGACATTTAAAGTGACAAATAAGATCCGTTGGAAATGGCAGGGTCCCACAAGGCTCAGTGAGGAGGTTTTAGTTCTGATATGAAATTCATGTCTCAGGAGTTTTATCTGAATTAAAGTGACCACCAGTACTATATAGTGCATTTACTGCTTTCCGTGTCATTGCTAGTTCCGGATTTATCGCATTGTATAAATGTGTTCTGATTTGCTGAACGGCCTGGCTGCTTGGGAACCATGTTACTCGATGGTTCTCTGCAGGGATCTACATGTTGGACACCTGCTAAAATACTTGTTTCTCCACCCCCCACTCTCCCTCCCCGAATATGTGAAGGCAATGGTTTAATAATGTACGGTAATCATTACAGAATCCTGTAACCTTATAGAACCTGGTCACTGCTAGTGGATGTGCCACATTGTCTCTGGGGTCCTCTGTGACAGCACAAGCTGGTAGCACTACCACCCCTCCAGCAGATCACAACTGTAGCTTATGCTTTTGTCTGACCTTACTATAAGTCTGGCCTTGCCTGAAAACTATATCAATGTTCAGTAAGATTGCAAGCACTTGGTCGTATCCTGTAAGCAGAGTGGGTGAGGAAAGGCTGGGTGTAGATTCACTTACCTACGGTACCCTCTGACCAGTATCTCATTGTACAAGTTGGAGTCGGGATTATGGGAACTCCTCACCTAGACATATTAATACCAGGTTTCAGGTGTCACTCCATGAAAGGTGGTATTGGAGCCTGCTTTTCAAGTGAGTCTCCTGGATTGTCCACCTTCCTATGTCGCTAAAGGTGTTAAAACCCCTTCAGACACTTACCTGAATCAAACGCCGCTGGGTCTGCTTCGCCCAACGCTTTCCTATGGGGATTCCGGCGACACTGAATATCCTCATGCAGAGCGTGAGGACATCCAGCGTTGTTTTGATGAGCAAAAGTAGCCACAAGTGGCTCTAGTGGCTGTCTAGTAGTTAAAAACTGCAATAATTACACTTACAGGGTTAAGGGTGATGGGAATTTGCACCACGACCACTTCAATGAGCTGAAGTGGTCTGTTTTGCTACGGTGCAAGTCTTCCCATAATCTCCTATACACTTCTTGCTAGCAGCAGTCCTAAACATTGGAGTTTGATGGCACAATCACTCACTGCCTTGAGTAAACTGACCCAAAGGAAATATCTGTATCCTCAACACATGACCAATGCCTCCCTTCATTCCCAGCACAGACTTTCAAATGGCTGATCAGAGGCTTCCCATAGAGAAGACTCCGCTACAAGCCTGCGTTCACACAGCTAAAAAGCAGTCCGTTCAAGTTCTCCAGGGTTAAAGAGGGTTCTGGGGACACGTGCAGGTCTGCCATTTAACTATTTGAAATCAGCACAGTTATAACAAATTTCAGACAGCCAGGGTGTTTACTTCCTGATTCCATTAGCTCCACAGCACTTCGCGGCTGTCAGTTTCAAAGAGAAAGTAAAGGGACACTCCAGGCACCCAGACCACTTCTGCCCATTGGAGTGGTCTGGGTGCCAACTTCCACTACCCTGCAACTGTAAATATTGCAGTTTTTCATAAACTGCAATAATTTACCTTGCAGGGTTAACACCTCTTCTAGTGGCTGTCTAGTAGACAGCCACTAGTGGCCACTTCCCGGCCTATAGTACAGATTTTCTGTGCTATAGCGTTGCTGGACGCCCTCGCGCTATGTGAGGACCTCCAGAGTCGCTGAAATCCCCATAGGAAAGCATTTTTCCTATGGGGAGGTCTAATGCGCATGCATGGCCATGCCGTGCATGTGCATTAGGTCTCCCCCTGCCGGATGATGTCGGCGGGGGCAGACCCTGAACCAGCGCCGAGGGACATCGGCGCTGGATACAGGTAAGTCACTGAAGGGGTTTTAACCCCTTTCTCAACCTGGGATGGGAGGGAGAGGGGACCTGCAGTGCCAGGAAAACTGTTTTCCTGGCACTGGAGAGTCCCTTTAACACTGTTATAAACTGTCATTAACAAGAGATGCCCTGACAGGTTAGTGATTTGTGTGTAGTTGCTCCTTTAATCAGAGCTGGTTTCCTATAACTGGAGCTCTGGCAGGTCCTACTTATTACTAATTAAACAAGCAGAGATCTTAAATGGCAAAGTTTCTACTGGGAGACATTACAGGGCAATTTATTACACAAATGAAATGGGTTGCTGTGAAAACCACCTTTCCATTTAATGAAATCCTACAAGGATATATAAAAACTCATTACAGGTGGATTGCTAAGTGAGGACCAATTAATAAATTGCAATACATGTCTTAGTTTGGACCTGTACGTAACCCTCTCAATTACCTGGAAGATATTGCCATAAAACCCATCACCTGGCAAACCACATCTTTCTGTCCATTACCAAACCGATCCTTGTCCTCATTACTGTCCATTAGAAAAAGGTACAGAAATACAAAATACTGTTGTTGTCCCCCAAAAAGAATATTAAAGTAAAAACATAATTAAAACCAAAAAAAGGTTTCTTTCAACAAAAAAAATACAAAAAACAAAAACTAACCAGGAGTGAAAAAAAAAAAAAAAAAAAAAAAGGTAAAAGTGAAAAATAAGTCTATAATTCAGCGTTTTTGTATTTCACGGGTGCGGAGTATCACCCCTTCCCGCATGAACAGCACCTGAATATGAAAACCACACTGATGTGAGAGGAAAGAATTTGTAATCCTGGATAGCACCGATGTCTAGCCTTAGGAAGGTCCAGTGTCGACTACTGCAGGAACTCCACCAGCAATTGGTCCCGGTGTTCTCAACCTCTATTAAGAGAAATACTAGTCATCAAAATGAATTTATCAGCACCCAGTCTTCAGAGAAAACCACGATAATGTTTCAGTAAAAAATAAAGAGAATCTGGAACTAGATCAGGATTCACACACTTTGCAAAAGTGATTCTTGGCTGCAGCCTTCTGCTGTAAAGTCCAGTGTAGGTTTATGAGTCTTTGAGGGTACTGATACGGGCATAGATCTTCAAGGCTGGGCCCAGTTTAATGTTCATGGCACTCATTAGATGTTCCTCTCTGAGAAGAAGCAGAGCTTGGCCATCGATTTCCTGGGCCCGGAACTCTTCTGAGATCTCCTGGCAGCCTGTGGGGAGCAGACAGTTTGAATGTTATGGCAAGGTTCTGGCCACATCTTAAAATTAAAGTTGTGAAACTATTACTAGGATCATTTGCATCCTCAATGCAATCACACGAGTCCAGGTCAAGACCTTGAACAAGCTGTCAATTCCCTTAAGTGACTTAAATCACAAACATCCCTGAGACCTTCTAGTAGGAGCAATCTTGTCTGACCCCCCACACCATCCCAAGGCTGATCTTGTAAGTCAAGATTCTCTCAAGTTACTTCTCAGTGGATAATTCGACTCCCTATCTCTTGGGTAAGAAGACCAAATTGTAACATGATTTAATCATTCGAGAGCTTAAAAGTTATGTCATATTGTAAGAAATGAACAGAAAAAATAAAATAAAAAATAGAATGTATTCACTGCACTAAAAACTCAGCAGAAAGTGCTCTGTGTATAACAGAAATCGAATAGAAACCAGGAGGTACTCACCTGGCAAAGACCGAATAAACTCATACACATCTTCAACCTTCCACTGCGTAGGGTTGCTGGGAAGGAAGTTCTGGTTTAGTGGTAGATGGTCCCCGCTGTGCAGTCCAGGTAGCTCCAGGTCCCTTTCACTAGGCTGTCGCTGGGACAGTGAAGAACTGGCAGAAATAGGAGACAGAGGTTCTTCATAACTGGAATTGTCTGATGCCCGGCTGGAATCTTCCTGGCTGTTAACATCTTTCAGGGCCGAAGAAACGGATAAAGGAATGGTGTTCAGAGGCGTGATGGAAACAGGCAACTGGAGAAGAGGAGAAACTGGGAAGTTACAACGGCTCCCATAAAAACACCACCCAAAAAGAATTTACAGATGAAACCTTGCAGAGGACAAACAATGATCCCCTCCAATCTACATAGAACCAGAAAGTGAAATTCCAGCAGATACATCACTAGCTGCTTCTTCCCTACAGGACAAGATTATTCAAATTAACCCACGCAAATACCTGTTTTTTTGACTCCGTATTCAGATTTCGCAGGCTTCCTTTTCTTTGCTTCCTTCGCGTGTGCTTGGGACCCTTCTGAACTTTGCTACGGTCTGGGTGAAAAAGCCCCACGCGTTTGGTGCAGCCCACATTGTACCTGGGAGGGGAAGAGAGGAATAAAGGTGGTTTAATGAAACCACAATGAACCCTTAACTACAGTGTAGGAACACACATTTTAAAGAATTTTTTTCCTAGTTTGTTGCAAAATTGGAAGTGCTTCAAGCTGGGATTTTTTTTGCCTTCTTTTAGATCAACAGCAAAATACAAATGTGAGGAAGGCTGAACTTGATGGATGCAGGTCTCTTTTCAGCAATGTAACAAATGCAGGACTTGAGAAGGGTGACTCATGGTTAAAAACCAAACAATATACAGTTTTCAGAGAAATGCTTTTATGTGCTTATTGTACAAAAATACACAATTACCAGAGACACCACTATTTGCATCTCACAGATTTCCACCAACACCGGAGATACTGATAAGAGCAGGAGATGAAGCCGTAGATCTATTCATATGAGTTTTCTTAATATCCTGCAAATAATCCAATCTGGGGCACCTCTTGCATTGGATGGACAAACTACACACTACAAAACCAGTGACACAGGGCACTTGGCAGACACTTTGGATGAGTTAGGATTAGCACAGTGCTCGTTATATTCTACTTAGTCTTTAATAAAGATATATCTTTTCAGGTCTCAGGAGGATTGTGAGCATGTATGGAAGGAGGAGAGTCTTTATTAACGACTATTGGTGAGATGATATATTTAATGCTCCAATACCAAGACTATCAGCTACATTGTGAGACCTCGAAACCAACACGTTGTACATTTCTTGATTTATAGCTTTATAAATATACAGTTCCAAAGTTGGCAAAAATAAAAAAAAAGTTTCCTATGAGCACAACGTGAACATATAGCATGTGGTAGACAGTAGATGCATAATGTACAAGGAAGAGGATGTAGAGATTGAGGTGCCTTGTACCATTCTGAAGACATTTAATCACAATACTCTGAAGACTTTTTCCGGGGTCTCACACACAGCACAATAATGAGTCCCCGATTTAGCAAGGCCATCGATAGTCCCTTAGCAATCTGGTTTCTTTAAAGACACAGCAGGTCCTTAAGGGGGTTAATGAATGACACTAGGCAGAGTGTTCAGTTTTCTTACTTTTTGGATTGAGTCAGATTGTTCTGTTACATATACACCATTAGGTTTACCCATAATGCTTCCCTCCTCCCATCCATCCCCATTAGTCACCTCTTGGCACACGCCATGGAACAGAACCTCTTGGTACCCTTAAACTTGTACTCAAAGTCCACAAGTCCACAGAGCTCACACTGCAGTGTGGGGCCATCGTCTTTGGTTTCTGAAACAGAAAGATAGAAAAAGCCTATTTTTAAAGTACAATCTTTATAATATTACAGTGCTGCTTTTCTTAAATTGTTAAAATGGTGGGACTGGCCATCCTTGGAGATCAGGTGCTATTTCCTTATTTTCACAATGCAAAGCATATATTGAGTCTTACGGACAGGAAAGACTGTATCCGATAATTTATTTCAATACCTTGTGCAAAAGACTCTTCCATCTCGGAGTCAGTGGTCGTAGTCGTGTTGTCCTGCTGAGGATTTTTTTCGGATGGAAGCGATTTGTAAGTTTCCCGGGCTCCCACCAGCAGTGAGGACCTTCCCACCTGTCTCAGGAGAGAAGCTGCAGTCAGGACCGACTTCCTGGAAGAGCAAACTCCGGCCTGGTCATGTAAACACACAATCTGCACTCAGTTACATCTCCCTCAGGTGTGAAAGACAGAGGCTACAGTTACAGCCCAAAAGAGGGGATTATCTCCCATCAGCCATGCAGTGTTAGGGCTTTTCTGCTGAAACAAATATGTGTTAACACAGGAATCCTTACCGCAGATTCCACACTGGGACAAACACTACAAATTGTAAAATGATTTAGGTTCAGTAATGCCATAATAGGACGTATGAGAAACGTGACTTGCCACAGAAAAACAAAAAAAAGTTACCATTTTAACTGAAATAAAACCTGTAATTTGCACGTACACAAAACGCAACGTTTAGCAATCCTTTTAATTCTACATCATGGAGTTAGTTAAATGTAAGCAATAAACAAAATTTTAATACATTCTCATCAATTGGGTGCTCATAAATAAGTCAACATAACCCCATAATATCTCACCCCCAGCTAGTGCCATTCAATAAACACTATATAGCTACAGAACCCCATAATATCTCACCCCCAGCTAGTGCCATTCAATAAACACTATATAGCTACAGAACCCCATAATATCTCACCCCCAGCTAGTGCCATTCAATACACACTATATAGCTACAGAACCCATAATATCTCACCCCCAGCTAGTGCCATTCAATAAACACTATATAGCTACAGAACCCATAATATCTCACCCCTAGCTAGTGCCATTCAATAAACACTATATAGCTATAGAACCCCATAATATCTCACCCCCAGCTAGTGCCATTCAATACACACTATATAGCTACAGAACCCATAATATCTCACCCCCAGCTAGTGCCATTCAATAAACACTATATAGCTACAGAACCCATAATATCTCACCCCTAGCTAGTGCCATTCAATAAACACTATATAGCTATAGAACCCCATAATATCTCACCCCCAGCTAGTGCCATTCAATACACACTATATAGCTACAGAACCCATAATATCTCACCCCCAGCTAGTGCCATTCAATAAACACTATATAGCTACAGAACCCATAATATCTCACCCCTAGCTAGTGCCATTCAATAAACACTATATAGCTATAGAACCCATAATATCTCACCCCCAGCTAGTGCCATTCAATAAACACTATATAGCTACAGAACCCATAATATCTCACCCCCAGCTAGTGCCATTCAATAAACACTATATAGCTATAGAACCCCATAATATCTCACCCCCAGCTAGTGCCATTCAATACACACTATATAGCTACAGAACCCATAATATCTCACCCCCAGCTAGTGCCATTCAATAAACAATATATAGCTATAGAACCCCATGATATCTCACCCCAAGCTAGTGCCATTCAATAAACACTATATAGCTACAGAACCCCATAATATCTCACCGCCAGCTAGTGTCATACTATAAAACACAATATGGCTATAGACCCCATAATAAGTAAACACAGTAAGCCAGGGCCAAAACTACAACACGGCTACAGAAACCTATTACCCTTATAGCCAATTAACAATTAGACCAGTTAGGCCCCTGCTTGTCATCTCATATGAAAGTCTATTAATGGCTAAAAACCAAGAAAGAAGAGACTATGAAGACAGTGGGAATCGTTCCAAGATGAGAACATACTGCAAAGCTAAGAAATGAAAGAGGAAACCCTCACTGGGAGAAACAACTGTCAAGGTCACAAGGCTCACTGGCTCCTAGAACTCCACATTGGGATAGCATAAGGAGAGGACGGCATTTTAGGTTTCCTTGTTGACCCATAAATGTCTCAGCAGAAGTGGCCAAGGAAGGAAAGCCAGCACAGCGGGAGAAGGGAGGGAGATACGGCCTAGCAAACATGCAATGCCTCCACCCCTGCCCCGCATGTTCCTATACAAGCCCTCGCGCGGTTTGAGTCTGCAATAGGGAAGGCATTGTGCAGCTGGCAGGAGATACGCACGAGAACATGGGCGAATATTATAAAATGAAATCTAATGATAGTCCTAGACCCACCTCCGTGACAGCTCGGCTCCTGTGCGACTGTAAAAGCAAAACCAAAGTCAATTTCATGGAAAACATACAGAAATATTCATTAATGACAAAGAGGGCAAATCAGGGGGACGTAGCCCCTGGAAACTAAACCCACCCATTACGCAGGGACGGAGGAAGGATTTCCAAATCAGTAAACAACAGAAATGTAATGATACCGATTAAGTTATTACATTGTTCTATGTAGCAAACTACAAGCATTATTCACTAAAACTATACATTGCACAGAACTTACAAGGAATTTCACATTTTAAGCCAATATAGGCCAACTGAGGAATATCTCCAAGTCATCTATTCTGGTTTAACATTTGTAATTTTCTTGTCGGTTCCGGACATTTCCCATCTTAGCTAATAAAAATAATTGAGTCGTGGAATATGAGGATAAGTCAAACTGATTACGGGGGTTCTATTCCCAGAGTTACAAAAAAAAGTATTAACCCTGTGGTCTGTTATTTCCCCTATGGGCACCAAATTGGGGTACAAAGCACAGTTTGTCATACCGGGAAGGGTTGGGCTCCTTCTTGGATCACGAAGCCTTCGATGACGTGTGTGAGGATTTGGGGTCTCACCACAGCTTGTGGAGGTTTATTCTCACCGTTGTGGGGTGCGGAGCCAGTGGCGGCAGCAGGCACAGTGGAGGAGCCAGTCCCTGAGGTCATGTCCAATGCAGGATGAGGGTTTGGGTCAGGAAAGGCAGGCTGACCGACGTCTGCAGGATAAGAAAATAAGTTAATGGAATTTGTACTCTGTATGAATATGATGATCAGAGTCAGAATTTACCTGAAAACTAGTCCTAAAGACCAGACCTAACCTGCGGCTAGTAATGGTAGTTAAAGATGGCGCCAAAACAGATTCACAGCTCTGAGAAAGCCAAGCCAGACATTATTCACAGTATCATTTTTAGAAAAAATAGAATACTGCAAATAAATAGGCAGGGCAGAAATGGTTTCCAGTCAATGACAGACTAGATAATTCTACCAAGACTGCCGCCCTACCACTCCTGCTGTGCAGCAATTCCATGTATCCACACCATCAACCAAAGCCATGTAAGAAATGTAACCGTGGCTCCAGCTGTGTGTGAAGTAAATGGTGACATTAGGGAATGGGGTGGTGGGGACGTTATTCTGAGATCACAGTGATTATGGTTTTAATGACTGAAATATCTGCAAAAAAAAAAAAAATAACAAACCAACCACAGATTGACTTTGTTGTGATGCGAGAAGTGCCAGGACCACAATGACAGAAAGGGACTTTCTGATCTCCTAGGCAGAGCTTTATTGAACGTCAGGTATGCATTGGCCTTACTTGGTATAACTAAAATATACTTCAGCAAATAGACAGGTGAAAGCCCCAGCAATTCTCCAGTACTCACAGTTTTATTGGGGGTCCTGAGTTTAAGGCGACTGCATACGGTGGCTTTATTGGGGGCCTAGAGTTTAAGACTACTGCATACGGTGGCTTTATTGGGGGCCTAGAGTTTAAGACTACTGCATACGGTGGCTTTATTGGGGGTCCCGAGTTTAAGGCGACTACATACAGTGGCTTTATTGGGGCCCTAGAGTTTAAGACGACTACATACAGTGGCTTTATTGGGCTAGAGTTTAAGGTGACTACATACAGTGGCTTTATTGGGCTAGAGTTTAAGGTGACTACATACAGTGGCTTTATTGAGGGCCTAGAGTACATACAGTGGCTTACTAGACACCATAGGTAGTAACAGTTTGAAAGATGCCAGGTACCCCTACTGTGCTTTGAAAATTGCCAAACCACCACATCTTCCTAGACACACTTTGGGAGAGTGCATAAAAGTCCAACTGAAGCAAATTCATATGCTTCAGTTGGACCTACTTTGAGTAGCTATTGGGTGTTCCTGCTGCAGTACAGGAGTGCTGCTTACTACAGGGAAGAACTCAGCACGCATGATTTCCTCTAACACATGTGCACCCCAGGTTCTAAATAATCCCCCCCAAAACAGCAAACATAGCGCAGAAAGGACCCAGTATGCAATCACAATTACAGAGAGACAGGGCTTATTCAATAAAAAGTAGCACCTGAATCCTTAGATGACAGCATTTTTCCACTTTGGGTAAATCTGACCCAAATTTGAAACAGACTTTGAATTCTCACTTTAGTTAATAATCCTGACAGATATTTAGGCTTCGATCCTTTTAATAACTGCAATCCCAGAAGGAGCAGCGCCCACATTATAAATGATTAATATTTACCATTTGGAGAGAAATGAATGATTAAACATTAGTAACAACACCTGACAGCCGTCATATCTGCCTGCCAATAAACACAGACTATGCCCGGCCGTATAGTGGCACTATACGAAATGTGCCACCCTGCAACATTTACAGTTCATCTGCCACAAGATGGAAATCAAATAGTCACGGCAAATCCTCTGGCAGTACATACAATGTGCATACTGCAAGGCAGCACCCAACAGCATACAAACCTGGATCTCCTAGTTCACAGCGCAGCGGATCAAGATATTTCCTAAACAAATGTCCCTACTCCATGCTGTGGGGCAATACATGAAGAATGCTGTCACACAGTATTGAGAATTCACACAGGGCTGGAGAGAAGGTAGTTAATCTGGAATACACTCTGTATAATGATACACACTAATCATTAAATAAATTAGTCCATCCTTTTCTGAATCATTCATTTTTCTTGCACCCCTAGGAAGTTTACAGGCTGCAGGGCAGAACATTCAATCCACAAGTAGGAAACCACATACACCTCTAGGTTACAGAAGCAAAAACTTAACAGAAAAGTAAATTGTCACCAGCGAAATGTTCAAACCTTACAGAGAACATCCATCACAACTCTCAACATCACTAATGGGGTAGTTGGAGCAGGTGCTCACATTTAGGCAGCAGTAAGTAGGGAGGGGTCTTGTTAAGGAAGTTTCTGTCATTAATCTGCAGCCCATCCCTTAACATTCCAAGTAAACAATCCAGGCACCATGTGCAAACTCCCTGACACGCGTCCCAAATACTCAACTCCCAGAACACCATGGGGCATGTCCCAAAATCTACCAGAACAGCATCAGTTCAGTGTTTCAGAACACGGGACAAAACAAGAGGCAAACCTGGAGTCTGCACTATCTTCAGTCTCAGCACTCCAGTAAGCCGGACTCACACTCCACAGATGAGCTGCAGGGATCTTTGGTGGTCAGTAGTCTGATGGGGAGTGTCCCATGCCCCCTGTCGATGTGGTCACCTGGCACCGCATGGTCCTTTGTTGTGATATGTTCACAGGGTGAAGGGGACAGGGTGGCCCTCTGTAGCCAGACTGCCTGGGACTCACAGGCCTCAGCCTTGTCTTCCTAAAGCCGGCACATTGTCCATGTACGGCCCCCTCACCCAGCTTCCATGAGACAATGAATGAGCAGCACAGTCTTTGTAAGCTCCCCCTGAGTGAGCCTGGGCTGCCCGTCCCCTCACTCCCTCCTCCAATCCCACAGCCCAGGCATAGCCAGGGAGGAGAATCTGAAAAGAAAACAAGAGGGAGGAGGGAGCTCTAAACATGAGCAGCTGCTCTACCATAATACCAGCTGTCCCTGTGTGTCTGCATGGAGGCTCACACAGCTGGGGCTGGATGAGGACTATTGGGGTTTGCGGGTGTATTGGGGATCACAAAACTTGAGCTGTATGCACATTATTGGGTGATAACAAAACTGGGGGAATATGTGCATTATGGGGATCACAAAACTGAGTGTGTGCGCGCATTATTGTGGGATTACAAAACTGGGGTGTATGCGCATTATTTAAGTAACAGCTATGATGATGCATTACTGGGGCCACGCTGTGAGGGAGGTTACGTGTTCTGTAGGGGCCACACAGCTGGGATTATGGTTATTATTGGGGTCACATAGCTTGGTGTGTGTAGTTTTAATTGGGGTCACACAGCTGGATGTATGTTTTTTGGGGTGACACTGCTGGGTGTGTGGTTATGATTGTGGTCTCACATCTGGGTGTGTGGTTATAATTGGGGTCACACAGCTAGATGTGTGGTTATTATTGGGGTCACACAGCCGGGTATATGTTTTTTGGGGTCACACAGCTGGGTGTGTGGTTATTATTGGGGTCACACAGCTGGGTGTGTGGTTATGATTGGGGTCACAGCTGGGTGTGTGTGGATATGATCGGGGTCACACAGTAAGGTGTGCACACAGTAAGGTGTGTAGTTATTGGGGTCACAGCTGGATGTAGGGTTTTTGGGGTCACACAGCTGGGTGTGTGGTTATGATTGTGGTCTGACAGCTGGATGTATCGTTATTGGGGTCACACAGATGGGTGTGAGATTACTGGGGTTGTATGTGCATTATTGGGGTCTAATGGGGGTTGTATGTTAAGTTGTTACTTATGTTAAGTGAACAGTACTGGGGGTGCAGGGTCAACTGTGGGTTCACAAAGCTTGTGGTGCATTGCCAATACTGGGGTCAGAAAGGAGAGAGAAGCATTCTTGGCATCACTGTGGGGTGTACATGCATTATACAGGTAACACAACTGAGGGTATATGTGCATAACTGGGGTTACACTGCTGGGGGTGAGAGTATCAAGTATTTATGGGTAGCTGCTGTCTCACCAGACAGTGTGGGCATGAACCCACTAGCTGACTGGTAACAGCAATGTGCAGTATGTGCTCCTCCTACCCTCTTGTGTGGAGCAACCTCCACACAGGAGGGTAGGAGGAGCACATACTGCCCCTGACAGGTGCAACTAACCCCGGCCTCCAGTGGGAGGAAACACAGTGCCATGGATGGGTGGCACAGTTCAGGACAGTTGGGGGAGTGCCCTAGCATTGTACCAGCTTTAAGAGCAAGTGAATCAGTTTGCCAGCTTGATGCTCCTGATCATCCTTCACTCCACATTCCTCTAGATTAGATTCACGGGCAGCATTGTGCCGCTAACAAAGCACACATATCTCACAGAACTTCTTCCATGGAGCCCTGGGGAGCACACACGAGGTGCCAGAGGCCTCCATTTAAATCCAGATTTAATTAACCCTGATGTGCCCAAGGGGCTGCCGTATGCTAATTATTCCCCGTGCAGGATCTAACACTTTATTCCCATCTTGGTTGATTCTGCAATGTGACTGTTTGTTTTATTATGGATTTATTAACTTGTGAACAGCTCACAGTCTACCTGACTAATGAACAGCAGATATTCCATCTAATGTTTCAAAATATTTATAAAATGCCAGCAATGTCCAGCACTGTATGGAATATAACATACACATATTCCTGTTCTGGAGAGCTTACAATCTAAACACCTGTTCTGAAACTGCACGTGTTTTTTTCTTTTTTGATCATATTGTAAAACACAAAACAAATGGAGTCTTTGTTGGGAAAAACAACTGTAAACAATTACATCTAAAAATTTACACCTGGGTTTCTTAAATTACTATTTTACTGATGAATAAAACATTTGGTTTTCATTATAATAAGACACGCAGAGCTGTATTTTCAGTGGGGTGTAAAAGCTGCAGATTTGTGTTTCAGACAGAAAGAAAGGCGAAACTCCAAATTAAGAACGCGCGCCACGCGCCATAGTCATTACAGCTCACTGCAGTGGTTGTGGTGCAATAAGGATTTGGGAGCTATCCGTCTCCTTATCCAAATCATAGTGTGCTGCTCCAACACCCACAGCCCACACCCTCTGCTGCCATGAAGAAAACGTAGAATTTCTGATTATTAGACCATCAGGACTGCTGCAATTAGTATCACTCCGGATACTGACACATATCGATTTGCATAGAAATAGGAATAAATACGATGGTTTTTGCAGCGCCAACGATGCATTTCATGCAAGAGTGACTCTTCGGTGTTTAGCGGCTGACCTAGGATGCTGGATATTAAAGGGACACTCCAGTGCCCAAAATAAAAATCACCATTTAGTAGATAATACATGAAAACATGCAGCCATTTAAATATGCATTTTTTTCATTGAGGGTATATCTAAAAAATGCTCATGAAAGCTACAGATCTCTTGTCTGCAGCCTCACCTTCTAACCCCGCCCAGACTTTCTGTGGCTGTCCAATCACAGACTTCCCAATGCAGCTCAATGAGAAGTCTTTGCAAGGCAGGTGCTTTGGGCAATTGCTGCCTCTTGAGTTTAGCTCCACTGAGCTAACCAAACCAGGAAGTAACAGTTGTCTGATTGACATTCAGGGGGTGAGGTGTAACAAGGTTCATTTATATAATTGTGAATTTCTATTGAAATCTGCACTTTTTGCAAGCTGAAAAAAACAGGCCACACTCTTCAAACAATTCAGCAAACTAAAGGGCTTTAGGGGTCTGAAATGACCATTTAAGCTCCATGATCACAGTGCCTGGTTGACACTCCTGGCATACTCTTCATTCAGTCACCCCCAAACATGGGCTGTTAGTGTCACGTCGATGAGAGGTAGGTAGGAACCTTTCAGCCATAGGAATGTTTTTCAATTTATGTCACGGAGAAAAATGGCAGTTCAAGACCCACATGTTCTTAATTAAAACAGGAAAAAGTCTAAAATGTTAAGTACTCACTTTCCACATGTAAACTTTATTGCATTGTGAACATGCTTCATTCAATGTACTCCCCAGATCTCTTGGGTGTACAGGGCATTAACATCATGTAAACTGCTTGGCTGTAAGACAATGAGCTCATCGTCATGGCACGCATGCTGGACTAGTCCAGGGTGAGGGAGATTCAGGTGGACGGAGTTGCTGTCATGGATCCCTGCTGGTGTTCATAACTTAGGGATTTGCTGGGAAAAACAGTTTAGAGCAATCACATTGGAAAATAGAATCCTCCTGGTGGTCCGTTGGTTTCGGAGGTGATTGCACCACTTTTCGGTTTATTAAATATCTTTACAAATCACTCCATTTATGGGCCAAGGCTGCAGTCCCCGTGGAGTTGGGGGAAGAAACGAACCTGCAGAGGATGGACATGGAACGCGGAGGTAGGACTAGCATTGCCCGTGAGGCTGTCTGCATTACTAATGGCAGGTTTTGCCATAAAGGAGGCATATTATACATGCCAGGCTAGGCAAACAAGCAATGTAGCACACCCAGAGAACTGATATGGGCCGAGCATGCTTAAACCTAGTGTCTCACAAAACATATGTATAGTGTTCTGCGTTTGTAGACAGCAGGAAAAGGGTCTGAAAATGGAACTGTCCCACCAAAGTTGTAACTGTTGGTAAGAATGCTAGTATGATAATGGAACAAGCATCCGAGTTTTAAACACACACTCAGGAAGTGATCCAGAGAACATCCTATCTGCGAGAGTGCTTAGAGCTCTGAACAAGCAGGCAAAATCTTTCCCCTCCATCAGCCAAGTCACAAAATTACATCATCACCGTGAATCCGAGCGAACATAATTACTGTGAATTAAGGGTCTGCAGTGATTATGTAGCATATAAGGGCAAAATCCACGTATATATCAGATCATTTGTATAATAATATAGAAACTGTATAATACATATAAATGTATGTTTAAGGACTGGTTTGTAACCTGGGAGTTTCCATTTTAAGCCCTGTTAATATGATTATGAAATCATATACTTTCAGCTGTGATTTCACCTCCATCTATTTGGCCTGAATGTGAAATTCTCTATGAATTCACCCTGAATTCCTGAAACTGTACAGTTTAGTGAATAATCCTGTTTAGTACAATAACTGTCCACTAAACAATATTTTTCCCACCACCACCTGAACCAAAAAAAAATTAACTTTCTCCACCATGAGTTTTTCGGGCTCTGGCTGAGTAGTATATTTCTTATAGAATATATTCAATATATCATGATACGTTACCATTTGGCAAGGATCTGCTCTGTTCTGAGGTTTCTGTAATGCCGACGGTGGGTTGAGATGGAGACGGTAAGTCCCGGGATACGTGAATTAAAGATGGATTAACAGACACATTCTTTGGTGGCAGAGTGTTGTGCTTCGTAGTGTCGTCCGGTGGTGGTGGTGTCTGTGAGACGAGACATTGATTTTAATGAAGTGAATTTCTGATCGTGTGTGACTACACAACGGCAAAATGAACATAATTTACTGTCTGTCCAGGACACTGATTGAAACATAAAACACATTTTTATAATCAGATGGGAAATGAAATGCATTATTTACACTGCCAATATCTCCTAATAATATATTTTTTAATATTGGTATAAAGGGAGAATCTGTAAGATATTGCTATATTTAATGCTGGCATCACGGGGTATTAATATATTGCCATATTGAACACTGGCATGTGGAGGATAGTAAGATATTGCCAAATTTAACACTGGCATCAGAGGGTATTAATATATTGCCACATTGAACACTGGCATGTGGAGGATAGTAAGATATTGTCACATCTAACACCGAGATGGAGGGCAGTAAGATATTACTTGGTTTAATATTGGTATATAGATATTGCTATATTTAATGCTGGCATGGGGGGGGAGAGGGGAGATTGTCAGAAATTGTCATATCTAACACCGAGATGGAGGGCAGTAAGATATTACTTGGTTTAATACTGGTATATAGATATTGCTATATTTAATGCTGGCATGTCTAACACCGAGATGGAGGGCAGTAAGATATTACTTGGTTTAATATTGGTATATAGATATTGCTATAGTTAGCATTGGCATATAAACAGAGATATATTGTTGGGTTTAACAAGATTATAGAGAGTAATATAATAAGCTATTGCCAAGTTTACTCTTGGCATAACAAGTGATCTGTGAGAGAGTCTGGTTTTTAAAATGAGAAGTGTAATTCACTAAACACTGAATTGCAGTGCATTGAAAATTGAAATGAGAAATATAGTGGCGATCATACACGTGTTGGAGACTTTTCTTCACATGAGCTATTTTGGCCTAAATGTTGCAATTTGGGTTTCAATTCAGTACAATTCAATATTATAGTAACTAAACCCCTAGGAAGGCAATCAGTAAACACACTATATATGCTTCCTATTGTGCACTTACCGCCCCTGTAGGTGCCTGAATATGAAGAATAACGGCTGAATTTTGCGAGAGAGGCTGGCAATGCAATGTGGACTTGTGCCCTTCCTGTAGGATCCTCCCAGACAAGCCAGCGCAGGCCTGGGCAGCAGGCATCTGAACTGCGGAGCTGGGCCTCTGTCCACCCGTCTCCACACATGTTGAGATCGGATTCGGTGGAGCCTGGGATGTCACTGGGGGGGCGCTGACACACTGACCCACCTGCGGCTGGTGGTTGAGAGGCTGCAGCGGGGAGCTGATCTGAGCAACAGGGAGGACAGGGCGAGGCTGGATCTGCTGCTGAATGACAAACTGGTGCTGAATCTGTTTTTGCTGCATCAACTGATGTGTGTAGGCTGTCAGAAAGAAATACGCTTTTTAATGCATTATGAAGTATGAGTTAGGGAGGATTAAACTGTGCCTGAAAAAATGCAATGAGACATCTTGAACTTTCTGGATTCATGTTTGAAGTATGTATGGTGAAAGGGTAGCTCCCAGGCTGAAATTTCAGGGTTACAGATCATGAAGATCTATCACATCAGCTGAAAGTTCCATGGCTGGCTGGGAGTGTTTGGGTTCTAGGGAAGGCTGGCTCAGCTTTTTAAGGGAGTTGGAGGATAGAGTTTTTAGGAAAGAGCAACATGCTGATGGTAGTGGGAGAGCTTGTGAAGACTGATACCTCCATCTCGTAGAAATTAGGTCAATCTATGGACTTTACAAGTGGTCTATCTAGTGTGATCACCATTACTCTAGGTGTTATAGAGCTGAACACAGGACTTGACATAGGCTCTTACCAAGGATCTATAACATGCTAGATCTACCCCACTCTGTCCTACTGTAGGTGAAGTCTTCAACCAGCAATCTAGAAAGGTAACAGCACTCGGGTTGATGAATAAAGTGAATGCTATTGTAGTTCGCATTTTATTTTTTCTCCATATTCACTGGCGTATTATCATAGGTGCGTTCCTGCTAGTGGAAACAATGACAAAATCTTGGTTTGAGTGCTGCTCATTTATTTATTCAGGATTGAAAATAGTTGCCATGACAACTGCCTCTCCATCGCAAGAGGGAAGACTGAATTCATCACTGTGACCAAGTGACCCAGTTATGTATCTCACCTACGACAGTCCTAGCCCATACCTGGGAAGGCCCCCACATTTAGTTCATTATTCTGATTACAAAACCTCTCATTTCTAGAGATACACAAAGAAAAGAAAGACCTGGCCGTAAGGAAAGGAAAATGTTTCAAGCAAGACTGACATACAGGCAGAGAGGGAGGTGGAATTCACAGCCTTTCTATCCTGGGTTTCCAGGACTCGAGAATGCCTGCTTTTCAGAGACAATATGGATTAGGTATCTAACAGGCGGATTCTCCTTTGGAGGTTTAACAGGCAGTTACCTGGAGAAATGATGGAGTGTGCAGTGACAGGAACCAAAGGCCTGTGGTTTGTCATCCCTCTGGTATCTGCAGTCTGGCTTTCCATCTTCTTGTGAGTGTCTGATGTGTCACCGGGGCCTCCTCGCACCGCTGGTAGGAGCACATGTCCAGCAGGCTTAGTGTGAGCGGAGCTGCTGACCGTTTGGAGGCTGATGTTGCTTGAGGGCGGCTTCATGGCGAGGCTGGGAAGGTGAGATTGGGTGCTCAGAGCTCCGGCTGTTGTAACATGTTTTCCTCGCATTGCGAGATTCTGGACCTGAAACACAAAGGGCAACATCTGCACCATGACCTCGCAAGGCACCTGTGTGATTGGAAGGCGAGGTGGCGCAGGAATACAAAATGAGTTTGATGAAATGAAGAATATAGCTTTACCAAGCAGGAGTCTGGCTACAGTTAGTGTCATCATGACGTCACGGGTAATCTGTTGGAGGGAATGCCAGCTCTATCTGGGTAGAGGAGTAGGTTTGTAGGAAGGGGCCATGGGGAAAATGCATAATTTAGCTATAGCAGAAGTTCTTCTCACTTGTCACGCCAATAATGTATGATAGGATTGTATTATGGAATTGACTGATGGCTGAACACTGTAAAGTCTCCGCTTTCTCTTGCAGGACAGGAGATATTTACAGATTGCATCGTGTTGTTTGTGTTTTATCGCCTCCATGGAATTCATAGTTTAGTAATGGAATTTAGAGAGATATTTACCTGGCTACTGCAGATTGGGGTTTGAGAGCTGGATCCTGCATTGATCTCGGACTGGACACTAGTCACGGTTGCAGTAGGTGTGAAGATCAGCTAAGGGATAAAAGAACAGAATGTCCTAGGATATTAGCAAACTGCAAAAGGTTACAGCTGATCCCTGAAGTTACAATGAATGTATAAATTCCCAAACAGCTACTGCACAGAATGGGTCAGTTGAACAGCTAATTAATTGACTGCGCAGAAAATGGGTCAGCCACACGGCTAATTCATTAACTGGGCAGAGAATGGGTCAGTCGCACAGCTAATCACTAACTGGGCAGAGAAAGGGTCAGGCGCACGGCTAGTTCATTAACTGGGTGTAGAGAATGGGTTAGTCGCATGGCCACTTCATTAATTGGGCAGAGAATGGGTGACTCGCACGGCTAGTTCATTAACTGGGTGTAGAGAATGAGTCAGTTACACGGCTTGTTCATTAACTAAGCAGAGAATGGGTCAGTCGTACGGCTAGTTCGGTAACTGGGCAGGGAATGGGTCAGTCGCATGGCTAGTTCATTAACTGGGCATTGAATGGATCAGTCACACTGCTAGTTCCATTACAGGGCAAGGAATGGGTCAGTTGAACAGCTACTTCATTAACTGGGCAGAGAATGGTTTAGTCGCATGACTAGTTCAATAACTGGGTGTAGAGAATGGGTCAGTCACACGGCTAGTTCATTAACTAAGCAGAGAATGGGTCAGTGGCATGGTTAGTTTATTAACTGGGCAGAGAATAGGTCAGTCGCATGGCTAGTTCATTAACTGGGCAGAGAATGGGTCAGTCGCACGGCTAGTTTATTAATTGGGCAGGGAATGGGTCAGTCGCATGGCTAGTTCAATAACTGGGTGTAGAGAATGGGTCAGTCACACGGCTAGTTCATTAACTGGGCAGAGAATGGGTTAGTCGCATGGCTAGTTCAATAACTGGATGTAGAGAATGGGTCAGTCACACGGCTAGTTCATTAACTAGGCAGAGAATGGGTTAGTCGCATGGCTAGTTTATTAACTGGGTGTAGAGAACGGGTCAGTTACACGGCTAGTTCATTAACTGGGCAGAGAATGGGTTAGTCGCATGGCTAGTTTATTAACTGGGTGTAGAGAATGGGTCAGTTACACGGCTAGTTCATTAACTGGGCAGAGAATGGGTCAGTCGTACGGCTAGTTTATTAACTGGGTGTAGAGAATGGGTCAGTTACATGGCTACTTCATTAACTGGGCAGAGAAAGGGTTACTCGCATGGCTAGTTCATTAACTGGGTGTAGAGAATGGGTCAGTCACACGGCTAGTTTAATAACTGGCAGTAGAGAACTGGTCAGTCGTAAGGCTAGTTCAGTTACAGGGCAGGGAATCGGTCAGTCGCACGGCTAGTTCATTAACTGGGCAGAGAATGGGTTAGTTGCGCGGCTAGTTCATTAACAGGGTGTAGAGAATGGGTCAGTCACACGGCTTGTTCATTAACTGGGCAGAGAATGGGTCAGTCGCACTGCTAGTTTATTAACTGGTTGTAGAGAATGGGTCATTCGCACAGCTAGTTCATTAACTGGGCAGAGAATGGGTCAGTTGCACGGCTAGTTTAATAATTGGGCAGGGAATGGGTCAGTCGCACAGCTAGTTCATTAACTGGGCAGAGAATGGTTTAGTCGCATGGCTAGTTCAATAACTGGGTGTAGAGAATGGGTCAGTCGCACGGCTAGTTCATTAATTGGGCAGAGAATGGTTTAGTCGCATGGCTAGTTCAATAACTGGGTGTAGAGAATGGGTCAGTAGCATGGCTTGTTCATTAACTGGGCAGAGAATGGGTCAGTCACGCGGCTTGTTCATTAACTGGGCAGAGAATGGGTCAGTCGCACTGCTAGTTTATTAACTGGCTGTAGAGAATGGGTCAGTCACATGGCTAGTTCATTAACTGGGCAGAGAATGGGTCAGTCGCATGGCTAGTTCATTAACTGGGCAGAGAATGGGTCAGTTGCACGGCTAGTTTATTAATTGGGCAGGGAATGGGTCAGTCGCACGGCTAGTTCATTAACTGGGCAGAGAATGGTTTAGTCGCATGGCTAGTTCAATAACTGGGTGTAGAGAATGGTTTAGTCGCATGGCTAGTTCAATAACTGGGTGTAGAGAATGGTTTAGTCGCATGGCTAGTTCAATAACTGGGTGTAGAGAATGGGTCAGTCACACGGCTGGGCAGAAAATGGGTTAGTCGCATGGCTAGTTTTTTAACTGGGTGTAGAGAATGGGTCAGTTACACAGCTAGTTCATTAACTGGGCAGAGAATGGGTTAGTCGTACGGCTAGTTTATTAACTGGGCAGAGAATGGGTCAGTTAAACGGCTACCTCATTAACTGGGCAGAGAAAGGGTTACTCGCATGGCTAGTTCATTAACTGGGTGTAGAGAATGGGTCAGTCACACGGCTAGTTCATTAACTGGGCAGAGAATGGGTCAGTCGCACTGTTAGTTTATTAACTGGGTGTAGAGAATGGGTCAGTCACATGGCTAGTTTATTAACTGGTTGTAGAGAATGGGTCAGTCACCTGACAACTACATCTCTACAGCTAGTTCATTAACTGGGCAAAGAATGGGTCAGTCGCATGGCTAGTTCATTAACTGGGCAGAGAATGGGTTCATTAACTGGGCAGAGCACGGCTAATTTATTAATTGGGCAGGGAATGGGTCAGTCGCATGGCTAGTTCATTAACTGGGCAGAGAATGGTTTAGTCGCATGGCTAGTTCAATAACTGGGTGTAGAGAATGGGTCAGTCTCACGGCTAGTTCATTAACTGGGCAGAGAATAGGTCAGTCGCATGGCTAGTTCAATAACTGGGTGTAAAGAATGGGTCAGTCACACGGCTAGTTCATTAACTGGGCAGAGAATGGGTTAGTGGCATGGTTAATTTTTTAACTGGGTGTAGAGAATTGGTCAGTTACATTGCTAGTTCATTAACTGGGCAGAGAATGGGTTAGTCGTACGGCTAGTTCATTAACTGGGTGTAGAGAATGGGTCAGTCGCACGGCTAATTTAATAACTGGGTGTAGAGAATGGGTCAGTCGCACGGCTAATTTAATAACTGGGCAGAGAATGGGTCAGTCGCACGGCTAATTTAATAACTGGGTGTAGAGAATGGGTCAGTTGCACGGCTACTTCCGTTACAGGGCAGGGAATGGGTCAGTTGAACAGCTAGTTCATTAACTGGGCAGAGAATGGGAGACAGAGAGAACCCTGGGCCAGTGAACTAATAAAAACAACCATTTAATGACTGCCCAACAACATAATTTCCCAAACATTGTCTAACCTACCCACTAGGGGAGATTAAATGTAGGTGCAGGAGGTAATAATTGATACACTGACAAGGTTATTCACTAAGGTGAGAACTGCAGGGAATACAAAGTGAATGTCAAACTTTAGGCTAAACTTGTCAATTTTAGAAAAAAACTAATTCATGGTTCAGTTTGGCTATTTTGGTCTTTGAATTCCCAGCAATTCTCACTTCAGTAAATAGCTGTGTTAGTCTTCACACACAAGCACTGAAAGTCTCCACATTCCCATCAAGTAACAGGTTCATTCCCTCCCTCCCTCCCTACATTATACTTGCATCATTCCCTCCCTCCCTCCCTACATTATACTTGCATCATTCCCTCCCTCCCTACATTATACTTGCATCATTTCCTCCCTCCCTACATTATACTTGCATCATTCCCTCCCTCCCTACATTATACTTGCATCATTTCCTCCCTCCCTACATTATACTTGCATCATTCCCTCCCTCCCTACATTATACTTGTTATTGCTCTTCCTATAACTTTGCTTGTGTGTGGCTAACTACCACTTCAATGTGATCTGGATTAAACTGGGAAAATATGACAATCCTTAACAGATGCCAGACAGGAATTTGGATCAGTGTTGGATTTGGCGTTTTAATGCTGTGGAATGGATTTCCTCCATGAATGTAGCTTGTAGGAGACAAACAGTGTTATTTACTAATGTGAGAAATTAAAGAGTCATTTCAAATTTAAGGCCAGAGTAGCCAAACTGAAAGCATTGCCGAATTGGAGAATTTTTCCAGTTCATCTATTTTGACTTTAAATTGACCTTGAATTCACTTTGAATTTCTCACTTCAGCAAATAATGTTGTGAACGTGATTAATTCAAAATGGAGATGGAAACACGAATAGGATCCTAGTATTCTCAATGTCCTCATGATCTGCTATTATGGCTTTCCATCACTTCTGGAGTTTACCATCTGCGCGCGTAGATACATCTGGGCCTGGCTAGCGGATAGCGCGGGTGATGTGGCGTTTCCGACAAGCACAGCCTGTTGAGTTACACCGGAGGCTGAAGCTGGCGTGGAGCTGCCAGACTGCGTTCGACTGATGATTTGAGGAGAGGTTGTCAGGTTTATCTGCTGGATGATACAAAGTAACGACAATCATATCAACACATGAAATGAATCCAGGAGAGCAGTGATACAATGACCAAAGAACTGAGTCAGCCATTTACTAATGAGGTCCAGTGGTTGCACACTGAGCAATGGTATCCAGTTAAAGGGACAGTGTAGGTCCTATAACCATTTAATCTCACTGAATCCATTATAGTGCCTTAGGTCCCCTGACACTGTCCAAACCATTTTGGAGTAGTTTAAAACTGAATGGGGGTCTCTGTCCACCCGCAGCCTGGCCCCCACTGTAAGATGTTGCTAAGGGAGAGATTATACACTTCCTTCCAGCAATGGGTGCTGTTATAGGTTGGAAACAGTCAGCTGATAATCTCAGCCAATCAATGCAACCCATTGCTGCTCAGGCTAATGCTTCCTTACTAGCAGCCCTTCACAGAAAGGGGGGGGGGGGGTCGGCTGCTGGGAAATCTCGTTGAGCATTAAAACAATAAAAACAGAATGACAGTGCCATGGGATCCTAAAAACTATAACCACTTCAGCTGATGAAGCAGTTACAGTGCCTGCAGTGTGTCCCTTTATTATCCAGGCTCAGTAAATGACCTATACACAGCGCAGACGGATTAGAACTAGCAAATGTACAGTGCGCAGGGACAGCCAGTTACCAACCAGGCTTGGCTGATGAAAACACAGGATAGCTGTCAGTTACTGACCAGACCTATTAGATGTAAAATGAGCATACACAGCTTGTTACTAAATAGGGGCAGTAGATGTCCTGTGATATGAGTTGGCCAGTAACTAACCAGGCACAGTACATGACCTTGGCGCTGATTTTGCCAGTTACTGAATAGGTCCAGTAGAGCAAGATGGGTAGCAAGTGCAGCCAGTTAGAGATCTGTAAACGTACTCATTGTTCATGTTTTGATATATACAATAAACTTTTCCTAGACTTTTAAGTCAATTGTGGTGTTACAGTGACACCTTGTGGCTTTTGGTGAAATTGCACCACTATTCGAGATACAAAGTGGTTTTGTAAAAATATAATATTTGTAGCAGAGCCCTAGTCCTAGCAGGGACTCTCCTCCCCTGGTTACTCGAAGATATACTCAGGAACACGTAAAACACTCCAATGGAACAGCCAGACACCGTAAAATAATCCAGGAATCTCCCACCTCATCCCCAGCCACTGGACGACACTCAGCTCTGGGGGTATTTTTATTCACACATACATGGCTTTTATGCCATTTCACATACAGAAGTGCAAGGGTTTCAATCCCAGCATCCCTTGTGCCTGAGAGATAATTTCCTGAGTAAACTCCTTCAATTTAATTATCTCTCAGCACAAAACAAATCCCAAAAATATTGTGTACCCCAAACGTCTCCCAACCATACATAGGACCCCACAAAAAGTACACTTCCTCATAACCCGATCTGAGTGACCAACATATCCAAGAATCACTCAGATCAGTTCGTGTGGAACTTTTGACTGGCAAGACATGAGGTGGTAGTCGAAAATAGTTCCAGGAGAATAGGTGCCCTGGCTGGTCTCAGTTTGTGAGGTTCCTGTGCAAAAACCATACAAGGGAATATCTTGCTTTCACAGTACGAATGCTCCCCCTGTTCAGGAAAACTGACAAGCCACGTGTTCGGTTATACAAAATGGCGGCCACCCAGGAGAGCATTCATTAATTGTTTCCCTTGCGGTTTCGCACTTAAGTGGTTGGTGTTAACGTTCTAATGGGGTACAGGGGTGGTCCTTGCTCAGGAGACGAATGGATTCCGTGCATATGAAGTCTCTCGAATGGCCAAAGAAGAACCACACAAAATAACCAGCAAAACACACTAAATAACAGGGGGGAAGATACGGACACCCAATATAGGGAATAAAAAGTAGCTTGCAAATGTCCATTCTGCTACACTGCTCCCCGTAATCACAAGTCAGCATACACAGTCTGATCCTCCACGGATCGGCTTGGGGATATTTGGGAGTGCTCACGGATCCTTTTTCCAATTCTGTCTATCTCGACAACCCGTCAGCAAATCCGTTCTGTTTCCGGGGCCGATAATGTATAGTGAAGTCAAAGGGCTGCAGCTCCAAACTCCAGCGCAGCAGCCTGGCATTGTCTCCCGCCACCCGGTTTAACCAGACCAACGGGTTGTGATCCTTGAGCAAAGGGCTGTCTGTATAAATAAGGTTGCAACTTTTTCAGGGCCCACACCAGGCATTCCTTCTCGAGGTAACAGCTTGCGACTAATGTAAGCAACGGGATGTTCTCTGCCATCAGGCACAGCTTGGCTCAGTACTGCTCCCAATGCAAACATAGAATCGTCTGTATGGACGAGAAAGTATAGTTGGCTTGGGGGCGGCCATGAGGGGGGCATTTACAAGTGCTTGTTTTAACAGTTGGAATGCCTGCTCACACTACGGGGCCCAGTCTGCTGGGCTGGGAAGATTCTTACGGGTCAGGTTAGTAAAGAGTTTGGACAGGGCACTATAATTGGGCACAAACTTCCTATAGTACCCTGCTGTCCCTAAAAAGCTAACACCTGTGTCTTCGTCCTGGGGGTTGGCCGCTGCCTCAATCTTAGTGGGCTCGGGCTTCTGTTGCCCTCATCCCACTCGGTGATCAAGGTACTTTACCTTGGCCATGCCTATGTTACATTTGCTAGGCTTAAGCCCGCTTCCCTGATCCGATCTAGGACTGCTCTTATATGGGACAAGTGCTCCTGCAAGGTATCGCTAAAGATGGCGATATCGTCGAGGCATAGTCTTGGAACCCATCCAGGAGTTGGTCCAACATCTTCTGGAATGTAGTTGGAGAGTTTTTCATCCCAAACGGCATGACCTTAAAATGGTACAGACCGAATGGGGTGACAAACGCCGACATAGGGATGGCTTCGGGAGCTAGGGGGATCTGCCAATATCCCTTAAAAAGATCAGTTGTAGTGAGGTATTGGCCCCTAGCCATCTGGTCTAAGAGCTCATCTATCCTAGGCATCTGACACGGTCTTATAGTTCAACTTTGGGTAATCTATGCAGAAATGGATCGTACCATCCCGTTTCGGTACGAGGACTACTATTAGGGAGGCAAAGGGGCTGTCAGAGGGCTCAATAACCCCCAGTCGGAACATCTCTTGGATCTCCTTTTGCATACTTTCCTGCACCGATTCTGGGATTCGGTACGGGGGTTGGCGCAATGGGAGTTGACCTGGTGTCTCTACCCGGTAAGAAGCCAAAGGAGTTTACCCAGGTACGCTGGAGAAGGTGGTTTTCTTCTCCTCTAATAGCTGCTGTACCTCGATCCGCTCCTGAGGGTCTCCCAATTTGACCTCCTCTATCGCATCTGACTGGCTTCCATCCCCTAGGAGGTTGTCAAAGTTCTCAGAGGCAGGGGCACAGATCGCTGCCACCTCCTCTGCTCTCTCATTGTAGGGCTTCAGCATGTTCACATAAGTGGGGTGGCACTTTTGCTCCACCACTTTGTATGGGACCTGCAGCTTGTCATACCGGACAGGTTTTAAAATTAAAACTTTCAGCCCTACCTGAAACTACGGTCTCTGGCCCCTCGATCGTACCAGGTGCGCTGGCGGTTCTTCGCCAACTGGAGGTTCTCTCGGACAGACCTAGTCAAGTCCTCCAGACGGTCACGGACTCCAGCACATATGGAATGATGGGGGTCCCATCCTGGCTAATATTCCCCTTCCAGTACTCTCGGATAAGGTCTAGGGGCCCCCTCACCCACCTCCCAAATAGTAGCTTCGAATAGGCAGAATCCTGTGGACTCGTGCGGCACCTCCCGGTAAGCAAGAAGGAGGTGCGGCATGAATCTCTCCCAGTCTTGGTGAGTCGCAGTGAACGCCTGGAGCATGTTTAAAAGTTTTGTTAAACCGTTCACAGAGACCGTTGGTCTGGGGGTGGTAAGAGGAGCTCACAATGGGCTTAATGCCGCAGAACCTCCAGAAGTGGTGTGTGACCTCGGCGGTGAACTGGGTGCCCTGATCCAACTCTATCTCCCGGGGGAATCCCATGCGGGAGAAGATTCGCATCAGGGCCTCCGCTACCTTTTCAGCATGTATGTTGGCCAGTGCCACCAACTCTGGGTACCTGATAGAGTAGTCCAGCACTGTCAAGATATATTACTTGCCGGAGGGGCTAGGCTTAGCTAAGGGTCCCAACAGGTCTACCACTATTCGGCTATACGGTACCTCAATTATGTGGAGAGGGTGGACCTTGGCCTTGCGGCGGTTTTTCCGCTTACCGACTCTCTGGCAAGTATCGCATGTCTGGCAATACCCCCTAATATCCAGAGAAATCCCAGGCTAAAATAAGTTTTGGGTAAGCCGATATCTGTTTCAGCTCACCCCTAAAAGCCCGGATAGCGGGATGCCGTGCGCTATCTGTAGCAGCTCCTGTCGGTTCCTCTGGGGTACCACTAACTGCCTAGTGGGGATCGGTTCCGACCCAGCCACTAAACTCTCAGACTCCCTGTATAACAGTCCCTTATCCCACACATATCTCTCTCCCTCTAACCCTGCCTGTAACATGGGGTCTGTGGTCACCTCATTCCCAAACTCAGTGGGCGCATCCCAGGGCAAATACTCTAGGGGCGGGAATTAATCTCTTACTTGAGCCTCCGGGTGTGAGCTGTGGTCTCGGGTGCGGGCTTGTTGCCTGGTGACTACCGGGTACAATTCCTCCGGTGATGCCTGGGGCTCAAAAGCTGACGTGAGCCTCCCCGGGTCATTCCCCAACAGTACTTCGGCCGGCAGCTCCGGCATCAACCCCACCTCCACCACTCCAGACCCTGCTCCCCAATTCAAATGTACCCGGGCAGTAGGCAGCCAGTATACTTTTTCCCCCGGCTATCCGTACTGCCACTGTATTCTTCGTCTTTGCAGCGCTCGGCACCAAGTGGCTTTTTACCAAGGTAAGCATGGCTCCTGTATATCGGACCCCTTGGACCCCTTCCCTGACAAGATTACTCTCTGCCGATGATGTTGCCCGTTATCTGCGTTGGCCTGTAGTGGGTCTGCTTCGTGCATGACTTCCCAGTTTGGGGTAGGGACAGCATACTGGGTCGGAGACTCTGCCTGGTAGTAGTGTACTGCGGCTCTGGCGGATCCATGGTGCCCGGTCTCGGTTCTGGGGGCAATCCCTGCGCATATGCCCCATCTTTTAACAGAGGTGGCACTGGATGTGGTTTTGCAGGTGGAAGCGAGGCTGTGGGGCAGTAGCGTTATTAAATTGCCTGGGAGGTGCTTTACACCCACCCCAGTTCGACTCGGTGTAGTCGGCAGGCCCATTCAGCATGGGAATCTTTATCTGCCCTTATCAGTTCTCTGAACCGCCTGAGGTATGCCTCTGGCGTGATGGCATACCTGGCGAGTATTACCTCCTTTACTCGGCTATAATTTCTTATTTAGTCTGTAAGCTTCCGCTGCTCTCTCTGACAGTCTGCTTGCCAACAGGGGGACCCAGTCATCAACATCAATTTTATGTAGGGCACATTGTTTTTCAAAATCCTAGAGGAATGCATCAATATTTTCCTCTGCCTCTATATAGTTTATAACTGCATTATAGGGTATTTTGGGCTTACCCTCTTGCACCACTGTCACTGCTTAGGTTCTTTCGGGAGTTTGTTGATCACTTTGCCTCAGCACAAACTCCTGGACCTCTGACATGGTTTGTGCAACAATGTCTGTATACGGGTTTTCCCCATAAAAGGACAACCGAAACTGTAACTCCATTAGGAAATCCGACGGTTCCGGTTCGTGTACCGAACAGCTCCGTTCGGGAACCAAACCGCCATCCGTTCGGTATTCTGCCATCTCTTCAGCAACGAGGGTAGCCTTTTTCTTGCTGCTCGCTGATATCTCTCTTGCCTCTAGGAGATCCTTTAGCGTGGACTGTTTTGGAATGGAGTAGTCAATCTCCACCCATGGCCCATCTGGCTAAATCCACTGGTACTTGTTCCTCTGTGAGCTCTGGATCCCGATTCAGTCAGCTTATGTAGTGGAGCCCTAGTCCTAGCAGGGACTCTCCTCCGCTGGGTACTCCAAGATATACTAAGGAACACGTAAAACACTCTAATGGAACAGCCACACACAGTAAAATAATCCAGGACTCTCCCACCTCATCCCCAGCAACTGGATGACACTCTGCTCTGGGGGTACACCCTGTTCCAAATTATTATGCAAATTATATTTTTCTCATTTACCTAAATAATTGATGTAAATAACAGTCAGTATAATTCTCATGTTATCAACTTTTAAGAGTACAATTCAAATTTTATTTAACAAACCTCCTAATGATAACAGTATTTTTTTTTAAACATAAAAAAAACTTACAACGCACTGTTCCAAATTATTACGCACAGTAAGTTTCAAAACACTTTATAGGTTGAAAAGAACTGAAAATTGTCATTTGTTGTGTTTTCAGTATATTTAATAAAATCAAAAGCTATTTCAATCAAACTTATAACAACATTTTAACTTTTTAAACATTTTAACATAGGACCCCTTATTTGATAGCAGCTTCACAAGTCTTGCATCCATTGAACTTGTGAGTTTTTGGACAGTTTCTGCTTGAATTTGTTTGCAAGGTGTCAGAATAGCCTCCCAGTGCTGCTGTTTGGATGTAAACTGCCTCCCACCCTCATAGATCTTTTGCTTGAGGATGCTCCAAAGGTTCTCAATAGGATTGAGGTCAGGGGAGGCTGTTTATCCCCATAACAGCCATTGATGCAGATGTATTCTTTGCAGCATGAGATGGTGCATTGTCATGCATGAAGATGATTTTATTACGGAAATTATCCCTTCTGTACCAGGGAAGAAAATGGTCATTCAGAAACACCACATACTTTGCAGAGGTCATCTTAACACGTTCGGGGACCCTAAAGGGGCCGACCAGCTCTCTTCCCATGAGTCCGGCCCAAAACTTGACTCCACCACGTCCTTGCTGACGTCGCAGTCTTGTTGGAACAGGGTGGCCGTCCACCAACCATCCACTACTCCATCCATCTGGACCATCCAGGGTTGCACGGCACTCATCAGTGAACAGGACTGTTTGAAAATTAGTTTTCAAGTATTTTTCTGCCCAATGCAGCCGTTTCTGCTTGTGAGCATTGGTTAGTGGTGGCCGAATAGAAGGTTTATGCACAGTTGCAAGACTCTGGATGTCCATGGGACTCCAGAGGCACCAGCAGCTTCAAATATCTGTTTGCTGCTATGTAATGGTATTTTATCAGCTGCTCTCTTGATCCAATGCATGGATCTGGCAGAAATCTTCCTCAATGTGCCTTTATCTGCACAAACCCGTCTGTGCTCTGAATCAGCCACAAATCTCTTAATAGTGCGATGATCACGCTTAAGTTTTCGTGAAATATCTAATGTTTTCATACCTCGTCCAAGGCATTGAACTATTTCACTGTTTTCGGCAGCAGAGAGATCCTTTTTCTTCCCCATATTGCATGAAAATGGTGCTCTGCTTAATAATGTGGAACACCCTCCTTTAGTAGTGTTTCCTTAAATTGGGCTCATCTAATTATCACAGGTGTCCGAGATTGTTTTCAGTGATCAAAAGAGCCCTGAGACACAATGCCATCCATGAGTTAAACTGAAAAACAAAATATTTAATCTTTGTGACACTTAAATAGAATTTGCATAATAATTTGGAGCAGGGTATATAACTGATTTTTATTCACACATACACAGCTTTTATGCTATCTCCCATGCAAGGGGTTTCACTTACAGAAAATGCAAGAGTTTCAATCCCAAGATCCCTTGAGCCAATTGGATCTGCAAGAGGGTTATTTAAACTTATTTATTCCTTAGCTCATTGCTGTGTCGTGGTTTCCCTTAGATGGTTATCCAAGAGTGTATTCCTGATTGTTTTTTTCTGGTTTTTGACTTTGGCTTCGTTTTGACTTCCCTGATTTCTGGTACCCTTGACTTTTGGCTTTTCCGTATTGCTGTGTCTCATTCTGTGTCCCTGATCTTGGTTGGTTTTCTGACTATTCTCGGGTACGTTACGTCCGGCCATTCTAAGGCCCAGAAAGACGTTACTAGTCTGTGTGCTTGATCAATATAATCCTGACTATTCGTGAGGTTCCTGTGAGAAAACCATACAATGGAATCTCTTGCTTCCACTATACGAATGCTCCCCCTGTTCGGTACTTTATATCTGTCAAGCGCCGTTCGTGTACGTGGTTGGGAACAGGTGTTTACTGGTGTTTGCGCGAGGGCCAAGGCCCTCGAAGATCAAGTACCGCTGCCCTCGTTCGGGAGACAATATGGCTGCCTTTCTCCCAGCCACGTGTTCGGTTATACGAAATGTCGGCCACCCAGAAGATCATTGTTTCCCTTGCGGTTTCGCACTTAAGTGGTTGGTGTTAATATTCTAATTGGGTACAGGGGTGGTCCTTATTCGGGAGACGAATGGATTCTGTCCGTATGAAGTCTCCCGAACGGCCAAAGAAGAACCACATGAAATAACTGGCAAAACACACTAAATAACAGGGGGGAAGATACGGACAGCCAATATAGGGAATAAAAAGTAGCTTGCTACAATATTAAAAAAGAAATTGCTCCTACAGAGGATCCCAGTCTCCTAGTCTGTACTAGAAAATGTCAGAGGATCCCAGTCTCTTATTCCACAATAGAACGTGTCACAGAGGATCCCAGTCTCTTATTCCTTAATAGAACACGTGTCACAGAGGATCCCAGTCTCTTATTCTGTAATAGAACACGTGTCACAGAGGATCCCAGTCTCTTATTCTGTAATAGAATGGTCACAGAGGATCCCAGTCTCTTATTCTGTAATAGAATGTGTCACAGAGGATCCCAGTCTCTTATTCTGTAATAGAATGTGTCACAGAAGATCCCAGTCTCTTATTCCTTAATAGAACACGTGTCACAGAGGATCCCAGTCTCTTATTCTGTAATAGAACACGTGTCACAGAGGATCCCAGTCTCTTATTCTGTAATAGAATGTGTCACAGAGGATCCCAGTCTCTTATTCCGTAATAGAATGTGTCACAGAAGATCCCAGTCTCTTATTCTGTAATAGAATGGGTCACATAGGATCCCAGTCTCTTATTCTGTAATAGAATGTGTCACAGAGGATCCCAGTCTCTTATTCCGTAATAGAACACGTGTCACAGAGGATCCCAGTCTCTTATTCTGTAATATAATGTGTCACAGAGGATCCCAGTCTCTTATTCTGTAATAGAACACGTGTCACAGAGGATCCCAGTCTCTTTGTCCGTAATAGAATGTATCACAGAGGATCCCAGTCTCTTATTCTGTAATAGAACACGTGTCACAGAGGATCCCAGTCTCTTATTCTGTAATAGAATGTGTCACAGAGGATCCCAGTCTCTTATTCTGTAATACAGCATGTTACAGAGGATCCCAGTCTCTTATTCTGTAATATAATGTGTCACAGAGGATCCCAGTCTCTTATTCTGTAATAGAACACGTGTCACAGAGGATCCCAGTCTCTTATTCTGTAATAGAATGTGTCACAGAGTATCCCAGTCTCTTATTCTGTAATAGAATGTGTCACAGAGGATCCCAGTCTCTTTGTCCGTAATAGAATGTGTCACAGAGGATCCCAGTCTCTTATTCTGTAATAGAATGTGTCACAGAGGATCCCAGTCTCTTTGTCCGTAATAGAATGTGTCACATAGGATCCCAGTCTCTTATTCTGTAATAGAATGTGTCACAGAGGATCCCAGTCTCTTATTCTGTAATAGAACACGTGTCACAGAGGATCCCAGTCTCTTATTCTGTAATAGAACACGTGTCACAGAGGATCCCAGTCTCTTTGTCCGTAATAGAATGTGTCACAGAGGATCCCAGTCTCTTATTCTGTAATAGAACGTGTCACAGAGGATCCCAGTCTCTTATTCTGTAATAGAATGTGTCACAGAGGATCCCAGTCTTTTATTCTGTAATAGAATGGGTCACAGAGGATCCCAGTCTCTTATTCTGTAATAGAATGTGTCACAGAGGATCCCAGTCTCTTATTCTGTAATAGAACGTTTCACAGAGGATCCCAGTCTCTTATTCTGTAATAGAATGTGTCACAGAGGAACCCAGTCTTTTATTCTGTAATAGAGCATGTTACAGAGGATCCCAGTCACAGTGTTTGCTTATTTTATGTTTGTAAGTGAGTAAGGAACAGGGGGACTTAGACATGAACAGCACTTACCGTTTGTGGTTGAGACAGATTCTGCTGACAGACGTTAGTCACAGGTGGGGTTCCTTGTCTGCTGGCAGCTAAACCGGCCTAAAATCAAATCACATGCATCTTATAAAGAAGAATTCTACATGAACAGTTCTCATATTGATAGATAAATAGCAATATCCTCAGAAATGGACAGACATGAGTGCTAATGCACATACACACGGTTTAAACTATAAATGTAATTGTAGTTCTCAACTTAAAACAGTATAGACAAACAGGCATAGAAAGATATACTGTGGACAAACACACATTATCATTAGAGATTTTTAAAGGACCACTAACATCACCCAGACAACTTCATCTCAATGAGGAGAACTGAGTGCAGTGGCTCTGTTTTTTTAGTCTTGCAATGTTTTGTAGAAACAGCAATGTGTACACCTCCAATGGCTCCCTTCCTGACAGCCACGAGAGTCGCTCCCCCCCCAGAACGAGTGAAACGTGGTCCTGAAATTTAATCATTTGATTGGAGATGTGTTTTATTTGGCCGCGTACGCCTAGTTCCAATCATGTGTTTCTCAATGAGAAGCAATAGACTGAAGGGGATCGTGAGTTATGTCAGCTTGGACATCAATGGAGGAATAGCTGGAGGCTGCAGTGGGAGAGCATTGGCGCTGGAAACAAGGTAAGTAGTCTTTATTTCATTTAAATGTTACTGAGGAAAGAGGGGTGGACAGTGATCACTCATATTATACAATTAAAGAACCCATGACCATGTTAATGAACTCACACCATTAGAAAATTAGTTACACAGCACTCCAAACATTATTGCTGGCACTATACCGTTATAGTTATATAAATCTATAAACCGTATTGCTGATATTGTACTATTAGAATTATATAGAGCTCTAAACCTTATTGCTGATATTGTACTATTAGAGTTCTAAACCTTATTGCTGATATTGTACTATTAGAATTATATAGAGCTCTAAACCTTATTGCTGATATTGTACTATTAAAATTATATAGAGCTCTAAACCTTATTGCTGATATTGTACTATTAGAATTATATAGAGCTCTAAACCTTATTGCTGATATTGTACTATTAGAGCTCTAAACCCTATTGCTGATATTGTACTATTAGAATTATATAGAGCTCTAAACCTTATTGCTGATATTGTACTATTAAAATTATATAGAGCTCTAAACCTTATTGCTGATATTGTACTATTAGAATTATATAGAGCTCTAAACCTTATTGCTGATATTGTACTATTAGAGCTCTAAACCTTATTGCTGATATTGTACTATTAGAATTATATAGAGCTCTAAACCTTATTGCTGATATTATACTATTAGAATTATATAGAGCTCTAAACCCTATTGCTGATATTATACTATTAGAATTATATAGAGCTCTAAACCCTATTGCTGATATTGTACTATTAGAATTATATAGAGCTCTAAACCTTATTGCTGATATTGTACTATTAGAATTCTATAGAGCTCTAAACCTTATTGCTGATATTGTACTATTAGAGCTCTAAACCTTATTGCTGATATTATACTATTAGAATTATATAGAGCTCTAAACTTTATTGCTGATATTGTACTATTAGAATTATATAGAGCTCTAAACTTTATTGCTGATATTGTACTATTAGAGCTCTAAACCTTATTGCTGATATTGTACTATTAGAATTATATAGAGCTCTAAACCGTATTGCTGATATTGTACTATTAGAATTATATAGAGCTCTAAACCTTATTGCTGATATTGTACTATTAGAATTATATAGAGCTCTAAACCTTATTGCTGATATTGTACTATTAGAGCTCTAAACCTTATTGCTGATATTGTACTATTAGAATTAAATAGAGCTCTAAACCGTATTGCTGATATTGTACTATTAGAATTTTATAGAGCTCTAAACCTTATTGCTGATATTGTACTATTAGAGCTCTAAACCGTATTGCTAATATTATACTATTAGACAGTTCCATAGAACTACAGCCCTTATAACTGAATTTGCAGTATGTAAGAAGCCTTCATGGTGCTTTACTTGCCTATAGTCCACCCTGCTTTAGGGGTGCTTTATGCATTAGAGTTAGGATTTATTTTTCTCCCAGATTCCTACTTACCTGCTGCACGGCTGCTAGGCTTTGTAGCTGAGCACTGCTGAGGTGCTGCTGTTGTTGTAGTGCTGCTGTCTGCAGCATTAGATGCTGTTGCTGCGCGGCATACATCTGCTGTAAGTACTGCGCAGCTGTGCTGGGCTGACGATGCAGGGCTTGCTGGATAACCTGTTAACCAGACATAGTCAGTCATTAATCCTCCCAATTCCCCAACTAATTCAAAGAACTGAACAGAAAATCAGAAAGGCCGTAATTATACATATACAAAGAATTTAGCACTGTGTGTTAACGAGCCTCAGGATAAAAGATTAAATCATATTAATTGACGGGAAATACAGGAGATCTAATTCTGGATACAGTTTCGCATTGTGTAGCATTGTTGAAGAAAAGATTGCAGATAACTAAAATCTACATCAATCTATATACTCTGAATTCCCCCCTGAGCTATATGTAAATACTCTGAATCCTGTCCCGGACCATGTATATACTCTGAATTCTGTCCCGGACCATGTATATACTCTGAATTCTGTCCCGGGCCATGTATATACTCTGAATTCTGTCCCGGGCCATGTGAATTCTGTCCCGGCCCATGTAAATACTCTGAATTCTGTCCCGGCCCATGTAAATACTCGGAATCCTATCCCCGGACCATGTATGTACTCTGAATTCTGTCCCGGGCCATGTATATACTCAGAATTTTGTCCCGGCCCATGTAAATACTCTAAATTCTGTCCCGGGCCATGTATATACTCTGAATTCTGTCCCGGACCTTGTATATACTCTGAATTCTGTCCTGGGTCATGTATTTACTCAGAATTTTTTCCTGGGCAATATATACTATGAATAGGGATTTATTTTAATGGCTATGGGGTCATGGAGACCTTTGTGTTGTGTTTTAATATTTCCAGAGAGGACCAGTTCAGCAAGAGCCCCAATCATGGATATACAGTAATTTCCAATTGGTAAAAAATGCCTTGCTATAAAAAAAAAAAACTCCTGCAGCCCTCTAATCACCCCCTTTATATTTTGGCCACATCGCTACCCCCCTGCCACTTGTATCGATTCCCCCTTGGTCACACTTTCTTATCTCCCAGTGTAATGCAAGACATTAATCAGCAGTGTTGGCCTTTCTAAGGAAGGTGTAGGACTTGCCTAAGCTTCCAGAAAATGTTTTTTTAATAGCTTTGAACATTTTTAAATTGCCAGAATCTCTTCTGTCAACTTTTTTCCTACCTGCGCCACAGTCAAAGGCAAAATGCTGTGTCCTAACTGGGTCAATCACTTTAACACACACTTTGAGAGGGGGATGGGGTCAGAGGTTAAGAGGGTGGAAGAGGTTATTGTGTTTTCCATCTACAAAGGCTGCTAGAATATAAAAGCGAATGCTAGCTGGAATAAGGAGCGTTATAATGTGCAGCTTCCGGGCCTGGCTGAGCCAGTCTCATCAATCACTGCCACCTCCTTCCTCCCCTCTCCCATCTTGTGAACTCAAGTGATCCATTATGTCAGGAATGGAGAGCTAACAGGGGTCAAACAGTGCCAGGGGCAGAGAGCTAATGCCACACAGTGCCGGGGCAGAGAGCTAACAGGGGTCACACAGTGCCAGGGGCAGAGAGCTAGTGCCACACTGTGCCAGGGGCAGAGAGCTAGTTGTGTCACACAGCGCCAAGGGCAGAGAGCTAACAGGGGTCACACAGTGCCAGGGGCAGAGAGGTAATGCCACACTGTGCCAAAGGCAGAGAGCTAGCAGGGTTACACTGTGCCAGGGGCAGAGAGCTAGTTGTGTCACACTGTACCAGGGGCAGAGAGCTAGTTTGGTCACGCTGTGCCAGGGGCAGAGAGATAGTGCCACAATTTGCCAGTGGCAGAGAGCTAGTCGTGTCACACAGCGCCAAGGGCAGAGAGCTAGTCATGTCACACTGTACCAGGGGCAGAGAGATAGTGGGTTCACACTGTGCTAGGGGCAGAGAGCTAGTTGTGTCACACTGTGCTGGTCTGCATTGAGTATGATGACAAAACAAATATAGTGGGATATTAACTAAATACCGAATTAAAAGCGGATATGCAAAATTCAGGACAAAACTGCTGATTTGGAGAAAAATTCTCTAATTTAGCTACAGTCACTGCTTGGACATTTTACCTTAAGTCTTGTTAGGTAAATACATGCAGGTACACACTGTGAAAGGTATATACATGCAGGTACACACTGTGGCAGGTAAATACACGCAGGTCAACACTGTGAAAGGTAAATGCACACAGGTACACACTGTGAAAAGTCAATACACACAGGTCAACACTGTAAAAGGTAAATACACACAGGTACACACTGTGAAAGGTCAATACACACAGGTACACACTGTGAAAGGTCAATACACACAGGTCAACACTGTGAAAGGTCAATACACACAGGTCAACACTGTGAAAGGTAAAAACACACAGGTACACACTGTGAAAGGTAAATACACAAAGGTACACACTGTGAAACGTAAATATATGCAGGTACACACTGTGAAAGGTATATACATGCAGGTACACACCGTGGCAGGTAAATACACACAGGTCAACACTGTGAAAGGTAAATACACACAGGTACACACTGTGAAAGGTCAATACACACAGGTCAACACTGTAAAAGGTAAATACACACAGGTACACACTGTGAAAGGTCAATACACACAGGTCAACACTGTGAAAGGTCAATACACACAGGTCAACACTGTGAAAGGTAAATACACACAGGTACACACTGTGAAAGGTAAATACACAAAGGTACACACTGTGAAAGGTAAATACACACAGGTACACACTGTGAAAGGTCAATACACACCGGTCAACACTGTGAAAGGTAAATACACACAGGGACACACTCTGGCAGGTAAATACACGCAGGTACACACCATGGCAGGTAAATACACGCAGGTACACACTGTGAAAGGTAAATAAACACAGGTACACACTCTGGCAGGTAAATACACAAAGGTACACACTGTGAAAGGTAAAGGTAAATAAACACAGGTACACACTCTGGCAGGTAAATACACAAAGGTACACACTGTGAAAGGTAAAGGTAAATAAACACAGGTACACACTCTGGCAGGTAAATACACAAAGGTACACACTGTGAAAGGTAAAGGTAAATAAACACAGGTACACACTCTGGCAGGTAAATACACAAAGGTACACACTGTGAAAGGTAAAGGTAAATAAACACAGGTACACACTCTGGCAGGTAAATACACAAAGGTACACACTGTGAAAGGTAAAGGTAAATAAACACAGGTACACACTCTGGCAGGTAAATACACAAAGGTACACACTGTGAAAGGTAAAGGTAAATAAACACAGGTACACACTCTGGCAGGTAAATACACGCAGGTACACACTGTGAAAGGTAAATACACACAGGGACACACTCTGGCAGGTAAATACACACAGGGACACACTCTGGCAGGTAAATACACACAGGTACACACTCTGGCAGGTAAATACACGCAGGTACACACCGTGGCAGGTAAATACACGCAGGTACACAGTGTAGAAGGTAAATACACAAAAGGTACACACTGTGAAAGGTAAATACACACAGGTACATACTTGAATTGCCACTTCACAAATTCTTTGTGAAACATCGGGAGATTAGCCACTTAACGGATAAATCTTATACTTTGTCATCACCACGCTTTGTCCTAAAAAACCTTGTGCCAACAACGATTGCCCTGCTGATTTATCAACAGCAACAGGTGGCTCCGCTTTGTTTGCTCAGTTGGACTTTTCATTTTTGGAACAAGATCCTCAAAGAACAGATTGTCATGCTGGCAAAACTGATCCTTAATAATTTAATTAATTACATCCAGAAACCGAGAGGAACTGCTGAGTTTATGTGATTTCACAATGGGAGACGAAGTGACAAATAAAGTGACAGCTGAACGGATTGCTGAACAGGTATGATAGATGTGTTACCTGCACAGCTTGCCGGTCTGGGATCCCGCTATAAACTGGTAATGAGGGAGTGGACTGACGCCCGTTAGGGCTAGCAGCATTGCTGGAAGTGGAGGAGGTCTGATGTTCATTCTCCATGTTTTCTGTGTCACCAAAACGTCCTTAGGATGAAAGGAAAAAAATGTGGAGGATAGCTGGAAAGACACAAAGGGTTAAACATGATTATGATTTTGTACGAAGAGGTTAATTTAACTGGTATAAATATGTTAATAATAAGGGATAATTTACACATAGAGTGTAGGGATTCATTTGCAGAGAGATTGAGATTTTGATTGAAGCTGAACAAATGAGTTAACCTCCTTCAACAGAAAATTAACTCACAATAAGTAAAGTACCGCTCTGTCCCTCTCTCCCAATACAGCACCAAACTCCACACTTAATGGATACACACAGCATAGACTGCAGTACCGTCAATCTCCGGTTATTAACATGCAGTTGGACTTTATGAAAAGTCTGAAAACTTTCCACTGTAAAACGCTAGAGTTCATGATAACTGAATAACTGCAGGGTTTAGTATCCAGCTTACAGAGAGCTTCCTGGTTTAGTATTCAGCTTACAGAGAGCTTCCTGGTTTAGTATTCAGCTTACAGAGAGCTTCCTGGTTTAGTATCCAGCTTACAGAGAGCTTCCTGGTTTAGTATTCAGCTTACAGAGAGCTTCCTGGTTTAGTATCCAGCTTACAGAGAGCTTCAGGGTTTACTATTCAGCTTACAGAGAGCTTCCTGGTTTAGTATCCAGCTTACAGAGAGCTTCCTGGTTTAGTATCCAGCTTACAGAGAGCTTCAGGGTTTACTATTCAGTTTACAGAGAGCTTCCTGGTTTAGTATCCAGCTTACAGAGAGCTTCCTGGTTTAGTATCCAGCTTACAGAGAGCTTCCTGGTTTAGTATTCAGCTTACAGAGAGCTTCCTGGTTTAGTATTCAGCTTACAGAGAGCTTCAGGGTTCAGTATTCAGCTTACAGAGAGCTTCCTGGTTTAGTATCCAGCTTACAGAGAGCTTCAGGGTTTAGTATTCAGCTTACAGAGAGCTGCAGGGTTTAGTATTCAGCTTACAGAGAGCTGCAGGGTTTAGTATTCAGCTTACAGAGAACTTCCTGGTTTAGTATTCAGCTTACAGAGAGCTGCAGGGTTTAGTATTCAGCTTACAGAGAGCTGCAGGGTTTAGTATTCAGCTTACAGAGAGCTGCAGGGTTCAGTATTCAGCTTACAGAGAGCTGCAGGGTTTAGTATCCAGCTTACAGAGAGCTGCAGGGTTTAGTATTCAGCTTACATAGAGCTGCAGGGTTTAGTATTCAGCTTACAGAGAACTTCCTAGTTTAGTATTCAGCTTACAGAGAACTTCCTGGTTTAGTATTCAGCTTACAGAGAGCTGCAGGGTTTAGTATTCAGCTTACAGAGAGCTGCAGGGTTCAGTATTCAGCTTACAGAGAGCTGCAGGGTTTAGTATTCAGCTTACAGAGAGCTTCAGGGTTTAGTATTCAGCTTACAGAGAGCTTCAGGGTTTAGTATTCAGCTTACAGAGAGCTTCCTGGTTTAGTATTCAGCTTACAGAGAGCTTCAGGGTTTAGTATTCAGCTTACAGAGAGCTTCCTGGTTTAGTATTCAGCTTACAGAGAGCTTCAGGGTTTAGTATTCAGCTTACAGAGAGCTTCATGGTTTAGTATTCAGCTTACAGAGAGCTTCCTGGTTTAGTATTCAGCTTACAGAGAGCTGCAGGGTTCAGTACTCAGCTTACAGAGAGCTTCAGGGTTTAGTATTCAGCTTACAGAGAGCTTCCTGGTTTAGTATTCAGCTTACAGAGAGCTTCCTGGTTTAGTATTCAGCTTACAGAGAGCTTCCTGGTTTAGTATCCAGCTTACAGAGAGCTTCGGGGTTTAGTATTCAACACAGAGAGCTTCAGGGTTTAGTATTCAGCTTACAGAGAGCTTCAGGGTTTAGTATTCAGCTTACAGAGAGCTTCCTGGTTTAGTATTCAGCTTACAGAGAGCTGCAGGGTTTAGTATTCAGCTTACAGAGAACTTCCTGGTTTAGTATTCAGCTTACAGGGAGCTTCCTGGTTTAGTATTCAGCTTACAGAGAGCTTTGGGGTTTAGTATTCAGCTTACAGAGAACTTCCTGGTTTAGTATTCAGCTTACAGAGAGCTTCGGGGTTTAGAATTCAGCTTACAGAGAGCTTCAGGGTTTAGTGTTCAGCTTACAGAGAACTTCCTGGTTTAGTATTCAGCTTACAGAGAGCTTCCTGGTTTAGTATTCAGCTTACAGAGAGCTTCGGGGTTTAGTATTCAGCTTACAGAGAGCTTCAGGGTTTAGTATTCAGCTCACAGAGAGCTTCCTGGTTTAGTATCCAGCTTACAGAGAGCTTTAGGGTTTAGTATTCAGCTTACAGAGAGCTTCCTGGTTTAGTATTCAGCTTACAGAGAGCTTCGGGGTTTAGTATTCAGCTTACAGAGAGCTTCCTGGTTTAGTATTCAGCTTACAGAGAGCTGCAGGGTTTAGTATTCAGCTTACAGAGAGCTGCAGGGGTTTAGTATTCAGCTTTAGAGAGCTGCAGGTTTAGTATTCAACACAGAGAGCTTCAAGGGTTTTAGTATTCAGCTTACAGAGAGCTGCAGGGTTTAGTATTCAGCTTACAGAGAGCTTCCTGGTTTAGTATTCAGCTTACAGAGAGCTTCGGGGTTTAGTATTCAGCTTACAGAGAGCTGCAGGGTTTAGTATTCAGCTTACAGAGAGCTGCAGGGTTTAGTATTCAGCTTACAGAGAGCTGCAGGGTTTAGTATTCAGCTTACAGAGAGCTTCAGGGTTTAGTATTCAGATTACAGAGAGCTGCAGGGTTTAGTATTCAGCTTACAGAGAGCTTCAGGGTTTAGTATTCAGCTTACAGAGAGCTTCCTGGTTTAGTATTCAGCTTACAGAGAGCTTCGGGGTTTAGTATTCAGCTTACAGAGAGCTTCAGGGTTTAGTATTCAGCTTACAGAGAGCTTCCTGGTTTAGTATTCAGCTTACAGAGAGCTTCCTGGTTTAGTATTCAGCTTACAGAGAGCTTCCTGGTTTAGTATTCAGCTTACAGAGAGCTTCCTGGTTTAGTATTCAGCTTACAGAGAGCTTCGGGGTTTAGTATTCAGCTTACAGAGAGCTTCAGGGTTTAGTATTCAGCTTACAGAGAACTTCCTGGTTTAGTATTCAGCTTACAGAGAGCTTCAGGGTTTAGTATTCAGCTTACAGAGAACTTCCTGGTTTAGTATTCAGCTTACAGAGAGCTGCAGGGTTTAGTATTCAGCTTACAGAGAGCTTCCTGGTTTAGTATTCAGCTTACAGAGAGCTTCGGGGTTTAGTATTCAGCTTATAGAGAGCTTCAGGGTTTACTATTCAGCTTACAGAGAGCTTCCTGGTTTAGTATTCAGCTTACAGAGAGCTTCCTGGTTTAGTATTCAGCTTACAGAGAGCTTCGGGGTTTAGTATTCAGCTTACAGAGAGCTTCAGGGTTTAGTATTCAGCTTACAGAGAGCTTCCTGGTTTAGTATTCAGCTTACAGAGAACTTCCTGGTTTAGTATTCAGCTTACAGAGAGCTTCGGGGTTTACTATTCAGCTTACAGAGAGCTTCCTGGTTTAGTATTCAGCATACAGAGAGCTTCATGGTTTAGTATTCAGCTTACAGAGAGCTTCAGGGTTTAGTATTCAGCTTACAGAGAGCTTCAGGGTTTAGTATTCAGCTTACAGAGAGCTTCCTGGTTTAGTATCCAGCTTACAGAGAGCTTCTGGTTTAGTATTCAAGCTTTGAGAGGCTGCAGTTTGGTATCCAGCTTACAGAGAGAGCTTCCTGTTTTGAGTATTCAGCTTACAGAGAGCTTCAGGGTTTAGTATTCAGCTTACAGAGAGCTTCAGGGTTTACTATTCAGCTTACAGAGAGCTTCCTGGTTTAGTATTCAGCTTACAGAGAGCTTCAGGGTTCAGTATTCAGCTTACAGAGAGCTTCAGGGTTCAGTATTCAGCTTATAGAGAGCTTCAGGGTTTAGTATTCAGCTTACAGAGAGCTGCAGGGTTTAGTATTCAGCTTACAGAGAGCTTCATGGTTTAGTATTCAGTTTACAGAGCGCTTCCTGGTTTAGTATTCAGCTTACAGAGAGCTTCCTGCTTTAGTATTCAGCTTACAGAGAGCTTCAGGGTTCAGTATTCAGCTTACAGAGAGCTTCAGGGTTTAGTATTCAGTTTACAGAGAGCTGCAGGGTTTAGTATTCAGCTTACAGAGAGCTGCAGGGTTTAGTATTCAGCTTACAGAGAGCTGCAGGGTTCAATATTCAGCTTAAGGAGAGCTTCAGGGTTCAGTATTCAGCTTATAGAGAGCTTCAGGGTTTAGTATTCAGCTTACAGAGAGCTGCAGGGTTTAGTATTCAGCTTACAGAGAGCTTCATGGTTTAGTATTCAGTTTACAGAGCGCTTCCTGGTTTAGTATTCAGTTTACAGAGAGCTTCAGGGTTTAGTACTCAGCTTACAGAGAACTTCAGGGTTCAGTGTTTGTCTAAGGAGAGCTGCAGGGTTCAGTGTTTGTTCTATGGAGAGCTGCAGGGTTCAGTACTCAGCTTATGGAGAGCTGCAGGGTTCAGTGTTTGTTCTATGGAGAGCTGCAGGGTTCAATACTCAGCTTAAGGAGAGCTGCAGGGTTCAATACTCAGCTTACGGAGAGCTGCAGGGTTCAATATTCATCTTAAGGAGAGCTGCGGGGTTCAGTACTCAGTTTACAGAGAGCTGCAGGGTTCAGTACTCAGCTTACAGAGAGCTGCATGGTTCAGTACTCAGCATACGGAGAGCTGCAGGGTTCAGTACTCAGCATACGGAGAGCTGCAGGGTTCAGTACTCAGCATACGGAGAGCTGCAGGGTTCAGTACTCAGCATATGAGCTGCAGGGTTCAGTACTCAGCTTACAGAGAGCTGCAGGGTTCAGTATTCAGCATACGGAGAGCTGCAGGGTTCAGTACTCAGCATACGGAGAGCTGCAGGGTTCAGTACTCAGCTTACAGAGAGCTGCAGGGTTCAGTACTCAGCATATGAGCTGCAGGGTTCAGTACTCAGCTTACAGAGAGCTGCAGGGTTCAGTATTCAGCATACGGAGAGCTGCAGGGTTCAGTACTCAGCATACGGAGAGCTGCAGGGTTCAGTACTCAGCTTACAGAGAGCTGCAGGGTTCAGTACTCAGCTTACAGAGAGCTGCAGGGTTCAGTACTCAGCTTACAGAGAGCTGCAGGGTTCAGTACTCAGCATACAGAGAGCTTCATGGTTTAGTATTCAGCTTACAGAGAGCTTCAGGGTTTAGTATTCAGCTTACAGAGAGCTTCCTGGTTTAGTATTCAGCTTACAGAGAGCTTCCTGGTTTCGTATCCAGCTTACAGAGAGCTTCCTGGTTTAGTATTCAGCTTACAGAGAGCTTCCTGGTTTAGTATCCAGCTTACAGAGAGCTTCCTGGTTTAGTATTCAGCTTACAGAGAGCTTCAGGGTTTAGTATTCAGCTTACAGAGAGCTTCAGGGTTTACTATTCAGCTTACAGAGAGCTTCCTGGTTTAGTATTCAGCTTACAGAGAGCTTCAGGGTTCAGTATTCAGCTTACAGAGAGCTTCAGGGTTCAGTATTCAGCTTATAGAGAGCTTCAGGGTTTAGTATTCAGCTTACAGAGAGCTGCAGGGTTTAGTATTCAGCTTACAGAGAGCTTCATGGTTTAGTATTCAGTTTACAGAGCGCTTCCTGGTTTAGTATTCAGCTTACAGAGAGCTTCCTGCTTTAGTATTCAGCTTACAGAGAGCTTCAGGGTTCAGTATTCAGCTTACAGAGAGCTTCAGGGTTTAGTATTCAGTTTACAGAGAGCTGCAGGGTTTAGTATTCAGCTTACAGAGAGCTGCAGGGTTTAGTATTCAGCTTACAGAGAGCTGCAGGGTTCAATATTCAGCTTAAGGAGAGCTTCAGGGTTCAGTATTCAGCTTATAGAGAGCTTCAGGGTTTAGTATTCAGCTTACAGAGAGCTGCAGGGTTTAGTATTCAGCTTACAGAGAGCTTCATGGTTTAGTATTCAGTTTACAGAGCGCTTCCTGGTTTAGTATTCAGTTTACAGAGAGCTTCAGGGTTTAGTACTCAGCTTACAGAGAACTTCAGGGTTCAGTGTTTGTCTAAGGAGAGCTGCAGGGTTCAGTGTTTGTTCTATGGAGAGCTGCAGGGTTCAGTACTCAGCTTATGGAGAGCTGCAGGGTTCAGTGTTTGTTCTATGGAGAGCTGCAGGGTTCAATACTCAGCTTAAGGAGAGCTGCAGGGTTCAATACTCAGCTTACGGAGAGCTGCAGGGTTCAATATTCATCTTAAGGAGAGCTGCGGGGTTCAGTACTCAGTTTACAGAGAGCTGCAGGGTTCAGTACTCAGCTTACAGAGAGCTGCATGGTTCAGTACTCAGCATACGGAGAGCTGCAGGGTTCAGTACTCAGCATACGGAGAGCTGCAGGGTTCAGTACTCAGCATACGGAGAGCTGCAGGGTTCAGTACTCAGCATATGAGCTGCAGGGTTCAGTACTCAGCTTACAGAGAGCTGCAGGGTTCAGTATTCAGCATACGGAGAGCTGCAGGGTTCAGTACTCAGCATACGGAGAGCTGCAGGGTTCAGTACTCAGCTTACAGAGAGCTGCAGGGTTCAGTACTCAGCATATGAGCTGCAGGGTTCAGTACTCAGCTTACAGAGAGCTGCAGGGTTCAGTATTCAGCATACGGAGAGCTGCAGGGTTCAGTACTCAGCATACGGAGAGCTGCAGGGTTCAGTACTCAGCTTACAGAGAGCTGCAGGGTTCAGTACTCAGCTTACAGAGAGCTGCAGGGTTCAGTACTCAGCTTACAGAGAGCTGCAGGGTTCAGTACTCAGCATACAGAGAGCTTCATGGTTTAGTATTCAGCTTACAGAGAGCTTCAGGGTTTAGTATTCAGCTTACAGAGAGCTTCCTGGTTTAGTATTCAGCTTACAGAGAGCTTCCTGGTTTCGTATCCAGCTTACAGAGAGCTTCCTGGTTTAGTATTCAGCTTACAGAGAGCTTCCTGGTTTAGTATCCAGCTTACAGAGAGCTTCCTGGTTTAGTATTCAGCTTACAGAGAGCTTCAGGGTTTAGTATTCAGCTTACAGAGAGCTTCAGGGTTTACTATTCAGCTTACAGAGAGCTTCCTGGTTTAGTATTCAGCTTACAGAGAGCTTTCTGGTTTAGTATTCAGCTTACAGAGAGCTTCGAGGTTCAGTATTCAGCTTATAGAGAGCTTCAGGGTTTAGTATTCAGCTTACAGAGAGCTGCAGGGTTTAGTATTCAGCTTACAGAGAGCTTCATGGTTTAGTATTCAGTTTACAGAGCGCTTCCTGGTTTAGTATTCAGTTTACAGAGAGCTTCAGGGTTTAGTACTCAGCTTACAGAGAACTTCAGGGTTCAGGGTTTGTCTAAGGAGAGCTGCAGGGTTCAGTGTTTGTTCTATGGAGAGCTGCAGGGTTCAGTACTTAGCTTATGGAGAGCTGCAGGGTTCAGTGTTTGTTCTATGGAGAGCTGCAGGGTTCAATACTCAGCTTAAGGAGAGCTGCAGGGTTCAATACTCAGCTTACGGAGAGCTGCAGGGTTCAATATTCAGCTTAAGGAGAGCTGCGGGGTTCAGTACTCAGTTTACAGAGAGCTGCAGGGTTCAGTACTCAGCTTACAGAGAGCTGCATGGTTCAGTACTCAGCATACGGAGAGCTGCATGGTTCAGTACTCAGCATACGGAGAGCTGCATGGTTCAGTACTCAGCATACGGAGAGCTGCAGGGTTCAGTACTCAGCATACGGAGAGCTGCAGGGTTCAGTACTCAGCATATGAGCTGCAGGGTTCAGTACTCAGTTTACAGAGAGCTGCAGGGTTCAGTACTCAGCATACGGAGAGCTGCAGGGTTCAGTACTCAGCTTACAGAGAGCTGCAGGGTTCAGTACTCAGCTTACGGAGAGCTGCAGGGTTCAGTACTCAGCATACGTTGAGCTGCAGGGTTCAGTACTCAGCTTACAGAGAGCTGCAGGGTTCAGTACTCAGCTTACAGAGAGCTGCAGGGTTCAGTACTCAGCTTACAGAGAGCTGCAGGGTTCAGTACTCAGCATATGAGCTGCAGGGTTCAGTACTCAGCTTACAGAGAGCTGCAGGGTTCAGTATTCAGCATACGGAGAGCTGCAGGGTTCAGTACTCAGCATACGGAGAGCTGCAGGGTTCAGTACTCAGCTTACAGAGAGCTGCAGGGTTCAGTACTCAGCTTACAGAGAGCTGCAGGGTTCAGTACTCAGCTTACAGAGAGCTGCAGGGTTCAGTACTCAGCATATGAGCTGCAGGGTTCAGTACTCAGCTTACAGAGAGCTGCAGGGTTCAGTATTCAGCATACGGAGAGCTGCAGGGTTCAGTACTCAGCATACGGAGAGCTGCAGGGTTCAGTACTCAGCTTACAGAGAGCTGCAGGGTTCAGTACTCAGCGAGAGCTGCAGGGTTCACACATTACAGGAAAGCAAAGTAACAAATGCCACACATAATATAGAAAGCATTACACTTTATCCATGTTTCATGGCACAAGCAAAGCAGATGACATGTCTGATCTACCACAACCTGTGCTGCTAGTTCTACCATATCATCCTAATGCACAATACTTAACTTTCAAACCTCCACTCCCATCATCATGTAATACCTACCAGAACAGGGAGATATGGCCAGTCATTTTTATTACCATAGAAACATTTTGTACACTTTATGGTTAATGCTGGCTGACGTTAAATACCCAAAACACCTACGAACTTTAACTCCATTCACTACATTATCATACCTAAGGTATCATTGTTACGCTGATGACACAACTTCTCCTTTGCTCCAGATACCACAGACCCAACATGCCGCATTAACAGATGCTTAGCAGAACTCATAGAATGGATGAATGCTAGTAGGCTTAAAGTGAACCCGAACATATTTTAAAATTGGCCTGCTAACCTTCAAAGCCTTAAACAATCAAGGCCCACAGTACCTGAAAGAGCACCTGACACATTCCATTCCATCCTGTTCACTTCGGTCAACCAGCGAATCCTTCCTGTCAGTGTCAAGAATAAAGACAGACTTAGGTTCCAGGGCATTCAGCCATGCTGCCCCTACCTTCTGGCAATCAGAGAGGCACCGTCCTTACAGACTTTTTAAAAAGCTAAAGACCCACCTCTTCCATCAGGCTTTCAGCCCGCTCAGCTGACCTTCAGAAACTTTTATGTCTTTATGTTTGTATACTTGTAAAGTGCTTTGAGTCTTACAGGGAGAAAAGCGCTATAAAAATCACACATTATTATTATTATATCATTATATACTGCCCCACAATAGGGTATTTCTCTGCGATATTAACCCCATCCCGGTGCACCCAGCCGTGCTAGTTGGAAATAATTTTCTTGATTTGATTGTAATTAGTGTAATCCTGTGACCAAATGACCAGTTTCCCCATATAAAGTCAACGTTGCTCAGATATTATTGGACCATCTGTGCCCATGATTAGATTTCCTCCTCAAATGGCTAAACTGTCACAGGGATTGCCAGATCCTGGACTTGGGTATCCATAGGAGTATAATTATTGGGTGCGTTTTTTCCACCAAAATCCAAGCTTTAGAGTCGGAAGCAATATTGGGTTACAGGTGTCAGAGGGACCATAAATTGAGGAGTTGGGCGTGTAGATTTTGTGTACTGACTGCACAACACTGCCCAAAAGAATCAATTTCTACCTTTCAGCCATGCCGAATATGTTTTCTAATTAGCAAAATGTAAAAGTATATCTACACGTATAAAAGGAATAAGAAAACTACAAGTTTGTATTCAAGGTACCTGGCCATAGTAGACAGGTAAGGTAGCTGCCCATTCTATGTATTGCCATCCCTGATAACTAGTCCAATCTAGTTCTTAGGAAACCATGCCCGATGGTTGGTCACTTGGGAGGTATGTCTTTCATGAGCTGCCCACCCGTATGTGGGAATGAAAAACGTCCTAAGGAAACAAGAAGGTCCTGGAGACCTTAGAGCCCCTTAGGATTACATTACATTACTAAGTCCAGGCTTTGCTAAAACACAATCAGGGCTATTAAATAAAGTGCAAACTATTGGGGCTTCAAAGTGAATGTTACATTTTTAGGTAAAATACCCAAATTGGACCTATTTTTCAATTTCCTATTTTAGCCTAAAATGTAAAATTCACTTTGAATTCCTCATCGTTCATTATTACAGGGTTTCCATTTTGAATCAATCACGTTTACAAAAGGTATTTACCAATGTGAGAGTTCAAAATAGCCAAACTGGAAAAATTCTCTACGTTAGCTAAGCTTTCAGTTCGGCTACTCTGGCCTTAAGTTTGAAAGTCACTTTGAATTCTTACGTTAGTAAATAGCCCTGTTAATAAATAAAATTACTAGTGTTTATGTGAACCAGTAAGATGTATTACTCAGCAGTAGTATCCTTTACCTAAAGGCATTAAAGGGGCAGTGAGCGTATGGTGCACTGGGCGCAGTATGAAATCCAGGGAATTTATCGATTGCCCCTTCTATCTACAGACAGGCCTGCTAAAACCTCCTTTACTTGCGACCCCTGTGTCCCAACCTGTTTTCTTTTTCCCACTGTTTTGTAATTTCTTTTCTAATATTTTGCTAATTTGTTTTCTAATCTATAGCTTACTGTATCCACGCAACTCACTAGTCCATTTCTCTTGTTATAATGAAAATCAAAAAAGGTTTAATTTGTACTGAGCTGCAGTAGTTATTGGTGCTTTTTGAAAAAACAAAAATGTGTGACAGGGAGCTTGCTTTTTTGAGATATGGGGTATGTTTGGCAGAATAACAGATACGATTAAAAGCAGGAATTAAGGAGAACTGGAAAAAAAAAAATATCCAAACTGGTATAATTCTCCAACACAAATTGTACCAGTTTGGATATTTTTGTACACATTTCCCGATTAGCTATTCTGCCGTACCTAGTTTAACAAATAAATTATATAAGCATTGACTGGGCTTAACATGGCTTCCTATAGTCAGATACCTTCTACTTAAAACATACCGGCAAAGTTAAACATACCCAGATATTTACAAGGTGGAGCGCAAAAGGAGTTTAACATATTAATAAGAGTTAAAGAGTTAATTTATGTGCAAAATAACAACAAAAAACGAACTAGTGATATTTAAATGATAACTGTGTTTATTTAGCAGTCTACTTTTTGCCTTGTATTTTTAATAAAGCACGATAATTTCAGTCTCCTGGAGTCTTCTCGTTGAATCTCCTGCTCTCTCTGTTTAGTCTACTGAAGATAATTACGTGGCATTCTGTGCAGTTTTATGGCACAGATCTCCCCTCCGCAAGGCTGTTTGCGCAGTCTTCACAGGATAGCTCTTGTTTAAATAAACAGACTGCTGCTTCTTCTTGTACAGCAAGCTGTGAGCGATGATTACCGGACCGGTCAGAATCCCCAGGTCAGTGTCATTGCGCAAGGCGTAAAGGATGTGACGCGGGAATATGCGCGTCTTGTTCCTGGCAGCATGAACAGCTAAATGCAGGATCTCCAAGGACAAATACTGCAGCACAGCAGCCAGGTACACTGGGGCAAGAGCATTCACGCGGTCAGAGTAACTCCACTTGCAGAGCTGTCGGTGGACCCTAGATACTGGGAAGCACAGGCCAGCGAGGAAGGAACGGGAACGGCGCAGGGGAATTCTGTTTGGTGTACCTCGTCCTACCATCTTAACTCCTTCCTGCTAGATAAGTTGGTTACACTGGATCTATGTGCCAACTGACTGTGGAAACTGCCTCTTCCTCATTGGTCAGCTGAGAATGCACTCCAGCCAATCACAGACTGTGCCATGTGAACAGCATGGGAAAGACACTATAGAGGGCACATGACTTGCTTAGCCAGGTGTGCACATGGTGTGCTCTAACAAGGTGGGTACAAATACCACACGAATGGGTACAGCCTAAAAAGGTTCTTTAAGATTTTTGGCTCTAATCAAGACAGTACCTGGGACATTACAGCTAGGTTTATGACGGCAAACTTGTCAGCACTGGAAGTATGAGACCAGGACTGGGGGGAGCAGGTGGAGGCAAGACAGGCATGGGGGCATGAAGTGATGCCATTCGTATCACTGGTGACTCTTAGCACAGTATAAGAAGCATTCTGGCAAGACAGGCTACTTCACTGAAGTGTGAATTGATGTATATTGAGAACTTGAAATTCTAAGCCAGAAAAAACCCATTCATTATTTTCCAGTCTGGTTATTGTGATTAAAAAGTTAAATTATCTAGAATTCACACCCAGATATTAACCCTGAGAATGCAATGCAGTCACAATACAGACAATATCGACCCCCATATATAAATATATTAGTTTACTGAAAGATGACGTGTGGGTAGTGGAGGGGGGGGTGGGGGGGGGTACAGGGACCGATCACTGAATTTCCACAACAGAGAATGTCAGGGATCATGGACGGGTGGTAGAAAACAAAAACACTGACAGTGAGAATCCCAAGTGAATTCAAATTTAAACTCAAAAAAGCCAATATGGAAACATTCTAAGTCAGTAATGATTTCAGTTTGGTAACTGGCCTTAAATTTAAAATTCACTTGGATTTCTTACTTTAGTAAATTACCCTTTCTATGGGGAATAAAAAAAACAAACAAACAGGGCTATTCACTACAGTGAGAATTAAAAGTGAATTTCAACTTTATGGCCAGAATTGCCAAATTAAAAGCACTCTGACATAGGGAATGTTTCCAGTACAGATATTTTGACCTTAAAGGGACACTATAGGCACTGAGACCACTTCACCTCAATGAAATGGTCTGGGTGCAGGGTGTCCCTGTCTCCCATAGCCTTGTAATGTAAAACTGTTTTAGAGAAACTGCAGTATTTCCATTGCAGGGTACAGACTGCTTCTAGTGACTGACTGCAGTGTTTCCATTGTAGGGTTCAGACTGCTTCTAGTGGCTGACTGAGGTGTTTCCATTGCAGGGTACAGACTGCTTCTAGTGGCTGTCTGCGGCGTTTCCATTGCAGGGTACAGACTGCTTCTAGTGGCTGACTGCAGTGTTTCCATTGCAGGGTACAGACTGCTTCTAGTGGCTGTCTGCGGCGTTTCCATTGCAGGGTACAGACTGCTTCTAGTGGCTGACTGCAGTGTTTCCATTGCAGGGTACAGACTGCTTCTAGTGGCTGTCTGCGGCGTTTCCATTGCAGGGTACAGACTGCTTCTAGTGGCTGACTGCAGTGTTTCCATTGCAGGGTACAGACTGCTTCTAGTGGCTGTCTGCGGCGTTTCCATTGCAGGGTACAGACTGCTTCTAGTGGCTGACTGCAGTGTTTCCATTGCAGGGTACAGACTGCTTCTAGTGGCTGTCTGCGGCGTTTCCATTGCAGGGTACAGACTGCTTCTAGTGGCTGACTGCAGTGTTTCCATTGCAGGGTTCAGACTGCTTCTAGTGGCTGACTGCAGTGTTTCCATTGCAGGGTACAGACTGCTTCTAGTGGCTGACTGCGGTGTTTCCATTGCAGGGTTCAGACTGCTTCTAGTGGCTGACTGCGGTGTTTCCATTGCAGGGTTCAGACTGCTTCTAGTGGCTGTCTGCGGTGTTTCCATTGCAGGGTTCAGACTGCTTCTAGTGGCTGTCTGCGGCGTTTCCATTGCAGGGTTCAGACTGCTTCTAGTGGCTGACTGCAGTGTTTCCATTGCAGGGTTCAGACTGCTTCTAGTGGCTGACTGCAGTGTTTCCATTGCAGGGTTCAGACTGCTTCTAGTGGCTGACTGCGGTGTTTCCATTGCAGGGTTCAGACTGCCTCTAGTGGCTGACTGAGGTGTTTCCATTGCAGGGTTCAGACTGCCTCTAGTGGCTGACTGCAGTGTTTCCATTGCAGGGTTCAGACTGCTTCTAGTGGCTGACTGCGGTGTTTCCATTGCAGGGTTCAGACTGCTTCTAGTGGCTGTCTGCAGCGTTTCCACTGCAGGGTTCAGACTGCCTCTGGTGGCTGTCTGCGGCGTTTCCATTGCAGGGTTCAGACTGCTTCTAGTGGCTGTCTGCAGTGTTTCCATTGCAGGGTTCAGACTGCTTCTAGTGGCTGACTGAGGTGTTTCCATTGCAGGGTTCAGACTGCCTCTAGTGGCTGTCTGCAGTGTTTCCATTGCAGGGTTCAGACTGCTTCTAGTGGCTGTCTGCGGCGTTTCCATTGCAGGGTACAGACTGCCTCTAGTGGCTGACTACGGCGTTTCCATTGTAGGGTTCAGACTGCTTCTAGTGGCTGTCTGTAGTGTTTTCATTGCAGGGTTCAGACTGCTTCTAGTGGCTGTCTGCAGCGTTTGCATTGCAGGGTTCAGACTGCCTCTAGTGGCTGTCTGCGGTGTTTCCATTGCAGGGTTCAGACTGCTTCTCGTGGCTGTCTGCAGTGTTTCCATTGCAGGGTTCAGACTGCTTCTAGTGGCTGTCTGCGGCGTTTCCATTGCAGGGTTCAGACTGCCTCTAGTGGCTGTCTGCGGTGTTTCCATCGCAGGGTTCAGACTGCCTCTAGCAGACAGCCAATAGAGGAGCTTCCTGCTATATCACAGAGTTTAACACAGAGTTTAACTGGATGTCCTCATACTTTGCACAAGGATTTTGCCCAGCATTTGAAAAACCCCATAGGAAAGGAATGCTTCAATGCTTTCCCGTGGGGAAGGCCGAATGCAAATACGGCACTCACAGCACCTGGGCATTGGGTTCCCAGGTAGCCGTTTTTAACCCTTTCTGCAAAGGCAGAGGGAGAATGCAGTGTTAGGAATACCATAGTGTTCCTTTAAATATTAAATTCCCTTTGAATAATGCTGTAAAAGAGGAGTCAAGCAGGGCTATTTGATAAAGTAAGATTTCAAAGTGAATTTAAATTTAAGGCCAAAGTAGCCAGACTAGAAGCTTAGCTGATCTAGAGAATTTTTCCAGTCCGGTTATCTGAAATTCACTTTGAATTCTCATTTTAGTAAATAACCCTGAATTGAGGTCCACATGCAAGCAGAGACTACTGAGACGGATCTTGTAAATGTGTTCAACGAATCGTTAGAGATAGTTGATATCCCTGAAGGCAGCGGAAGCCTGGCTTGCTCCCTGTTTAATGCCTGGGAGTATGTCTGAACACGCAACAAACATAGAAGATTACATAGCTCAGGGCCACAACGTGCAGGGTGGAGGACACATTGTTTAAGAAGGATGTAACACACATCGGTAATGTGAAGGTTGTCCTTGTATGTTAGCCAGCTGTACAACAAGAGAAAAACATTACAAAATATAAAGAATTAAACCTAAAATAAAAACCCAGGTCAATCAGACTCTCAATACTACACCCCCTAATACTATACACAGCCACTGTACACTGGGCAGTGTACCCCACTATTTCTGCATCTGCCATGCACACTCCAGTATGTTCCTGTCACATGTATTCCTCTACATCTGTCACATGAACCCCTTTATTGTATCAACAGCATGCACCCCTTCTATTTAACACGTGTACCTCACTTTTATAACAGAAATTCACTAAATTTATACATCTCACTAGTGTGACATCTATTTCTTACATGTACCCCACTTTTATGTCTCCTTCACATGCAATCCCAATATTTCACACCTGGACCCCACTTCAAACATGTCCTACATACGGACCCCTTTTTTGAGCCATGTAATCCCAATTTCTGTCACATGCCTTCCTTACCATGCCTCGAACCCCTCTTTCATCACACCTGTCAGTGGCTAGCACCCCTATTATTTATACCTTTTTACACACTATCCTGGCAATGACAGCAGAAAACATGTGGGTTAAAGAAAAACTAACCTGGCACAGAAGAGGTTAACAAGCAGTAGCATATTTTTTTTGTAGCTTGGAGATGAAAAGGTTAATAATAACACATAACACAGACCCCCCCAGTGTCCTGGCCTGCCCAATGGCGGTTAACCAGGAGTCTTAGTGTGGCTTGGCAAGGAATATGTTACTATTTCTCCCTTCCCCCCACTAACCTGGCACAGGGAGAGGGACTGGCTGCCCATTCACTGGCTCTGGGAGAAGCTCTGGCAGGGCTGGCCTCACTGCCCATAGGAAGGGCAGACTCCACCTCACTGCCTCCCTGAACCAGCTCACATCAAAGGCTGCACATTTCCTGCAGGCGGGGGAGGGGGACCAGCAGCTCAATTAAAATATGGCACCTATCTGGCAAGGCTGTAATCACATTAGCATATGTGAGCATCAGGGTCAGGCAGGGAGCTCCCTTCACACCAAGGGAAATCACACACACACTGACAGCCAATAACAAACTAGCCACAAATACAGAACGTCAATCTCCACACTGACTGACTGTCACTAGCCAAAATCCATACTGGCTGACTGTAACCTAGCCAAAATCCATACTGGCCGACTGTAACCTTGCCAAAATCCATACTGGCCGACTGTAACCTAGCCAAAATCCATACTGGCCGACTGTAACCTAGCCAAAATCCAAAGGGGCCGACTGTAAGCTAGCCAAAATCCAAAGGGGCTGACTGTAAGCTGGCCAAAATCCAAAGGGGCCGACTGTAACCTAGCCAAAATCCAAAGGGGCCGACTGTAAACTAGTCAAAATCCAAAGGGGCAGACTGTAACCTAGCCAAAATCCATACTGGCCGACTGTAACCTAGCCAAAATCCAAAGGGGCCGACTGTAAGCTAGCCAAAATCCAAAGGGGCTGACTGTAAGCTAGCCAAAATCCAAAGGGGCCGACTGTAACCTAGCCAAAATCCAAAGGGGCCGACTGTAACCTAGCCAAAATCCAAAGGGGCAGACTGTAACCTAGCCAAAATCCATACTGGCCGACTGTAACCTAGCCAAAATCCAAAGGGGCCGACTGTAACCTAGCCAAAATCCAAAGGGGCTGACTGTAACCTAGCCAAAATCCACACTGGCTGTCACCCAGCCACAATCCATACTTGCCGACTCTCACACCTAGTCAAAATCTACAGAGGCTGTCACCTAGCCAAAATCCATACTGGCTGACTGTCAAAAGTAAAAATCTGTACTGGCTGACTGTCACTAGCCAAAACCCATACTAACGATCTCTTACACCCAGTCAAAATTCACATGGGTTGGTTCTCTCGCCACTGATTAATTCATGATGGGAACTCTATTCTTGCTGTCCATCCTCAATCCATAGTAACTAACTGTCTCATGCAGTCTCAATTTTTAGTAACCGACTGTCTCATGTAGTCTCAATTTATAGTAACCAACTGTCTCATGTAGTCTCAATCTTTAGTAACTGACTGTCTCATGTAGTCTCACTCCATAGTAACTGACTGTCTCATGTAGTCTCAATCCATAGTAACCGACTGTCTCACGTAGCCTCAATCCATAGGAACTGACTGTTTCACATGTTCTCAATCCATACTAACTGACTGACTGTCTCATGTAGTCTCAGTCCATACTGACTGTTTTATGTAGTCTCAGTCTATACGGATTGACTGTCTTACGTAGTCTCAGTCCGGACTGACTGTGTTAAGCAGTCTCAGTCTATACGGACTGACTGTGTTAAGCAATCTCAGTCTATACGGACTGACTGTGTTAAGCAGTCTCAGTCTATAAGGACTGACTGTGTTAAGCAGTCTCAGTCCATCCGGACTGACTGTGTTAAGCAGTCTCAGTCCATACGGACTGACTGTGTTAAGCAGTCTCAGTCCATACGGACTGACTGTGTTAAGCAGTCTCAGTCCATACGGACTGACTGTGTTAAGCAGTCTCAGTCTATAAGGACTGACTGTGTTAAGCAGTCTCAGTCCATCCGGACTGACTGTGTTAAGCAGTCTCAGTCCATACGGACTCACTGTGTTAAGCAGTCTCAGTCCATACGGACTGACTGTGTTAAGCAGTCTCAGTCCATACGGACTGACTGTGTTAAGCAGTCTCAGTCCATACGGACTGACTGTGTTAAGTAGTCTCAGTCTATACGGACTGACTGTGTTAAGTAGTCTCAGTCTATACGGACTGACTGTGTTAAGCAGTCTCAGTCTATACGGACTGATTGTGTTAAGTAGTCTCAGTCTATACGGACTGACTGTGTTAAGCAGTCTCAGTCTATACGGACTGACTGTGTTAAGTAGTCTCAGTCTATACGGACTGACTGTGTTAAGTAGTCTCAGTCTATACGGACTGACTATGTTAAGTAGTCTCAGTCTATACGGACTGACTGTGCTACGTAGTCTCAGTCCATACGGAATGACTGTGTTAAGTAGTCTCAGTCTATACGGACTGACTGTGTTAAGTAGTCTCAGTCCATCCGGACTCCATACGGACTGTGTTAAGTGTCCAGGACTGATTGTTAAGTAGTCTCAGTCTATATGGACTGACTGTGTTAAGTAGTCTCAGTCTATACGGACTGACTGTGTTAAGCAGTCTCAGTCTATACGGACTGATTGTGTTAAGTAGTCTCAGTCTATACGGACTGACTGTGTTAAGTAGTCTCAGTCTATACGGACTGACTGTGTTAAGTAGTCTCAGTCTATACGGACTGACTGTGTTAAGTAGTCTCAGTCTATACGGACTGACTGTGTTAAGTAGTCTCAGTCTATACGGACTGACTGTGCTACGTAGTCTCAGTCTATACGGACTGACTGTGTTAAGTAGTCTCAGTCTATACGGACTGACTGTGTTAAGTAGTCTCAGTCTATACGGAATGACTGTGTTAAGTAGTCTCAGTCTATATGGACTGACTATGTTAAGTAGTCTCAGTCTATACGGACTGACTGTGCTACGTAGTCTCAGTCCATACGGAATGACTGTGTTAAGTAGTCTCAGTCTATACGGACTGACTGTGTTAAGTAGTCTCAGTCTATACGGAATGACTGTGTTAAGTAGTCTCAGTCTATATGGACTGACTATGTTAAGTAGTCTCAGTCTATACGGACTGACTGTGCTACGTAGTCTCAGTCCATACGGAATGACTGTGTTAAGTAGTCTCAGTCTATACGGACTGACTGTGTTAAGTAGTCTCAGTCCATACAGGCCGATTCTTCCAACGAGCCTCAATCCATAGTGACTGACTGTCCTATGTAGCCTTGATCCAGCATTGAAAGGAAACTCATTTGGAAGACAATAGGCAGACTGGGATATTATGAGGATCCCCGTGTCCTGGCGGAGGTCTTACCAATGTACCCAGTGCTCTGCATGGTTTCTCCAAGGCTCCAGATCCCACGTAGAGCTGCCTTTTGTTCTGTCTCTCTTCTGCCTACCTGCCCCCTGCGATCAAATCCATGCTTCCAAGGAGAAGAACAGCCTAATTTCCTCATGATTATTATGTAACCTAGCGACGACCAATCAGCTGGAGTCCTGCATATTTAGTATGTGTGTGATTGTCTAATATATCAAGCTTTATTCAGCTGTAGGATTAAGGACATTTTACAAGGGGGGCAGTGAGCACCACACTGTGCGCTGGCATACCATTATTAGTCCAGTACATTCATTTACATGCATTTTACCTTGTTCCAGTATGCAGACTGAGCTGCCTAAATCCATCTTAATCAGTGTCATAGTACCAGAAAGTAGAATAGATTAAAACCACAAGTGTATAAGGTATAGTAAAAATATGGGAAATTAATATATTAGGATAAATAAAAACCCCATGAATCAACTACACTTTCTATTTTACCGTTAGCCTTTATAACTATCTACTACCCTTTCTATAAAACTGTTTGCCTTTACTGCTACCACTGGAAGGCTATTCCAGGTATCTACTACCCTTTCTATATCACCGTTTGCCTTTACTGCTCAAACTGGGAGTCTATTCCAGGTATCCACTACCCTTTCTATATCACTGTTAGCCACTGATGCCTCCACTGGAAGGTTATTCCAGGTATCTACTACCCTTTCTATGTCACTGTTAGCCTTTACTGCTCCCACTGGAAGGCTATTCCAGGTATCTACTACCTTTTCTATATCACTGTTAGCCATTGCTGCCTAAACTGGAAGGTTATTCCAGGTATTACTACCCTTTCTGTATCACTGTTACTGCTCCCACTGGAAGGCTATTCCAGGTATCTACTACCATTTCTATATCACTGTTAGCTTTTACTGCTCCCACTGGAAGGCTATTCCAGGTATCTACTACCCTTTCTATATCACTGTTAGCCATTACTACCTCCACTGGAAGGCTATTCCAGGTATCTACTACTCTTTCTATATCACTGTTAGCCTTTACTGCTCCCACTGGAAGGCTATTCCAGGTATCTACTACCATTTCTATATCACTGTTAGCTTTTACTGCTCCCACTGGAAGGCTATTCAAAGTATCTACTACCCTTTCTATATCACTGTTAGCCATTACTGCTCCCACTGGAAGGCTATTCCAGATATCTACTACTCTTTCCATATCACTGTTACTGCTCCCACTGGAAGGCTATTCCAGGTATCTACTACCCTTTCTTTATCACTGTTACTGCTCCCACTGGAAGGCTATTCCAGGTATCTACTACCCTTTCTATAACATTGTTAGTCTTTACTGCTTCCGCTGGACACATTGCAAAGTCACGAGAAAGCATTGTGAGCAGCCATGTTTTGTGTTCTTAAAAGAACAGTTTTCATTATGGGTACATAGAGTTGTGCGTACAGGCAAGTACACACCTTGCAATTTATTTACTAATGATTTTGCAAGGACAATGCTATATTAAATGAATAGTACTACCTAGTTAGACAACCCAACTTGGAGTACCAAAAAGTGGGTGAATGAGGTGGCAAAAGGGCATAACCCTATAGTGGATACAGAAAAGAAAATAGCAAAAGTGGAGGATAGATCGCCTCGTGAAAAGACCGGGCTGATCACCTCCACGCCACCTCAAAACGACATCTCAAAAATAATAAACAAATTTATTGAAAAATTTTTTTTTAATAAAATCAAAGAGGAAGACACATCTATCTCTAGATAGAATAAATAACTAGAGCCCAATATATACAGAAAGTATGGCTAGTATATAAATATGTAAATATAATGCGGTATGGCAAATACCTATAGATAAAGTATAATACACATATATATACATAAGAGCCATAGACTGTACATTGCAAGCCCGATACAGAATATAGAATATGGCTGAATTATAGATGCAATATCATAATAAATATCTGTGCAAAAGAGTGAAAAATGAATGTAGTAATACATATATAAAGAGCCATAAATTCTGCACTAAGAGACTAATTGCTGCAGAGTGTGGCTAGATAGACCATATCAAAATGTGGCAAAATCGTAGTATAGTGAGACAATGAATCACAGTGTAAAGCCACAAAAGTAGCCAAAACCTCTGCTGCTGTACCTACAGGGTAAATTAGAAATCGAAAGGATAGAGGAGGGCATAGATAAAAGAGGAAAAATACAGCAGAAAGACCTGATAGTAAATCTACATAAATTCTAAATGCCTAAACCCGATAAACAGCCCACCTATCACTAAATAAGATGACCAGAGCTAGAAACACGCTCAGTGTCACTAAACCATACTGTAGGAGACAAAGGAAAAACAAAAGCAAAATAAACTAAATTAACTAACTAAAATAACCCATAGCCCAACGCGCGTTTCGGTGGATTAACCACCTTTCTCAAGGGCACAAAGTAAAGTAAAGTGAGGCAAACGGAACAAACCCCCTTACTCCATTAAAAACGTTAGTAGTACCTCCCACCTCATCTAATTCGTCCGTGTGTCTCAAGGGAGGAGGGACAAAAAGTAGCCACTCCTGTCGAAAGTCCATGCGTATATCTATCTACGCGCAGGCGCGCCGACTTAGTGTCAGGCTAGGTATCGAGTAAAACCGCGCATGTCAAAAGACCGCGCATGCGCACAGCATGAGACCCGTTACCAGGGTATCCGTCCGTGCGCATGCACGAATGTGTACACAGTGAACACAGCGTACACAGTGTAATACATATGCCGGTAACAAGTCCCAAAAGAAAAGAATGCTATATTAGTTAAACATAGTAGCATGCAAAAATAAGGAGTAGGAAGGGTAGAGAGTTCAGAATATATATAGTTAAGTAGATAGATAAATAAACAAATCATCAAAGAAAAGAAACGTTGCGTTCCCATCATATTTACAGTAAATCACAAACATACATTATATAGAGACAAAAGAGTGGTATTTTAAATACAAATAACTAATGAATAAATAAAATAAAATAATAAACATATCTACACAACTCTATTCATTATCCAATGGTTAAACTAATAAAGAATAAAGAATAAACAACAAGATCCCTATCAGCCTATAGATATTTATGTGCATAGTCTATAAATATATATATATGGGATTGGTGCAGGGAAATATATAAGTATATGCATATACACATGTACATAGAGAGAATACATACATGTATATAAACATATATAAAAACGGTTACATACAGTATATTTTTCAAAGGAGGCATTCTGTGAGCGGCGGATCATATGAAAGGGGCAAAAGAAAAGCCCTCATTAAGACCTAGAGGTTGGAGTGTCTTAAGTAGGTATATCCATCTTGACTCTCTCTGTCTTAATAATTTGTCATAATCACCACGTCTCAAAGTCCTCTTAACCAACTCCAAACCACAAAATTTAAGATTATTAGAGTTCCCCTGATGATGGTCTTTGAGATGTCTCGATATGGGTGTCTCGAGGCGATTTCTAGGAGATCTTACATGCTCCATAATCCTATCTTTAAAGGCCCTAAAAGTTTTTCCCACATATTTCTGTCCACATGTGCAAGATAGTAAATATACAAGGCCCTTCGTGTTACAGTTAAAGAAGCTTTTGACTTGGAAAGAACCACGTCCTTGACTGTCATTAACGGTCTTAGAGTCCCTAAGAATAAATTTACAGGCTATGCATCTACCGCACCCATATGAACCAATTGGAGGGGTACCAAGCCAGGTGGCACGTTGTTGTGGTTTCATGGAGAAATGGCTGGGGACCAGTATATCCCGAATGTTCCGTCCGCGTCTGGCAGTAATATTAACATGTGGGCTTAAAGTATCTTTAAGATGCACATCATTGAGCAGGATAGGCCAGAACCGTTCAAGTGAGTTCCGAACTTCTGGCCATCCCACATCAAATGTTGCTATCATGCGAATATTTCCAACATCCTGATTACTGTCCTTTTTTGGACGATCACATAGTAACTCGTTCCTCTCTGTCTGGAGTGCTCTCTTATACGCCCTTTTTAAACAACGGTTCGGGTAGCCTTTCTCCTTGAAGTGTTGCCGAAGTTGTTTCGCCTTGATTATAAAATCCTGGGTATCACTGCAATTTCTCCGGAGGCGAAGATATTGGCCTACCGGTATACCCTGTTTGAGGGGACGCGGATGATAGCTAGTCCAGTGTAGAAGGGAATTAGTTGCTGTAGGTTTACGAAACAGCGTAGAATGGAATGTACCATCTTCACTGATACTAATGGTGACATCGAGAAAACTTATAGAGCGTCCTCCGAATTCAGGTGTGAATCGGAGGTTTTCCTCATTTTTGGCCTATCCTGCTCAATGATGTGCATCTTAAAGATACTTTAAGCCCACATGTTAATATTACTGCCAGACGCGGACGGAACATTCGGGATATACTGGTCCCCAGCCATTTCTCCATGAAACCACAACAACGTGCCACCTGGCTTGGTACCCCTCCAATTGGTTCATATGGGTGCGGTAGATGCATAGCCTGTAAATTTATTCTTAGGGGGGCGTGGCCTGCACGCTGAAGCGGATGGTCGCACGGCACTAGTGCTCCGCTCCTAGATTAGCCCACGAAGCGACTAAACCCAGCATACCGCGAAACGAAACCCGGCATCACTCGCCCCACAAGCATGTCGCAGCAGAAGGGTAAGAAAATCCCTGACAGGGCTGAAAAATCGGGCTTCTTCGCGGCGAGACCCGCGCCTTCCAGAGCCCAGGGCCAGCATGAGGCAGACCAAGATGGCGGCGGAGACGACACCCTCCCCCTCCATAACTCACCAGACCCTGGGAATCTCCCCGTGACACAGGAGTTCCTGAGAGCATGCCTGGACGAAATGTCCGACAAATTGCTCAACAAAATCCAAGCATCGGTCACTGCAATGGGCAAGGACATCCAGGAGCTGGGCGAAAGAACGGCCCACGTGGAAAACCGCATGGGCGAATATGAAGAGGCCCATAACGACCTGACAGACCACGTTAAAGCCCTGGAACAGAAACTCACCTCAGCCCAGCTCAAACTCTCAGATCTGGAGGACAGGTCACGGAGACAGAACCTGAGAATCCGGGGCATACCGGAATCGATAACGCAAGCTGAAATACCTGAATTCCTGACAGGTTTTTTCAAGTGTCTCATACCAGAAATACCGACTGAGATGATCCTGCTGGACCGGGCCCACCGGGTAGCCAAACCGAAGTTTCTACCAGCCGAGGCGGCGAGAGATACGCTGACCCATCTCCATTATTATCACGTCAAAGAGGCCATACTCAAAGCTGCCAGGAACCGCACAAACCTTCCAGCTAAATATGGCCATCTACAAATATATGCTGACCTATCGGCAGCCACTCTACAACGCCGAAGGGAGTTCAAGGAGACTACGGAAACGCTGCGGGACAACAAGATTCCATACAGATGGGGTCACCCGGTGCGCCTGATTATCCAGCGCAATGGCACCTTTACACACGTAACAACGCCGGAGGAAGGCCTGAGGGCCCTGAAACAATGGGACCTACCAGTTCGCAAACAACACGGACGCACAACTTCACCACAGCGATTGAGACAGGACTGGAAGAAGGCGAAAAAGTAACCCGAACTCCATCAGCCCATATCCAGTTTTAAAGAGTACAGATACAGGACTGAATGGCGATGCCACCTGATTGAGGAATTCCCTAACTGGTATTTTCACCCCACACCCTATGACACCTCTAGCTTAAAACTTACTCATAGTTATGACTAATAAAAAATAAATAAATAAATAAATAAATAAATAAATAATACCCACATATAGTTAACCTCAGATATACACAGCAGTTGGGTAACTGCTCCCACGATCTCTTCAATGCCAGCGGCCTTTTTTTAATAAAAAAAAAAAGTGCTGCCACGGGGGTCACCCATCCCCTCAACTCACCCAAGGGAAGATGGGGGACGTATAGACCAATTGGCCTCTCATATGAGAGTAGCCCGGACAGAGACCTGTGGAACTAAGTTAAGAAAAAAAAAAAAAAAAAAAACAATGTTTTTGTTTATGTTTTTGAAATAACTATATCTTCACGTGGTATGCAGAACTATTGAGATAAGCGCTAGGGCTAATCACACAAGATATTTGTTAATGTTTTTGTTGTTGCCTACCTCCATGGTACCCAACCTGGGTACTCAGCCCACCTTGGGCCCTGCGGTCCTTACCGCACTGTTTTCTATTTTTCTATTTTCCTGTATTAACCTCTTATCCTCCCTCCCCTACCCAGACCACACTAGACAATCCAAGGATATGTACCTGCATAACCGTACCGTTCCAGTACAGACACAGAGAGCCAGGAGAACAACGCGACCCGTCACGGATGTGCCTCACGCGGATCCGCCAGAGCAGCCACTCAGCAACACAGCAAGTATATACTCCACGGCACCACTGCCTATACACATCACACTAGACTCAAGTACCAAGACATACAAGGGCACTCGGGGAAAACACAAATCTAACGATGACAACGTTACAGATAGCACCCCTCACAGACCCTCCCTTTATGAAGATATATAGTCACAACGTAAGGGGGCTAAATTCCCCTGTCAAACGCCACCTATTACTTCACGATCTCCAAAAATCCCAACCAGACATGGTATGTCTCCAGGAGACACATCTCACCAAACCATATCTCCTTAAACCCCTCGCATACCCATACCAACAACACGCTACAGCAAAATCCAAAACGAAAGGGGTCTCTGTGCTAATCAGCAACCGAGTAGCATTCACCGAACACGACTTAGTCATAGACGAGGAAGGTCGATACATCATACTGGTATGCACAATCAATGACATTACCTACACCATAGCAAACGTGTACGCACCCAACTCAGAACAACGCAACTTCCTACATAAAACACTAGCCAAAATAACACCGAGTCAGAGGGGAATGCTAATAATCTGTGGAGACTTTAACCACATTCTAGACCCTGGGTTAGACTTGTCCAAAGGTCCTAATACGAAAGGGAACAACCCAGCCAGGAGACAATGCACCACATACCAGAGACTACTAGACGAACATAATCTCTACGACACGTGGAGAGTCCTCCACCCAGAGGAGAGAGACTTCACGTTTTTCTCCTCGGTCCACAACTCTTACACGCGAATTGACAGGTTCCTCACGGAAGGAAAACATCTAACACAGGTACTCAAATGCACAATAGAGACTATTACGTGGTCAGACCATGCACCTATTACTATGGAACTAAAAGACAAATTTGAGGGCCACAACAGAAGACCCTGGCGGCTGAACGAAACACTCCTACACGATAAAACTTTCGCAGACCACGTAGAAAACACACTTAAACACTACTTTAAAGAAAACACCGCACCAGAGATCTCAGCGGAGATCACCTGGCTAGCCCACAAACCCGTAATACGTGGGGAACTGATCAAAAGAGCACATTTCCTCAAACGGACGTCCCACGCACAAAAGGTCACATGGTACAAACAACTACACGACCTCAACAAACTAAACCAAACGAGCCCATCGCCAGAGTTAAAAAGCCAAATCTCAGATACACAAGACAAAATACAGGAGTTCGCAATTACGAGAATGGGCTACTCACTACGGAAATTGAAAGCCACTCACTACTCCCAGGGCAATAGAGCGGGCAAAATACTAGCCCAAAAACTCAGAGACAGACAGGCAACATCTAAAATAGCACACATACAGGACTCACAAGGAAACAAGTTGGTTGCCCCGAAAGACATTTGCGACGAATTTGCCACGTATTACGAAACCCTATACAACCTAAAGAAAGACCCACTGACGCCCCTAAAAACCCCCACACAGATGGACATTTACCTACAAGATGCCCACTTGCCAACCCTCTCACAACAGCACAAAGAAGCTCTCTCAGCCCCTATCACCCAACAAGAAGTAAGGGACACAATAAAAAATCTCCCAACGGGTAAAGCGCCAGGCCCTGACGGGTTTGCGAACACATACTATCACAAATACACGGACGTCCTGGCCCCTGCACTGACCACTTTATTTAACAGCGCCATAGACAACCACTCACTACCATCGGAACTGTTACGAGCGCATATCACCACCCTCCCCAAACCAGGGAAATCCCCGACCTCATGCCCAAATTTCCGACCGATATCCCTACTCAATACAGACGCCAAAATCTTCGCAAAATTACAAGCCAATAGACTAAAATCTATCCTACCGGACCTAATACATGACGACCAAGTAGGTTTTGTGAAGGGTAGACAGGGCTCAGATAATACACGCAAAGTTCTAAACTTAATGCATAGCGCTAGAAAACTGGGAAGGGGTGGCCTATTCGTCTCCCTAGACGCGGAGAAGGCCTTCGACAGACTCAACTGGACCTTCTTAAACAGGGTACTCCACAGATTCGGCTTCCCCCCAAAGTTCGTGGCAGCGGTAGACGCACTATACAACGACCCATCGGCACAAGTTATGTACGCAGGATTCCCGTCACGGACCATAAAAATCTCTAATGGCTCCAGACAGGGATGCCCCCTCTCCCCCATGCTTTATGTACTGGCTTTGGAGCCACTGGCATCCAAAATCAGGTCAGACCCGAACATCCATGGCATCCCTCTAGGAGATAAAGAATTCAAACTAAATATATTTGCAGATGACATCCTCCTCACCCTAACCCAGCCATTCATATCCATGCCCAACTTAATGCGACAAATAGAACTTTTTGGCCACCACTCCCACTATAAATTGAATGTCTCCAAAACACAGGCGTTAACGATAGGAGTGACTAAAGAGGCGAGAAACAGACTGAAGGAGGCGTTCCCCTTAGACTGGAGGTCGGACTATTTAACATACCTAGGACTCAAACTCACGAAAAAACCCACAGATCTCTTTCACGCAAACTACATTAAACTCTTAACAGACATCGACAACACCCTCAAATCATGGGAGGGGAAGTTCCTCTCATGGCTAGTGCGCATAGCAGCATTCAAAATGTCACTGCTCCCAAAACTACTATACCTCTTTCGAACACTACAAATACCCCTACCAAACACCTACCTCAAGTCGATCACCACATTATTCCTGAAATTTACGTGGCACCACAAAAAGAGCCGGGTAGCCGCCAGGGTCCTGCAGAGGAGGATCACAGACGGCGGCCTAGGCATCCCCAACCTATACCATTACTACAAGGCAGCGATTCTAAGCACTATGTTAGCCGCACATGACCCCCATTACACACCCCAGTGGGCAGGAATAGAAGCCTTTTGGCTTAACGCAGACCACATACGTCATACTTTCTGGACTGATAACGCTCGGAGACCAAGACCGTTCCAAGGCCTCCCCACTACTCGGTTGCTGATAGACACATGGGACGGGGTAAGGAACACTTTAGTTACCCGTCCAAAGATACCATTAGCGACCCCAATGCAATCCATCAGCCTGATGATCCCTACCTTTAACTACAAGACATGGATAGAGAAAGGCGTCACCCATGTACTACAATTGTACGATGGGGAGCACCTCAAATCCTTCCCTAGCTTACAGGAACAATTTGACCTACCCGCGAAACTCCTATTCTCATACCTGCAAATCAAGTCCCTACTAAAACATAACCCTCCCAGAACCCCTGAGAAGGTACCGCAAGAACTAATATCTAAGTTCGAAAACATGTGCCTTTCTAACAAACCCAACGCCAAGTCCCTATCCTCATGCTACCACTTAATCTTACACAACCAACCACCGATCCAGGACAACTACCGAAAGGCATGGCACACAGACCTAGGCATAGAGCTAAGCCCAGAACAATGGAAAAAAGCTTACTCAGCACACAGAGGCCTGACATCATGCGCCCAACACCTAGAAATACAACGGAAACTATTATACCGTTGGTACCTAGTGCCAGAAAAAATACACAAAATATGGCCAGCCTCTACAAACATATGCTGGCGCTGTGAGAAAGAAGTGGGCACGATGTTCCACGTTTGGTGGACATGCCCCGCACTCGCACCGCTCTGGACACAAGCCATACTTATCGTATCAGATATACTAGGCTACCAAGTGGACAAAAACCCTGCGCAATGCATGCTGTACGTATTCCCCGACAGAATGCCCAAAGCTCACCAAGCAATACTGTACCACACGCTAGCATCAGTACATATACTCATAGCGAGACACTGGAAATCCAAAGACATACCGTCACGTACACATTTAAAAAACCAAATTGCACTCAACTGGTCTTATGAGGCCATGTATCAACTCCAATTTGGCCCGAGGCCTGCATTAGTTAAAGCGCAACTACTGTGGGATAGATACATAAACCAAGCTGACAATACCGCAACACATTGATCACTAGCGGACAAAGGCAAAATCCGTGGCGGGGGACTGGGGAGCCCTGGTCTGGAACCACGAAAGATCAGACTCCGAGAAGCAGAAGAAACTTGCCGCCCACCAGCTCTTCACCATACAAGAACCCCTACCAAATCACCTGCGAACCCTTGGGTTATACCTCCACGAAACACCCATTGATGCACCTCCCTACCACCCCTCCCTCTCTCTGTCTCCCCCCCTTCTATACCCCCCTATAACTATACTTTCTCTCCAAAAAAGTTTGAGACATGCAGCTGCAAGATTCATGTACCTAAAGTTGTTAAGTAGTATTGGAAGGTTTACCATGATGTTACCAAATTACCACACCATGTATGTAATCGCGATCAGAATATCCAAACTTCCAGCACAAGTGTAACACAGCTGCATGGCTAAATAAAAATTGTCAAATTCAAAAAAAAAAAAAATTTATTCTTAGGGACTCTAAGACCGTTAATGACAGTCAAGGACGTGGTTCTTTCCAAGTCAAAAGGACTTGTGGGAAAAACTTTTAGGGCCTTTAAAGATAGGATTATGGAGCATGTAAGATCTCCTAGAAATCGCCTCGAGACACCCATATCGAGACATCTCAAAGACCATCATCAGGGGAACTCTAATAATCTTAAGTTTTGTGGTTTGGAGTTGGTTAAGAGGACTTTGAGACGTGGTGATTATGACAAATTATTAAGACAGAGAGAGTCAAGATGGATATACCTACTTAAGACACTCCAACCTCTAGGTCTTAATGAGGGCTTTTCTTTTGCCCCTTTCATATGATCCGCCGCTCACAGAATGCCTCCTTTGAAAAATATACTGTATGTAACCGTTTTTATATATGTTTATATACATGTATGTATTCTCTCTATGTACATGTGTATATGCATATACTTATATATTTCCCTGCACCAATCCCATATATATATATTTATAGACTATGCACATAAATATCTATAGGCTGATAGGGATCTTGTTGTTTATTCTTTATTCTTTATTAGTTTAACCATTGGATAATGAATAGAGTTGTGTAGATATGTTTATTATTTTATTTTATTTATTCATTAGTTATTTGTATTTAAAATACCACTCTTTTGTCTCTATATAATGTATGTTTGTGATTTACTGTAAATATGATGGGAACGCAACATTTCTTTTCTTTGATGATTTGTTTATTTATCTATCTACTTAACTATATATATTCTGAACTCTCTACCCTTCCTACTCCTTATTTTTGCATGCTACTATGTTTAACTAATATAGCATTCTTTTCTTTTGGGACTTGTTACCGGCATATGTATTACACTGTGTACGCTGTGTTCACTGTGTACACATTCGTGCATGCGCACGGACGGATACCCTGGTAACGGGTCTCATGCTGTGTGCATGCGCGGTCTTTTGACATGCGCGGTTTTACTCGATACCTAGCCTGACACTAAGTCGGCGCGCCTGCGCGTAGATAGATATACGCATGGACTTTCGACAGGAGTGGCTACTTTTTGTCCCTCCTCCCTTGAGACACACGGACGAATTAGATGAGGTGGGAGGTACTACTAACGTTTTTAATGGAGTAAGGGGGTTTGTTCCGTTTGCCTCACTTTACTTTACTTTGTGCCCTTGAGAAAGGTGGTTAATCCACCGAAACGCGCGTTGGGCTATGGGTTATTTTAGTTAGTTAATTTAGTTTATTTTGCTTTTGTTTTTCCTTTGTCTCCTACAGTATGGTTTAGTGACACTGAGCGTGTTTCTAGCTCTGGTCATCTTATTTAGTGATAGGTGGGCTGTTTATCGGGTTTAGGCATTTAGAATTTATGTAGATTTACTATCAGGTCTTTCTGCTGTATTTTTCCTCTTTTATCTATGCCCTCCTCTATCCTTTCGATTTCTAATTTGCCCTGTAGGTACAGCAGCAGAGGTTTTGGCTACTATTGTGGCTACTATTGTGATTCATTGTCTCACTCTACTACGATTTTGCCACATTTTGATATGGTCTATCTAGCCACACTCTGCAGCAATTAGTCTCTTAGTGCAGAATTTATGGCTCTTTATATATGTATTACTACATTCATTTTTCACTCTTTTGCACAGATATTTATTATAATATTGCATCTATAATTCAGCCATATTTTATATTCTGTATCGGGCTTGCAATGTACAGTCTATGGCTCTTATGTATATATATGTGTATTATACTTTATCTATAGGTATTTGCCATACCGCATTATATTTACATATTTATATACTAGCCATACTTTCTGTATATATTGGGCTCTAGTTATTTATTCTATCTAGAGATAGATGTGTCTTCCTCTTTGATTTTATTAAAAAAAAATTTTTCAATAAATTTGTTTATTATTTTTGAGACGTCGTTTTGAGGTGGCGTGGAGGTGATCAGCCCGGTCTTTTCACGAGGCGATCTATCCTCCACTTTTGCTATTTTCTACAATGCTATATTACCCATTTGTGCAGGATTTTGTTAGGCATTTTGTTATACTAAAGCCATACACATCGCTTTTATCTACAGCAAGAGCAGGTGCAGGTAGATTTCACACATTATACGTTTTATAGAGACAATGGATCAAGGAGCTTCGAAAACTGAACAGAATTTACTAAAATAGCCAAACTGTAACCATAGCTGGGTCCGCAATTGCCAATTCAGTTTTCTATTCACTACAAATCACTGTTTATGAGTGAATACACCCCACAGATCACCCCAACATAGAACTACAGAGAGACAGCAGAGTGTGCAGACACAGACTGGCTACAACAAGCGATTACACTGGAAATTAGGGGGACAACCTATAAACCTGTCCTAATGTGTTTTATATCCAACTCCTATAGACTGTAAGCTCGTTTGTGCAGGGTCCTCTTCAACCTATCGTTCCTGTACGTTTTCTTGTAATTGTCCTATTTATAGTAATAAAAACACATTCTTTCACGTTGTGGATATGGAATAAGTATCAGCAAAGTGGTAGATATCTATTCTACCCTAATGAATGAACCGTATATGGCATGTGGACATTCTCCAAAACACTGAAAAAGTTACAGGAACCTTCAAACACTACAACCACCTCTCCCTAACTAAAGTAATACGCAGGTTGGCTCATTATATCTACAAAAAATTCTCAACTTGATACTAATTATTCTCACTTTATTGGGCCGCACTGTGAAATAATATTTAGGACTGCCCCCCTTCCCCCCTCCAAAACCTTATCTCTGCGTTACATTCCCAGAGGGGGATCTCCACCTCCAACCCAAAAGGATCAATTCAAAGAATCTGGGCTTTAAATCACCCAAAGGAAATGCCTTGTGACAGATCCAGTAACAGACTTCTCCTCCTTAGACCTGTCCTCTCCACCAGACCTGTCCTCCTTCCCCCTCCGAGTCTGGCAGAGCAAAGGAACAGGTTTTAATGGGTGCCATAAATCAGTCTGTGTGTCAGCCTCTATGGCCTGGGAAATAGGGCTGCAGGCAGGAAGTGACGCAATGACAGTAACCAAATAAAAAGGACATATGGCCAACTGATAGGATTGCTAAAATTAGGGCCTTGCATGCTCCCTTTATCATACACACATTGCCCACTTCCTTTTAAAAACGGTCATGCTTATAAAAAGAGTGTATTTATACAATACTTAACGAGTAGTGAAATTTATCATCTGAGTTAACCAGTTAGAGACTGGCTCGTTTCTACTCTAATCACTGAAACCAATATGGACATTCCTCAATAGACTGAAAAAGTTAAAGAAATCTCCAGACACTATAACCACCACATAACTTTGTAGTGGTTATGGTGCCAGGAATGTCCAGACACTCCCCCAGGCTAAATATCCAAACCATTTGCTAACAGTTTCAAAACTTACTTGGGGTCGGCCGGCACTGGTCACCACCACGAGAGCCAAAAGATTTCAGATTGAGCTACGTACGGACCCTCTCAGCCGATGTGAGCTGGTCCTACACAGCGAGGTTAACAGAAGCTCCTTGTAGGAGAAGGTGACTGACACCCAGGTAAGGTGATAAAAACAAATTAGCATTAATTCAATTAAATAATAAACAGTCAGTGTGTATTAGCCCATAGCAGCTTAATGTCTGCATTAAATATTAAAATTGCATTAAAATGAAATAACAATAACAGAATTTCATGACGCTTGAAAATACAAACTAGAATATTGGCAGAGTAGATATTTCTCTAAAATATATTACAAATCCAAAAAGTAAAATACAGCCCCCTCGTTAAGGGAGCAGTGAATAATGTAAACAATTCTAATTTCACACTGATAGTCAAATTAAACTCATCATTCCGACTGAGCCTCACTCACACTGACTGCTCAGCTCCTTACTATCCAGTGTGTACTCTCACTGAGCCTCACTCACACTGACTGCTCAGCTCCTTACAATCCAGTGTGTACTCTCACTGAGCCTCACTCACACGGACTGCTCAGCGCCTTACAATCCAGTGTGTACTCTCACTGAGCCTCACTCACACGGACTGCTCAGCGCCTTACAATCCAGTGTGTACTCTCACTGAGCCTCACTCACACTGACTGCTCAGCTCCTTACAATCCAGTGTGTACTCTCACTGAGCCTCACTCACACTGACTGCTCAGCTCCTTACTATCCAGTGTGTACTCTCACTGAGCCTCACTCACACTGACTGCTCAGCTCCTTACAATCCAGTGTGTACTCTCACTGAGCCTCACTCACACAGACTGCTCAGCTCCTTACAATCCAGTGTGTACTCTCACTGAGCCTCACTCACACTGACTGCTCAGCTCCTTACTATCCAGTGTGTACTCTCACTGAGCCTCACTCACACTGACTGCTCAGCTCCTTACAATCCAGTCTGTACTCTCACTGAGCCTCACTCACACTGACTGCTCAGCTCCTTACAATCCAGTGTGTACTCTCACAGAGCCTCACTCACACTGACTGCTCAGCTCCTTACAATCCAGTGTGTACTCTCACTGAGCCTCACTCACACAGACTGCTCAGCTCCTTACAATCCAGTCTGTACTCTCACTGAGCCTCACTCACACTCACTGCTCAGCTCCTTACAATCCAGTGTGTACTCTCACTGAGCCTCACTCACACTGACTGCTCAGCTCCTTACTATCCAGTGTGTACTCTCACTGAGCCTCACTCACACTGACTGCTCAGCTCCTTACTATCCAGTGTGTACTCTCACTGAGCCTCACTCACACTGACTGCTCAGCTCCTTACAATCCAGTGTGTACTCTCACTGAGCCTCACTCACACTGACTGCTCAGCTCCTTACAATCCAGTGTGTACTCTCACTGAGCCTCACTCACACTCACTGCTCAGCTCCTTACAATCCAGTCTGTACTCTCACTGAGCCTCACTCACACTGACTGCTCAGCTCCTTACTATCCAGTGTGTACTCTCACTGAGCCTCACTCACACAGACTGCTCAGCTCCTTACTATCCAGTGTGTACTCTCACTGAGCCTCACTCACACTGACTGCTCAGCTCCTTACAATCCAGTCTGTACTCTCACTGAGCATCACTCACTCACTGTATCCACTGTGACAGCTCTACTCTCACTGAGCATCACTCACACTAGAAGTCAATGCTTCCTGTTAGCCACTGTGTAATGTCACTGTGCATCACTCAGACTCACTGTGCACCATGTAGGCTGATTGCTCAGACACACTTTACCAGTGTGTTGCACAGACTTGCTTTGCATCATACATTTTGTTTTGCTCAGATTAAACGGGCCCTTTACAGCTTACTGTAGTGGATATGGTGCTATGAGGTTACAGGGGCTGTCCCAAATGTATTTCTTTCAAACCATTTTGGAGAAGTTTCAGAAGAACCAAGGCTCTCCCAGCACACGCAGCCTGCCACCTTTGCAGCCACATGAATAATACAGAAATGACGTCTTCTGTATCAGTGACACCAAGGGAAGAGAATGTTTTCTTGGCCATCCAATCTGTGTATGTACATGCTGCGTGTACTACTTGTAGTGACAGCTCTCACCTCCCTCTGGAGAGAGCACATGGCATGAATTTCACACTTAAGGCCAAACTTAGCCAAACTAAAAGCATTGCTGGCCTAAAGATTGTTTCCCAGTTTGGCTCTTTTGACCTTAAATGTGAAATTTCAATTTGAATTCTCACTTTAGTAAATAACATTCAATATGCATCATACGGTATCTCTGTGCATCATACGGACACTCTGTGCATCATACGCTCAATCTGTGCATCATACGCTATCTCTGTGCATCATTCGCTATCACTATGCAACATACGCTATCTCTGTGCATCATACGCTATCTCTGTGCATCATACGCTATCTCTGTGCATCATACGCTATCACTATGCATCATACGCTATCTCTGTGCACCATTCGCTATCTCTGTGCACCATACGCTATCACTATGCATCATACATCATACTCCTCCGTTAGATGCTCACCCAGTCTCAACTCCTTAAAAAAAAATCATTAAAAACCCACTTCTTCATAAAAGCGTATCAATTAAACTGATTCCTCTCTTGCAACTGTCACTAGTCTAATACTATCCTTACCTTTTGTGTCACTATACCCCACTCCCTCTAGCATGTAAGCTCATTGAGCAGGGCCCTCAACCCCTCTGTTCCTGTGTGTCCCACTTGTCTGGTTACAACTACATGTTTGTTCGTCCACCCACTGTAAAGCGATGTGGAATTTGTTGGCGCTATATAAATAATAACATAATAATAATAATAATAATACAGATTCTCTGGGCATCTTATAGACTCTCTGGGCATCATACAGACTCCCTGTGCATTGCAGACTCTCTAGGCATCCTAAAGACTATCTGTGCATCATTCGCTATCACTATGCATCCTAAAGACTCTCTGGGCATCCTACAGATTCCCTGTGCATCATACAGACTCTCTGGGCATCTTACAGACTCACTGAGCATCCTACAGACTCTCTGGGCATCTTACAGACTCTATGAGCATCCTGCAGATTCTCTGGGCATCATACAGACTCTCTGGGCATCCCTACAGATTCTCTTTGCATCCCTACAGATTCTCTTGGCATCCCTACAGACTCTCTGTTCATCATACAGACCTCACTATGCATCCCTCCTACATATTGTAACATAACGTCTGCTCATGATCCCAGTACATGACGTTCTCCCAGTACCTTGTAGTGTCACCTCTGGGGTTCCTTTTGCAACATTTCCAGACTTTTTCTCCTCGCTTCCAGTATCTTAAGCTCCCAGTATCTCCAGTAATCCGATAAATCTGTACAAGTATGATCAATATCCACAGCAGTCAGTCCTAGCAACTCCAGTAACTAGTCCCAGTAGAACCGGTAACAGGTATCCACAGCAGTTAGTCCTAGTAACCCCAGTAACTAGTCCCAATATAACCGGTAACAGGTATCCACAGCAGTCAGTCCTAGTAAACCCAGTAACTAGTCCCAATATACCGGTGACTGGTATCCACAGCAGTTAGTTCTAATTATTTCAGTAACTAGTCCCAAAATAACCGGTAACTTGTATCCACAGCAGTCAGTCCTAGTAACTCCAGTAACTAGTCTCAGTACATCCCAGTAAAACCAGTATCACACAGTCAGCCCCAGTATAAGCTGTATTACCAGACAGCCCCTCTATAAACTGTATTACCAGTCAGCCCCAGTATTAATATAAGATGTACCCCCAGTATAATTTAAGCCGGATCCCTCGTCTCCCCAGTATAAGCTAGGCTGTAGCCCCAGTCAGTCCCAGTATAATCTGTATTATCAGTCAGCCCCAGTATTAATATAAGATGTGCCCCCAGTATAATTTAAGCCGGATCCCTCGTCTCCCCAGTATAAGCTAGGCTGTAGCCCCAGTTAGTCCCAGTATAATCTGTATTATCAGTCAGCCCCAGTATTAATATAAGATGTGCCCCCAGTATAATTTAAGCCGGATCCCTCGTCTCCCCAGTATAAGCTAGGTTGTAGCCCCAGTTAGTCCCAGTATAATCTGTATTATCAGTCAGCCCCAGTATTAATATAAGATGTGCCCCCAGTATAATTTAAGCCGGATCCCTCGTCTCCCCAGTATAAGCTAGGCTGTAGCCCCAGTCAGTCCCAGTATAAACTGTATTACCAGTCAGCCCCAGTATTAATATAAGATGTGCCCCCAGTATAATTTAAGCCGGATCCCTCGTCTCCCCAGTATAAGCTAGGCTGTAGCCCCAGTTAGTCCCAGTATAATCTGTATTATCAGTCAGCCCCAGTATTAATATAAGATGTGCCCCCAGTATAATTTAAGCCGGATCCCTCGTCTCCCCAGTATAAGCTAGGTTGTAGCCCCAGTTAGTCCCAGTATAATCTGTATTACCAGTCAGCCCCAGTATTAATATAAGATGTGCCCCCAGTATAATTTAAGCCGGATCCCTCGTCTCCCCAGTATAAGCTAGGCTGTAGCCCCAGTCAGTCCCAGTAAAGGGAGCCAAATGCCATCATTCATTTGCATTCCTCTGATAGTCACATGACTGTTTCAGCCAATCAGTGACTGTGGGACAGCTTAGTTCTACCCAATCCAGTGTTCTCGTGGCAGGTCTATTGCTACAGGCTGGATCAGGTTTCCATGACAACAAGAGAGGAGGGTGTTATTCCCTTTATCTTTATGGAGAATACAATGTATCTGTATATAACAAACAGTGTATCAGTATATAACACACAATGTATCTGTATATAACACACAATGTATCTGTATATAACAAACAGTGTATCAGTATATAAAACACAATGTATCTGTATATAACACACAATGTATCTGTATATAACACACAATGTATCTGTATATAACAAACAGTGTATCAGTATATAAAACACAATGTATCTGTATATAACACACAATGTATCTGTATATAACAAACAGTGTATCAGTATATAACACACAATGTATCTGTATATAACACACAGTGTATCTGTATATAACACACAATGTATCTGTATATAACACACAATGTATCTGTATATAACACACAGTGTATCTGTATATAACACACAATGTATCTGTATATAGCACACAATGTATCTGTATATAACACACAGTGTATCTGTATATAACACACAATGTATCTGTATATAACAAACAGTGTATCAGTATATAACACACAATGTATCTGTATATAACACACAGTGTATCTATATATAACACACAATGTATCTATATATAACACACAATGTATCTGTATATAACACACAGTGTATCTGTATATAACACACAGTGTATCTGTATATAACACACAATGTATCTGTATATAACACACAGTGTATCTGTATATAACACACAATGTATCTGTATATAACACACAGTGTATCTGTATATAACACACAGTGTCTCTGTATATAACCCACAATGTATCTGTATATAACACACAGTGTATCTATATATAACCCACAATGTATCTGTATATAACACACAATGTATCTGTATATAACACACAGTGTATCTGTATATAACACACAGTGTATCTGTATATAACACACAATGTATCTGTATATAACACACAGTGTATCTGTATATAACCCACAATGTATCTGTATATAACACACAGTGTATCTGTATATAACCCACAATGTATCTGTATATAACACACAATGTATCTGTATATAACACACAGTGTATCTGTATATAACACACAATGTATCTGTATATAACACACAGTGTATCTGTATATAACACACAGTGTATCTGTATATAACACACAATGTATCTGTATATAACACACAGTGTATCAGTATATAACACACAATGTATCTGTATATAACACACAATGTATCTGTATATAACACACAGTGTATCTGTATATAACACACAATGTATCTGTATATAACACACAGTGTATCTGTATATAACACACAGTGTCTCTGTATATAACCCACAATGTATCTGTATATAACACACAGTGTCTCTATATATAACCCACAATGTATCTGTATATAACACACAGTGTCTCTGTATATAACCCACAATGTATCTGTATATAACACACAATGTATCTGTATATAACACACAGTGTATCTGTATATAACACACAATGTATCTGTATATAACATACAGTGTATCTGTATATAACACACAATGTATCTGTATATAACACACAGTCTATCTGTATATAACACACAATGTATCTGTATATAACACACAGTGTATCTGTATATAACACACAATGTATCTGTATATAACACACAGTGTATCTGTATATAACACACAATGTATCTGTATATAACACACAGTGTCTCTGTATATAACACACAATGTATCTGTATATAACACACAGTGTATCTGTATATAACACACAATGTATCTGTATATAACAAACAGGGTATATGTATATAACACAGAATGTATCTGTATATAACACAAAAGTATCTGTATATAACACACAGTGTATCTGTTTATAACACACAATGTATCTGTATATAACACACATTGTATCTGTATATAACACACAAGGTATCTGTATATAACACACAGTGTATCTGTATATAACACACAAGGTATCTGTATATAACACACAATGTATCTGTATCTTTATATAACACACAATGTATCTGTATATAACACACAAGGTATCTGTATATAACACACAGTGTATCTGTATATAGCACACAAGGTATCTGTATATAACACACAGTGTCTCTGTATATAACACACAGTGTCTCTGTATATAACACACAAGGTATCTGTATATAACACACAGTGTATCTGTATATAACACGCAATGTATCTGTATATAACACACAATGTATCTGTATATAACACACAGTGTATCTGTATATAACACACAAGGTATCTGTATATAACACACAGTGTATCTGTATATAACACACAATGTTTCTGTATATAACAAACAGGGTATATCTATATAACACACAAGGTATCTGTATATAACACACAATGTATCTGTATCTGTATATAACACACAATGTATCTGTATATAACACACAAGGTATCTGTATATAACACACAGTGTATCTGTATATAGCACACAAGGTATCTGTATATAACACACAGTGTCTCTGTATATAACACACAAGGTATCTGTATATAACACACAGTGTATCTGTATATAACACGCAATGTATCTGTATATAACACACAATGTATCTGTATATAACACACAATGTATCTGTATATAACACACAGTGTATCTGTATATAACACACAAGGTATCTGTATATAACACACAAGGTATCTGTATATAACACACAGTGTATCTGTATATAACACACAATGTTTCGGTATATAACAAACAGGGTATATCTATATAACACACAGTGTATCTGTATATAACACACAGTGTATCATTTAATAACACACAGTGTATCAGTTAATAACACACTATGTATCTGTATATAACACACAATGTATCTGTATGTAACACACAATGTATCTGTATTTAACACAATGCATCTATATATAACACACAGTGTATCTGTATATAAAACACAGTATACCTGTATAACACACAATGTATCTGTATGTAACACACAGTGTATCTGTATATATATAACACACAGTGTATCTGTATAAAACACAATGTATCTGTATATAACACATAGTGTATCTGTATATAACACAATGTATCTGTATCTGTATATAACACACAATGTATCTGTATATAACATACAGTGTATTTGTATATAGCACACAGTGTATCAGTATATAACATACAGTATATCAGTATATAACACACAATGTATCAGTATATAACACACAGTGTATGTATATATATATATATATCACAATGTATCTGTATATAACACAATGTATCTGTATATAACACACAGTGTATCAGTATATAATACACAATGTATCTGTATATAACACATAGTGTATCTATCTGTATATAACACACAATGTATCTGTATATAACATACAGTGTATTTGTATATAGCACACAGTGTATCAGTATATAACACACAGTGTATCAGTATATAACACACGGTGTATCTGTATATAACACACGGTGTATCTGTTTATAGTATTCAGTGCATCTGCTGAGACCACATGCCCGTGTCACATGTATGTAGAGAGCACATGCTTATTTTACATGTATGTAGAGAGCACATGCTTACATTACATGTTACATGAATCTAGAGAGAGTACATGTTTATATTACATGTTACATGCATGTAGAGAGCACATGCTTATATCACATGTTACATGTATGTAGAGAGCACATGCTTATATCACATGTTACATGTATGTAGATAACATATGCTTATATCACGTTACATGTATGTAGAGATACATGCTTATATTACATGTTACATGTATGTAGGGAGCACATGCATATATTACATGTATGTAGAGAACACATGCTTATATTACATGCTACATGTATGTAGAGAGCACATGGGTAGGATGAACATTGTGTTTTTGATTAGGATATTTGCCGGCACTTTATACAAAATAAATATTTCTATATTAAGATGCACAAACGTTTGCAAGACTGTAAATAATGCAGCAAAAACAATTGTTTGTAAAGTAATTCAAATGTTAGGATAATGGGAAGAACTTCAAAGAGCAGCTCTGTAGATGAAGAGGGATTTATTAGTAATGGGTTAAGTTTTATAATGAGGTTACCAGGACTTGAAAGCCCACACAGAGGAGTAAATAAAGGTGTGAGGCTCCTGGCACAGTTTAAACACAGTGAGGAGTTTTATGGTTGTGTCGGAAGCAGCTGCCATGGAGTCTGTCATAGTTACTGCTAACAGCCCCAGGCCATGCAGGAGCAGATGTTCCTGGGGTATTTACAGGAAGCAAGGGGGCTATAAATGTGACAGGGAGCAGGTATGATAAGACAGGAGAGGAGGAAGACACAAGGCAAGCTAGGAGTTAACAAGGACACAGAGTGAGGGATTCTGGGAGATTACCATTAGCCATGTGATATAAATCTAAGGCCTATTATAAGGCAACCTGAATATGGACAAACAGCCATTTTACCCATCCATGGAAATTGCTTACACATATTATAATACCTCACAAGTGTCCCTATTTTGGGACCCACTCTCTCTGTCCCTCTTTTTTATCCTAATGTCATTCTTTTCTGGGAGATCCATATTGTTGGTGTGTCTGAGTGTATAACGTCTTTACACTAAAATAAATGTGTTTGGAAATCAGTCAGTGTAAATATATACTTTAATCAGGTTATAAACCATAATTTCAGTTCATAAATTGATATCAATAGGTCATGAGGTCACCTTAAATTTAGGGGTATGGTATGCCAATTACCATACCCCTAAAATGTGTCATGTGATATCCCTGCCTTTTACCACACCCCTAAAACATGTCATCTGATAGCCCTGCCTCTTACCATACCCCTAAAACTTGTCATGTGATAGCCGTGCCCTTTACCAGACCCCTAAAACTTGTCATGTGATAGCCCTGCCCCCTTACCACACCCCTAAAACATGTCATGTGATAACCCTGCCCCTTACCACACCCCTAAAACTTGTCATGTGATAGCCGTGCCCCTTACCACACCCCTAAAACATGTCATCTGATAGCCCTGCCCCTTACCAGACCCCTAAAACTTGTCATGTGATAGCCGTGCCCTTTACCAGACCCCTAAAACTTGTCATGTGATAGCCCTGCCCCCTTACCACACCCCTAAAACATGTCATGTGATAGCCCTGCCTCTTACCACACCCCTAAAACATGTCATCTGATAGCCGTGCCCCTTACCACACCCCTAAAACATGTCATGTGACAGCCCTGCCTCTTACCACACCCTTAAAAGTTGTCATGTGATAGCCGTGCCCCTTACCACACCCCTAAAACTTGTCATGTGACAGCCCTGCCTCCTACCACACCCCTAAAAGTTGTCATGTGATAGCCGTGCCCCTTACCACACCCCTAAAACATGTCATGTGATGCCTCTTACCACACCCCTAAAAGTCATGTGATAGCCGTGCCCCTTACCACACCCCTAAAACATGTCATGTGATAACCCTGCCCCTTACCACACCCCTAAAACTTGTCATGTGATAGCCGTGCCCCTTACCACACCCCTAAAACATGTCATCTGATAGCCCTGCCCCTTACCACACCCCTAAAACTTGTCATGTGATAGCCGTGCCCCTTACCACACCCCTAAAACATGTCATGTGACAGCCCTGCCTCTTACCACACCCCTAAAAGTTGTCATGTGATAGCCGTGCCCCTTACCACACCCCTAAAACTTGTCATGTGACAGCCCTGCCTCCTACCACACCCCTAAAAGTTGTCATGTGATAGCCGTGCCCCTTACCACACCCCTAAAACATGTCATGTGATAGCCCTGCCTCTTACCACACCCCTAAAACATGTCATGTGACAGCCCTGCCTCTTACCAGGCCCCTAAAACTTTTCATGTGATAGCCCTGCCTCTTACCAGACCCCTAAAACTTTTCATGTGATAGCCCTGCCCCTTACCAGACCCCTAAAACATGTCATGTGCTAGCCCTGCCTCTTACCACACCCCTAAAACTTGTCATGTGATAGCCGTGCCCCTTACCACACCCCTAAAACTTGTCATGTGACAGCCCTGCCTCTTACCACACCCCTAAAACTTGTCATGTGATAGCCCTGCCCCTTACTACACCCCTAAAACTTGTCATGTGATAGCCCTGCCCCTTACCAGACCCCTAAAACATGTCATGTGATAGCCCTGCCTCTTACCACACCCCTAAAACTTGTCATGTGATAGCCCTGCCTCTTACCACACCCCTAAAACTTGTCATGTGATAGCCCTGCCCCTTACCAGACCCCTAAAACATGTCATGTGATAGCCCTGCCTCTGGTTACACCACCAGCCACACCCCCTACAATGAAGGTGCCCCTCTGTGGCCAGGTTGGGAAGTTGGCTTTTAAAGCGGCATTGTCACACCACACTTACCTTTCCTATTGTTTCCTCTTCTCTTCCTCTCTCAGAATCCGTTCTTATTTTCTTTATTTCTGGTCTAGTTTTCTTAAAGGGACACTGTAGGGACCCAGACCACTTCAGCTCATTGAAGTGGTGTGGGTGCCAACTCCCATCACCCTTACACCTGCAAGTGTAATTATTGCAGTTTTTATAAACTGCAATATTTACCTTGCAGGGTTAAGTTCTCCTCTAGTGGCTGCCTACCAACTTTAGGTCGCCTAAACGACACTGGACGTCCTAACGCTATGCATGAGCACGAGAACCTCCAGCGTCGCCGGAATCCCCATAGAAAAACATTTAATAATGCTTTTGTGGCGAAACCAACCTCGCCACTGTGAACTGGAGAAGCCTGGTTGCTCGCCTGCTCCCTTTGGACTATGGCCCTGCAGGTTAAACCGTTTATTTCCCCTGCAGAAAGGCTTAGTTGTGTGATCTGAGTGCCATTCATCTAATAATGTGCACTCAGATCCCAGCTATCTGGGGATATGTGAAATGTCTGTGTGTTATGTGTAAATGTGACTTTATGTATTTTAAAGTGTTTTGTGTCTTTTTGCAACCATGTGCTTAATGGAGTCTTGTGTCTGTCCTGGGAGATAATTCAATTACTTATCTCCAGGATAGAAGACTCTGAAACTGGTTTGGGCCAGAAAGCCATGCTTCATTTAGTCACAAAGGACTTTTTACTAACTTTTGAACCCCTTGTCTGATTTGTGCCATTTTTGAATATGTTGTTCCCCTGAATGGATTGATTGTGAATATGTAATTTTATGTGAATGTGATGTATGGTTTTGGAGTTATGAAAGTTGGGTAGAAAGTATGTTTTAACTGTATGTATAATTGAGTTTCCTCTCAGGATAGGGGGAGGGAATATGTGGGATGTAACTGTGATGTGATTGGTTGTTTTGTAACGCCCTGTGGGCTGTACTATGTTTGTGGATTGGGAATAAAAGAGACTGTATGTGACAGTACAGGGAGTTCCTGCTTAACCCTCAAAGTGAAGTGTCGTCTCATTATTGGGGGAAGGATTTATTGTATGCTGTTCCAGTTTGACTGCTAGGAGAGTAAACCTATTTGTATGGTTCCTATTCAACTGTCTACAGCATTCATATGCTTGGGAGAATTTATTTGTTTCTCCGGTTCGGTGATTGTGGTGTCTGCCAGAGTGCTTGGAGTCCTCAGGAAGCGCTAGGAGCATCCTTCAGCGGAGGTACCCAGTCGGGGGTGCCAGGTGATCCGTTACATTGGTGGCAAGCGGTGGGATGGCGTCCTAGTGCGAGGTAAAGCAGCTCGGAGACACAGTTCGTGGATTTACAAATTGAGGGCAAAGCTAGTACCCGTACAGCGACCCTATCTACAAAAGAACTAACTTCAGCAGAGCAAGCATGGCGTATGACTACACTCAGGAGGAGTTTGACAGAGAGGTTAATGAGGTGCTGTCTACCTTTGGACCCAACCCCCCAGAGAGAGCCGTGCAGCTTGCCAGGAAACTAGTAGGAGAATACCTGCAATCTCTAGTAGATTTGGCCAAAAAGGAGTCCCAGGGAGCCAAAGGTGTCGTCCTTCCTCCCCAGCGGCAGTGTGTACCCCAGAGAGCAGAAGGTGTTGTCCTTCCTCCCCAGCGGCAGTGTGTACCCCAGGGAGCAGAAGGTGTTGTCCTTCCTCCCCAGCGGCAGCGTGAGTCCCAGGGAGCCAAAGGTGTCGTCCTTCCTCCCCTGCGGCAGTGTGTACCCCAGGGAGCCAAAGGTGTCGTCCTTCCTCCCCAGCGGCAGTGTGTGTCCCAGGGAGCTGAAGGTGCCGTCCTTCCTCCCCAGCGGCAGTGTGTATCCCAGGGAGCTGAAGGTGCAGTCCTTCCTCCCCAGCGGCAGTGTGTGTCCCAGGGAGCTGAAGGTACAGTACTTCCTCCCCAGCGGCAGTGTGTAACCCAGGGAGCTGAAGGTGCCGTCCTTCCTCCCCAGTGGCAGTGTGTACCCCAGGGAGCTGAAGGTGCCGTCCTTCCTCCCCAGCAGCAGTGTGTACCCCAGGGAGCTGAAGGTGCCGTCCTTCCTCCCCAGCGGCAGTGTATATCCCAGGGAGCTGAAGGTGCAGTCCTTCCTCCCCAGCAGCAGTGTGTACCCCAGGGAGCTGAAGGTGCCGTCCTTCCTCCCCAGCGGCAGTGTGTATCCCAGGGAGCTGAAGGTGCCGTCCTTCCTCCCCAGCGGCAGTGTGTATCCCAGGGAGCTGAAGGTGCAGTCCTTCCTCCCCAGCGGCAGTGTGTACCCCAGGGAGCTGAAGGTGCCGTCCTTCCTCCCCAGCGGCAGAGTGTCCTGCAGGGAGCAGAGACCGTCAGTCTCGCACCCCAACCACAGGACAAAATAATGAAAGGGGAGACAGCTGGTCCCCCTCTCCACCAGCAGAGAGAGTGTCAGGGAGAGGAGCCTGATACCCCTTCTCCCCAGCGGCAGTTTACAGTTCAGAGAGAGGAGCTTGTTACACCCTCTCTCCAGCGGCAGCCTAACCCAGCAAGGGGAGATGTTACACCCCCCAACAGTGCAGATGGGACTGTAGTCTCTGCACTTGCAGCACAAGGGATAGGGACAGTCGGTCCTGTTCCCCAGCCACAGAGCGGTGTATCCAGAGGGGAGACAGTCGGTCTCTCCCTCCCACAACCAGGCTCCCACCAGGCTACTTCCGTGGTAGCACTGGCATCAGGGCAGAGTACCGCTGGTCTCTGCCCACTCAGCAACCCACCAAGGCAGCCTAACAGTTGCCCACACAGTCGTGGTGAGGCACCTGGACATGGACAAAGTTCTCCTCTACCCAGGTGTAGTAACCAGTTATTGTGGGTGGGCTGTACTGCTGTTTCTGTTTTGTGGGTGGGTTGCTGGACTAACCAGGGCACTGACCGGCAGGAGGTCAGATACCCTGTTAGTCTAGTTGGTAAAGGGGAGAAGTGTGGCGAAACCAACCTCGCCACTGTGAACTGGAGAAGCCTGGTTGCTCGCCTGCTCCCTTTGGACTATGGCCCTGCAGGTTAAACCGTTTATTTCCCCTGCAGAAAGGCTTATTTGTGTGATCTGAGTGCCATTCATCTAATAATGTGCACTCAGATCCCAGCTATCTGGGGATATGTGAAATGTCTGTGTGTTATGTGTAAATGTGACTTTATGTATTTTAAAGTGTTTTGTGTCTTTTTGCAACCATGTGCTTAATGGAGTCTTGTGTCTATCCTGGGAGATAATTGAATTACTTATCTCCAGGATAGAAGACTCTGAAACTGGTTTGGGCCAGAAAGCCATGCTTCATTTAGCCACAAAGGACTTTTTACTAACTTTTGAACCCCTTGTCTGATTTGTGCCATTTTTGAATATGTTGTTCCCCTGAATGGATTGATTGTGAATATGTAATTTTATGTGAATGTGATGTATGGTTTTGGAGTTATGAAAGTTGGGTAGAAAGTATGTTTTAACTGTATGTATAATTGAGTTTCCTCTCAGGATAAGGGGAGGGAATATGTGGGATGTAACTGTGATGTGATTGGTGGTTTTGTAACGCCCTGTGGGCTGTACTATGTTTGTGGATTGGGAATAAAAGAGACTGTATGTGACAGTACAGGGAGTTCCTGCTTAACCCTCAAAGTGAAGTGTCGTCTCATTATTGGGGGAAGGATTTATTATATGCTGTTCCAGTTTGACTGCTAGGAGAGTAAACCTATTTGTATGGTTCCTATTCAACTGTCTACAGCATTCATATGCTTGGGAGAATTTATTTGTTTCTCCGGTTCAGTGATTGTGGTGTCTGCCAGAGTGCTTGGAGTCCTCAGGAAGCGCTAGGAGCATCCTTCAACGGAGGTACCCAGTCGGGGTG